GAACGGGAAATTCATTATCATTATTATAACAAAAATAAGCTCAATGACATTAAGTGTGACTGTATCCTTTAAACAAATTTTTTGTCAAAAATTTCAATCTACTAAAGAAATAGGTGTATTTGTATAGAATTATTGCATCGGGCTTAAGAGATTTACTTACTAATGTAATTATACACATATATACATAAGGTGTTTCAGCATAAGCGGCTATCCGCTTCCATTTTCTCAACTAATGGAGAGAGAGATATAATAAATAAAATTGTAATTTAATGATATGACTTAATCTTTATTGTGAATATGTAATTCAGTTCGTGTTCTTTTCGAAACTAGTCAAATACGCATAAGATAAGATTAACAAAATTGAATCATAAGCCTCATAATTTCGCAGTTTATCGTCTTAATGCGTTAGCGTAATCTGTCAAATATTATTAATAATTATTATTTTTTATATGTAGTTTTGAATCTATAGCAATTTTTTAGCAATAGAAAGTAATATAACAGTGACTTTTACTATCTAACTGCAGTGCTCAATATGATACCCATATTTTTTGGCGACAAACTTAATATATTGACAAAAAATTTACGCGTTCTCTCTCTCTCTCTCTCTCTCTCTCTCTCTCTCTCTCTCTCTTTTTCTCTCTCTTTCTTTTTCTTTTCCCCTCTCTTTCGACCCCCTTTCACAGCAATAATCATCGTTGTAACATGGCTAAAATAAGACTAAAATACACTTTTTGAGTTATTACTTTGAAGTTTTGTATCTGTCATGATCTATTTCAGTTTAGGAAATGAAAGGGGATGATTAGTGACGTTGAGACAACCTGTATAGATAAATGTAAAAGATGATTTAGCCCAAGATATGTATCAGTACCGGGTTTTGAGAAAGTTACATTTTAAAAGTAACTCATTGTGCCGATATTCGTTACTCGATGTAAATTTAACTCATTACTGCATTAGTCAAATAATGAATGATTAGTGATTCTTTTATTTCTTCATTATTTTTTTAGAAACATTTATAATAAATTATTCCCTTATTTCCACTGTAATATCTGTTAACTATCATTTTTTTCACAAGAATAGTGAACATAATAGAGAAATATCTTTTACATGTACAAAATAATGATAAAAGTAAGAATTATATTCGTTAATCGTAAAAAATAATAGTGTTACCAACGAATAACGCCATTCTATTTGCGTTATTGTAGGAAAAAGTAACAACGCTAATGATATTACCAATAATGTGTTATTTCTCGACACCAAATAATATCAACTATCTTTAACTAAATTGAGATCAAGTTTTTTTTTTTAGACTATCATATTCGTAATATTATCGTTGTATCATTTTTAATTTGTTCTTTTACTTACTAATTAAAATTCAAGCAAATTTCTACGAAAATAACATACGTATCAAATGCGTATCAAATATATGTCTAATAAAACACTGTTACTAATACGTATCTTGGAATGTTCTATATATGTATATTTATCGTATATAATAAAATCATAATGCTAAGAATGATTTAATGAGAAAGACACACAAAAATGTTTTATTATATATATAAGAGGATTAAAAAAAATATATAGTATTAGGTTAACCAATGCTAAGTATGTTAACAGATAGCTGATTAATTTCACTTTTATGCGATAACTTCATATTTTTGTCAAAATGTCAAAAAAACAGATTAATATTATATTTTTTGTATAAAACATTTTAACTGGTCTTATTTTCACGGGACCAAATCATTTTTTGTATATTAAGATGAATTGATGAATATGAAAATATATCTAAATTTCTTTTTATTTTACATAAAAATAACGTATACATGATACAATCCTGTTGAAAAAAATCAAGTGGGAATCCATATAGGAATCCTATATTCTATGGTTCCCATTATCCTGGAACCCTATAGTTGCCCTTGAGGATTTGCGTAAAAAACGCAAATATATCATATCTATGTGGCCTCCTGTGGATGGATTTCCACATACATGTGGATTCTTTATGAGTTTTTATTATCCTATATAGATTCACATGAGTTTTTCTGGATTTCATGGGAATCTTGAAATCCACCTTGAAATTTTCAACAGAGGAAATCGTGGTTGTAATCTCACAATTGTCAAATATAAAAAAAAAAGATGATAAAACTATCGAAATTGCAAATATAATTTTGACATTTTTATATAAAAGGAAATTATAATTGTGTTTACAACTTAATAATACCTTTAATTTTGTCAATGATCGTTTTTTAAAATCATACTGAGCACTTTCTATCAACTTTCCTTCTTACTCAAGATCGGTTGTCTGTTAACGAGAGCATAGTGTAACTGTAAGTGCAAGAAAGCGAAGTCCAAAATTTAGGTATATAGAGGCTTAGTGGTAATTTTAATCAAAAAATAGAAGGTGCGTGTATATGGTGATATATTGTGTAATTAATCGTGCAAATCATAAAGACATAATTTGCCCTAGCCAACCTACCTGCCAAAATTGAATCAATTATCTTTATGCAACACACATACGTATATGTGCGTATGTACGCGTGCGCGTGTATTATATATATATATATACGTATACACATATATAACGCATATATAGGATGTTCCTGGCTATCATAATATATTTAAATAATATATTATAATAGTATATCTTAGAGATCACAGGACGGATCAAAGATTTTCATACCTAAATATTATGGTTTCATTTTTTTATACAAACAACTAAAATCTAACGTTGATATGATGTAGATTTCATGTTCTCAGGTCCGTAATATCATATGGTAATATTAGGTGAGTGCAAAAGTTCGTGTCCGATTCCAATAAGTCATAATCATTAGGAGAGTTGTATGGTAGCACCATTGATTGTTATGCATACGTATTGCACATCTGTGGAAAAGTGACATATTCAACAGTAATTTGAGCGAAAGACTTGTATGTTTTGATTAAATTTACGTTGTGAAAAAAATATTTGAAAATGAGCGAAGAAAAGTTGAATTTATGTCATATTATGTTTTATGAGTTTCGGAAAAGCGTAATAGGAATTGTCGTAAAAAAACATTCAAGATATCTATCAGAATAGTGCACCAGCAATTCGAATTGTTAAGAAATAGTTTGCGAAATTTAGATATGGTGATTTTTACTTTGAAGACCAGCTACGCTCTGGTCGACCTTTTGGCATTGATGATAACATTATATGTAATTTAGTGGAAAATAATTCACGAATTTCAACAGAAAAGATTCCTGAGAGACTTAACATTGACAGATTGACCGCATTTTAGCACTTGAAAAAGTTTGGTTTTTGGTATTCAAAAAATTTTGAAGCTGGATACGTGGATGCCGCATTTGCTAATCGAAGCGAACAAATTGAATCGAGTTTTTACAGCTGTTTTTTTGTTTCGCTGACTGAATAGAGTCGTTTTTGGATCGACTAATGACTGACGATGAAAAATGGATCCTGTACAACAACGTTCAATGCAAACGCATGTGAAAACTAGCAGATGAGTGTGCAGAATCCATGGTAAAAGCCAATTTGCATCCTAAGAAGGTGATCTTTTTTGTTTAGTGGGATGTTTAATGGAAAGGAATAATTTATTTTGTGCTGCTCCTCCTTGATGACCAAACGATTAATTCTGATAAGTTAGTACTATCAACAATTAGACAATTAATAAATTGCAATCCAGGAAAAGCATCCAATTCTGGCCAATCGTAAAGGATTGTTTTTCACCACGACAACGCGAAACACATATTCCAAAACAGACCTTGCGCAAACTAAAGAAACTGAAATAGGATATTATAACACATCCATCTCTTGATATCGCACCATCAAATTATTACTTGTTTCGTCCATTGTAAAACGAATTGAATTAGAAAAATTCGCATTTTTAGAAACCGTTAAAAACCATCTTTCTTCCTTCTTCAAAGCTAAGCCGAGGTTGTCTTATGATTGAAACATCTGTATGTTACCGTACAACGTTGAGAAAGAATTATAGAAGACGACGGCGATTACATCATTGATTAATCTACAAATTTTACATGACAAATTATTGTATGAGTTTAATGATGAATCGGGCACGAACATTTGCACTCACTAAATATTCTTGATTTACATTAACTTATAGTATGTATTATTCAAATATATTATAACATGCGTGGACATATATGGACATGGCGTGCGTGCGTGCGTGCGTGCGCGCGTGCGTACGTGCGTGCATGCGTGCGTATGTTATTAGGAGGTCTTGAGAAGTAAGCTATTTTTCTTTATATAGTGCCCGGTCTACCTTTTCCCATGCATTCATTAGCTCAGACAAAATAATTAATTCCTCATTATTGCGAATTTTACAAAATGGTACATGATTTTCTGCTCAGTTCACCCGTTTAACTTGCATACCACGAGAACCAAAGACGGTTTGGGACACCCTGTGTACTGATAAAATTCTTGTTGTATGAGAACACATTTTCACGTACTTATGCCAATCACAATACAAATATTATACCAAAATATGTCTATCTGGTTAGTGCATATACGCACATGTGCACAGGATGTTCCATCTTTCGTAAAAAATCTCAGGTAGCGCTTGAAATTAAACGTTGGACTTTATACTATATTAGAATGTGAACTATATTCTCTTTAGAAGAAAACGAAACGAGAGAGATGGAGAAATGTAAACAGTCTGTCTTTTCCTTTTGCTGTACTCTTCGAGCTGAAAATTTTCGCTGCGTTCAATGCACAGAAGTGTTGAGCAATGGATTGTTGGAAAATGTTTGATGATGAAATAATTATAACTATACGAAGATTAATGACAAGATGAAAAACGCTGCACACATACAAAGCACTTGACAGCTATCGACTAGTTCAGACTCGATCAGATTGAAGTTAATAAAACTGATATTATGTAATGAAAAAACAGAAAACCATTGACCAATTAAAATTCGCTAAACAGACAGAAATGATGTCTAATCAATCAATTTTTACTTTTTACTGTACGTGGCACTAAGCATAGCAACTCCAGTATAATATAGAGTTCTCTGGAATTAGATGCCCATTTCGAGCCGATTTCTAAGGCGATATCTGCCTAGATAGTACAGAGATGAATAGAAGTTTATAGGGAATTCATTTGAAAGAATACGCACAGAATTAGAAAAAAAATATCTGAAAAATTCTCAAAGAATTAATCATAATCAGTTCGTCTTGAAATATTCCTCAGTTCATTATAACGAATATTTCGCGACTTAGTACCTTGAATTCTCCGAGAATTTGTGAGGAATTACGAATGGTTTGTTGTTACAATTACTTCTTGTGTTTGCATTCAGCAAATGCTTGTGTTATTTTCAGTACTTTATGTATGTATTATCATAATTTAAACTTTCTTTGCAAATAAATGTGCGACGGTCGGAGCCAAGCGTCGATGTGTACGGTATGAAATTGGAGCGGTGTCCGAGGAGTGAGCTTGCCGGATTGCCGAATTCGGATAGAGAGATTCGAAACGGATAGTTGTTTTTAATTAATATCTATAATGGATGAATTAAGATACAAAATAAAATAATAGAAAGAAAATCGAATAATAGAAAAATCAAGATTTTTTAAAGAAAATTATATCGACACTTCTTTTATTATTATTTGATGACGCTAGAGCTCATATCGAGCCAGAGCCTCCTCTCTCTCTTACGTATGAATGTAGTGTGCACGCAGATTATACACATACATACAGGACCTACAGTTTAAACGCCGGTTCCGAACGGCAAATTAAAGAGAGGTTTTTCTTGGCATGAACACTTTTTTTACTTGAAGAATTAATAAATAGTTGTAAAATCATTTATTAATTCAGAAAGTAGGTTAAAAAGAAAGGTTTTATGTCAAGTTAATTTTGCAATTATTTATTGATTGTCGAATAAAAGAAAAGTGTTCGGGCAATTTTACAAATATGCTGAATCGATCATCAATGTCATTTTGTAAGATATATCTTTTCATTTGAAAGTATAACGCAAGTATTCTTGGCACGCAGTTCTTCTCTTCTGATGTCATTAAACAAGAACATTCGCAGCGAGTACCCAGGAGCCTTAGTCTTTTTCAAGAATTTTATTTCTCTAAGAAAATACTATATTTTTCACCTCACTCTAAGATCATTAATATATGTAATACGATTATCAAGTCGTAAGAAGTGAAACAATCAGAAAAGAAATTAATAATTTTATTTTTCTTGACTTTGAAGTTTCGTAACTCGGTAAATTAGATATTAGAATATACATTTATATAAACTTTTTGGTAACTAATTAACTCCAAAACCAGGGACTTCGAATTTTAAATTATCCTGTATAAATCGTGAGATAATGACAAAATAGAGAAAATATCTTAGACAAATATTTTAAATATTTTAAGGCTCCTGGTCTCTCGCTGTAACTATCCCTGTTTGATGACAGAAGCGAGAAAACACATATCAAGAATTTTTGTATTATACGTTCAAATAAAAAGATATATTCACAAAATGACATTTGTGATCGATTTAGTACACTTGTAAAATTGTCCGAACATTTTTGTTTTACTCGAAGCAATAAATAGTTGTAAAATTAACATTGACAAAATCATGAGAAAAGAGGTTAAAATGAATGGTTCCGTGTCAAATGAATTTTGCAGCTATTTATCGATTAATCGAGTAAAAGAAAAGTGTATAGATAATTTCACAAGTGTACTGAATCGATCACAAATGTCATTTTGTGAGTATAACTTTTTATTTGAACGTATAACGCATGAATTCTTAACATGCGTTTTCTCGCTTCAGACGTCATAAAACAAGGACAGTTGCAGCGAGTACCCAGGAGCCTTAAATGAGAATTAGGTTTCCAAACGTGTATGGAATATTATTTCAAACGTGAATATTTTTCCTATAATATTAAAAGTAAATATAAGAACGCACTTACAAAAAATATTAAATTCACTAATAATACAGAATAAATGTGGGATACACACATACACACATATATTGCACGTGTCAATTATAGTACCTTAAAAATAAATTTAAAATCAATCTTTTTACATTTCTGACAAAACTTGTACATGCAAATATATGCATCTTTTTCTAGTTAGATTAAAGATAGAAATCGGTATGATTTCGGCGAATTTTTTAAATTTTCAATACTCTCACTACAGGAAAATGCACCGATTTCCGCCAATTATCGAGTTATCGTTTATCATGGATAAAAGTATATGATACATTTTCGCTCATCTACAGCATCGAAAGCTGAGCATCTGGAAATTATAGTTTCCTATTAACGATTTGAATGAATACTTCATTATGCTGGAAGTGGATCCTGGCACATATTTTAATCGCAATTACAAAAGCTCTTATTGTAGCAACATAATTGTATTCTAAGGTATATATCTAGTTTCACGAATAACCTCTTACGATCCTTCAGAAACACATTTTATTCTCTTCTCCAACAATAACGTTGAAAACTGATAAGGACCTTTCAAGAAAAATATTTATCGACTCGAAGCATTATACATATTCACGAATTATGTTTCGTATGAGGCAGCATTCGAATAGTTTTTCTTTTCATTTTTTTCTTTTTCATTTATATGTCTCATCTTCCGCGCACATACACTCTATTACTTTCGAAAGCGACATCCCGAATGAGCTCAGAAATGTTATTACGTTGAATAATAAATTGTCGACACTAGTACGTAACACTGAATGAAATAATCAACAGGCTAACAATGTCCGTAATATCTTTTTACTGCCATAAGTTAGTAGAAAGAGTTTGTCCTGGTAGCGTGGCAGCGGCAGGTTTTCCCGTGGTAGTGGCAAAGTTCATGTCACTCAGAGATATCTGCGACATTTGTTGTGGCAACTGAAATATTCAAAAATTATTATGAGGTAATTATTATATAAATAATGAAAAAATCCAATTGAGCAAAGTTGCGCAAATATATTATTAAATATATTATTCTTTTTTTAGTGTTCAATCTAAAAAAATTCAAAAAATGGACATCATTTTTACATACTTGAGCGGTGAATGTAGCAGTTTGTTGTTGCTGTGCTGTTAAGTTGAAGAATGGGTTGTTACCGGGAGCTGGTTGAAGATTCTGTGTCAACATGCCACTCCATCCGTTATTACTAGCAATATTATTTTGTCCTAATTGCATCATCTAAGATCAGAATAAATTAAAGGTTTTAAACACAGGAAAAGAACACGGGAATAATTACAAGTATACTCGGCAATGTCATACAAAAAATCATGATATACCATTTGAGGTGGCATTGTGACGGCGGCATTTGGTACGCCATTCAGGTGATTTATTTGTCCCATATGTAAACAATTGCTTAAAGGATTAGCTGCTACCGTGCCTATCGAAGTAGGATTTGCTAGAATTTGATTTTGATTGACAGGTATTTGGTTCGTAACTGATATTTGCGTTGGAAGTTGGCCAAGTTGACTCAAGGAACTTTGTTGCCCAAATGCACCTACATTCGACATTTGTTGTTTATATGGTATAGAATGTTGAGGATACACTGTCCCTAAAATATATAATATGAATACAACAAAAATCAAGCTATTCAAACAATATAACTTTATGCGTTACCTGGGACACCATAAATCGTTGGTTGATGACTCGGTGTACTATATAGTGCTAAAATACTATCTTTTGTCATTTTGCTTTTTTCCTGAGGTACCGACCTGAGAGACGATTGCTCGAAGAAACTTTCTTCTTCGTTTTTACTTATAATAGTGGTTGTATTATTTGCATCAGAAGTATCATTTACAATTGAAGCCATTGAAGCAGGTGGTGCAGACAAGAAAGACGAAAATATATCATCACCAGAACCGTTTACATTTGTTTGATTAGCTGTTGGTGCATCTGCTAACGATAATATTGTGACGAAAATTATTGCATATTCTGTGAATTTCATGTTAGGTGAAAACCTACCAAGACCTAAGAGATCCAAAGTTGCAGAATTGTTTGTTCTACCCAATTTGGGACTGAAGCTGACAGAACGAGGTTTCGGCAGTTGAGGCACTACTTCTGGTTTTTTTACAGAAGGAAGTACATTTTGATTAGTAGTTCCTTTGGAGCTCTCCTTTTTTCGCCTACGTTGCCTTTCGACTTCCTCATCAAGTTCTTTATCCCAATTTACCTACAATAATGAGGACTTATTAAAATGAAATAACAAACATATTACAATATAATAATCTAACAAATGTAAAGACAGATATACATTAATATATATATATATATATATATATATATTATGTATAATAAATATAGTATAAAATATAATACATAAATAATTTTTTAATAATATATTTTACTTAATTTTTAATTTTTATTAGTAATTATTATGATTTATCTGCAGCTAATATTTATCAAATTCTTTTAGACATATGTTTATACACACACACACACACACACATACGCGCGCGCGCGCGCGCGCTCTCTCTCTCTCTCTCTCTCTCTCTCTCTCTCTCTCTCTCTCTCATTACAATTATACGTCAAATAGAATAAATATTGAAATAAATGTTATACTTTTGGCAAAGGAGGTGGTACCCATTCTCTTGCTATATACTTTTTGTGTTCATATTTTGCCCGGATAAAACTTTCAAGGCTGCAATCTGTTTGAGGTCTTCGAAAACTATCTGGAAGATTTGCTTCATAGACTGCTCTCGCTCGAGAATTGCCCATTTGTTGTAAACTCTAAAAATATGAAGATAGTTATATTTTATAATTAAATATATATTAATTAAAATAGAACGCTCACTATTTTACAACTGTACATAAATTATACTTATTACTATGTAAAGTATGTGGAAATTATATAATATATAATTAAAATAGAATGTAACAACTTTGGTAGCTGTTGAGTTGTCCAAAGAAATTCGTATGAGTTTCTTGGATCAAAATGAAATACAATTTTTAAATACTAAATGAAAACTTTATTCAACAAAGTATCCATCATTTTGTTGCACTATTTCAATCCATTTTTCAGATAACTAGAATTTCGTTCTTGAAGAAAAAGTTCTTGGCTGGTTTGGAAGCAAAGAAATCATTCATATAGTTTTTTTATGTACACTTTGCACACAGTCAGATGTTTTTCCATTCAAAGAATTTTTTAAAGACTGGAACAAGTGATAGCCTGATGACGCAATGTCCAGCGAATATGGTTGATGCAGTAAAATATTACAGCTAATCTCATGTAACTTGTTTCGAGTAAAATGAATGAGGACTAGTGTTGTCTTGGTGGAACACCTTTCTTGTTCACAAGCTGGCTGCTTCTGTTAAATATTCCAGCTCAAACTGTCCAATTGGCTGTGGTATCTGAATTTATGGTTTGGTTTTATGGGAACCGTTCATGATAAAGAATATTTTTATAATTCTACCAGATATAAAGCATAACTTTCTTTGCATGGATATCTGGTTGTGATATTTTTGGTAGTTCATCAACCTGGTCTCATAAGCGTTTTCACACACTGTTGTTATAAAAAATCCATTTCTCGCTACCTATCACAATACGTTTCAAAAGTGGGTCAGCTTTGTTGCATTTGAGCAACATACCATAGATGGAAAATCAATCCATTATTTGTTTCAGACAAATTGTGTGAAATCCAATCATAGTAAAAAACATTCAAACTTCATAAAAAAAAAATCATGAACAGTACTTCTTGGAACATTAATGATTTCTGCTATCTCTCAGGTCGTGTATTGTAGGTTATTTTTGATTAGCACTTTGATTTGGTCATCATCCATGGCCGAAGGTCTTCCAGAGTGTTTCGTGTCAACTAGGTCAAAATTACCTGTTTTACATTTAATGAACCACTTCCAAGCTGTTAATAAAACAATATCATTGCTTCCATACACTTTACAAATTTTGTCTATTGTCTACACAGCATTTTTCCCTATATATACTGTAGAAAAACATTACATGTCGAAAATGTATCTTTTTATCTTCTATCTCCAAAACTTACTAACAATATATGGATTCAATACAGACAACATACAAATTGATTCTAATTAAATATTTACTAAGCGATACATTGAAATGTCACGTATCAAACGATATATATACTTTTAATTATTTTTTGACAGCTTATACAACATTCATAAAGGCATCTGTTGAAACTCATACGAATTTCTCAAAAACCTAATGTTTATATTTATGTTTATATTTGTGAATATAACTAGTTTGCTACATACACATACACAGATATACACACACATACGAACATATTTAAGATATAATCTTAACAAACAGAAATTAAATCTTCTTCATTAAAAAATTTTAAAATATTAAAGATTACTTATACTAATTCTTATGTGAAAATAATTATGTGTAATTTCATACGTGATTCAAGAAAATAAAGATTATATATTTTCAGTTATTTTCTATGACCTAAAATCTATTGAAATATAACCATATCTTTGATTAAAAGATAATAAATTATATATTGACATACTACTACTTGTTCTGGTGTCCATGTATCCAAATTAACTGATTTAACCTTGCTTATATGAACTCCAAGATTTCTATGTATACCAGCACATCGGATACATAAAAAAATTCCCAAATTCCAGCTAGCCCATCTTGGTCCTATCAAAAACAAATTTAATAATTATATAATTCTGTAAATTTAATGCAAGAGAATGTAATAACAAACAACTGATAATAAAAGTATTTACAACTGTCAATATTTATATATTTTCTACTGTATTAATTATAAGCTTTCATAAACCGATAAACCATTTATTAAGAAAATTGTGTAATTATCAGATTTTCGAGGAAAATCTCAGATAGTAGAAGTAGCATAAGCTTGGTAGAATTTGATAACATGATTTAATTAGACATCAAGCTACAACGCTGAAGACATGTAGAAACAGTGGAAATGAAAAATCTATATTGTCTGGGCGCGTTGTGTCAAAACTAGGTCGTTTCGTCATTTATAATTGATATCGATGAATTGATTGATGAACTTAGATGAATACTAAATGCAAATACGAAGCTTTCGATCAAGCAATAGACTGCGCAAAGAGGAAACTGTGAAAGGAAGGCACCCATAGAGAAGAATACTTTTGTATAATGTCAGACGAACCTTTCGCGTCGCAGTCGACGCAGTACTTGTTGTCCTCGTCGCGAAGCATCTCCGTCAATAGATTCTGACATTTCTCTTGGATCTGTTTGGCGCGCTCTTTTTCGAGACGGGACGTCATTTTTTGCAATACGTCCTCACGAACACTTTGACTACACGCGATCCCGAAACAATATCGGCTCAGCTAACTAAATAACATAGGCTAAACGATAATCGTCCAAGATCAGTGTGATACAATGGTGGTGCCGACTGCGAGCGATTTAGAATGACTATGGTGAGAACGCCCTCAGTAAGCGATTTATCAATCAACATTAAAGGTGCGATCCATTACACGCTGCAAATACTTCGAAACGTATAGAACAATCATGGTTTTTTTTTAGGCATTTCAACGCACCCTAATGGCTTCTGTCCATAGGACGCGACAGCGCTTGCCGCGCGGCGGAAGTTCGCGCGGTAGCCAATAAACTTCGAGTACTTATCAAAAAACGGCATGTTGATTGGTTGCCGGAGCTAGTATGAACTTCCGCTGTGCATCATGCGTTGCCGCGTCCTGTGAACAGAAATCATAAAGCCTTGTCATACAATGGTTGCGTTCTTTACAAACTGTAAGCGTCAATTTACCTTTATTGTTTATTATATAATAAACAATAAAAATAGAATGACGTTTATGTGTCGGTCCACAATAGGTATTTTAAGCCTTGAGCCTTAAAAAATTGACCAATCACAATCGAATATCTTCATCTTCTTATATTAGGCCTTAGGCCTGTATTTCCTCTCACTCATATGCTTGTAGTGCGCATGATTACATACAGGCATTAGTGATTATATACAGGCATGTGGGGCTTACAATTTAACACCGGTGTATTTTGCGAGAAATTCTCTGGGCAGATATACTCTGGTGGCTTGCCAGACTGTCCAGAGGAAACACGAGCGTATATAAATTTTTCTGGTTCTGCCGGGAATCAAACCCGGGACCTCTAGCAGTTCCCGGGCAAAAACATTTAACGATGCAATTTATGTACATCTATTTACGTACGGGCAAATAATCTATTTACGTTCAGGTCCGAGTATCGCAATACATCGATATTCGTATTACGTTACATGTTTCATTGGATCTCGAGAACGCGCCAAACAGATAATCTAAAAATAACGGTATAAATAAATAATAATTCAATGAAGCGCAGCAAAATTCATGACATAATTATTACATGCAACTTGAAAATCTCCATTCAAAGTTTCAATTTTCGTGCGACGAATTAGCTTAGTTTCTCCATCTGCGTCGTTTACTAGACAACTTTTAAATTGTCTATTCACGTCGTAAGATCGATCGTTCATCTGATTGCTCTGATTTCTCCAATGTTTATGTCGCATCTGTTTAAAGAAATTTGCATGCTTATAAAATAGACTCCATTTATATTACAGATCCTTTCTTATAGGTTTCTCCATGCAAAATTATTGCTAGAATTTATGTACAAAAATGAGAAATATCGGCAACAGAAATATCTTCGGTAGCGGCGTGTCGGATGCGCTACGGTAGATGTTGAAGTCTACAACAAATATATTTAACGATAGGATTATTTATTCGATCGATATATTGTTTATACGCGTGATAGATTATTCTGTAATTACTAATGTTAATAAGAACTTTAACACTTTGCGGTCCGTTGACGGCATGGTGTCGTCGCGCTTATTTCGACATTGCGATCCGTCGACAATAAATTGAGCGACGTTACCTTTGTCATTTGGGTCACGCACGCCGCACTGTCGGTGTCCCAAAGTACGTTTTCTCTTCGTCGGTACATATCCCGGAATATATAAACTGGGAGATTCGAGTTTGCCGGTGGATATGAGTTTGCTGAAGTCTTGCTCCAATATATTGGCAATTGGGCCTGTACAAATGAAGTTATATGTTTCGTGAAGTGAGAACGCAATTACAATTAAATATTAAATATAACGTGAAACGCAAAATGAAGCGTAGACAAACTCGCCTTTGAAGTGCAGAAGAAACTGAATGCACGCGCCATTATGCAACGTTTTGGTTTGTCTACTGTCAATCGACAGCATCCATTCGGGGATGCCCATCACTTTCCTCACGTCTTCTAAAAATTGCGCCCTACGCAAAGGAACGAATTAAAAAAAAAATTATATTTATCGTTAAATTGACGATTTGCATTTCCACCTCGACGCTCGTAGAAACCACTTACACCACAAACCGCGGCGGTTTCCTGATATTCGCGTATTTCACAATGTCGTTGTCGGGCTCGATGTTCGCGCAGGAGAATCTGTTGGTGCCGAAATCCTTGTCGAAGATGACGATGGATCTACCCAACGCGGAAATCGGCCCGCCCAGCGGGAAGTTTCGATCGGTGAACACTTGCCGCTTCTCACCGATATCGATGGGCCCTAGGCGAGAGGATATGTCGCCAACATAACATCGCAATGGTAAATCCGGGCCGCACTCTTGCCTGTAAAGATCATCCTGAAAGACCGTTGAAGCATTAATCATCATTATCGCACGAAACATTTATTTGAATTCGACGTAGATTTTAATTACAGCTTGTCCAACGGGTTAATAGCTTCTAAGCATAACTTACATTCAACGGGTCAGCTAATTGAGTGAAATAAGGATTCCACGTGTATCCGCCCGCCACGCATCGAGTGTTCTCCACCTTCACCGCGGCGTCCACGCCCACGGGGTTTACGTATATCGCCCAGTTATGGTTTCTCGTCTACGATCATACACAATTGCAATTAGCAAGCGCGTAATGCGCCTGTATTAACAGGGGAGACCCATATCTCTCCTGGGATTTCGCGCTTACAATATTGCGATCGTGCTTGCCGGGGTAGCGCAGATTCACCTCGATCACCGTCTCGCTTTGGCTGCTATCCTTATACACGAGCTGCGTCTGCAACCGGCAATGCGCGGTATTTAATGTAAATTCCTATCGTTCGTTCTCACCTCAAAATTCTCACACAGTGCTGGCGCAACTACCATTCTTATGTAACCGTACAAGAAACCGTGCGGGTGATGGAACGACGCGATAGCACGTAACTCGCTAGCATCGGTCGGGGAGTATCCTCTCTCCACGGTGGAACATGCCCACCTGAATGGCACAAACCGAAATCTTCAGTGACATCGAAATGTTTATTCTGCACTGGGTCTATTTGCTTCCGCATTAAGTCTTAATGTAGCATTTAAAATTTCTTCCCGGCAAGTCTAAATTCCCCACTCTATTAGAGCTCCTTTAATGCCACAAATAGGAAGTTATTTTCATCTTCTTCACTTGAAGACTTAATGTAGGATTTGCGAATCACAGTTCGGTTACCTCAAGTTCTTGTTCTTCATATGAATGACGACGCTGCGGCCCAGGACGCTTCTCGGCCCGAACAGGGGCAGCATCGTATCGTTGTACGCGGATACGTATCTTTTCTTGTTATCTAGAGTGCCAAATTTTCCGCTCAAGTCGCCCATCTCGTACTGATCCAGCGTGCCCTCCTCCGCAGCTGGTACGTTGCTCGTATTGACATTTAACGGGTTCCAATGTCCATAGAGCGATGTTCCCTCGCACGGAAATTCCAAGTCGTACTCGACGGGTGTCTGAAAGTACGCGGACGCTTGTAATTCACATTTAAATCGAAGAAAAGTCTTCGAACGAAATTGAAAAAGAAAGAGAGAGGAAGAGAAAATTAACGTAAATTAACGGTGACTCGGGATCTTCGAGTTTAGCAAACTTTTAGTAACCATATGCACGTGATATCCGCTCATACTCCCACCGAGGCCCTCGAACGTCACTTCCGCATTCGTGATATCATACTCAGTTTGTTGTAGGAGCTCTAATTTTCCCCTCAGAGGTATCTGCCCACTGTTTCCGAACCAATCTCTCGCCACCGCCTTGCGTCGGTAGACTCCGCCGATGCTGAAAGCATAATCATGTTTTTAACATAATACATGAAAACATCTGATTTATTCCAATTGATTAGGCAAGTACATGGAACAAGCCAGTCGGTCTCCGCGTGCAACCGGCCCATGGTCTTCGTAGATAACTAGACTCTTGCCGAACAACGTGTGAGGCCCTGATAAGGGCAGCATCGTGTCCGTGAAGAGCCGTTGAGTCAATTCCGAGGCGTAAAGCTTCCTACCGGCGATTTCGAGTGCGCCGTGTCTCGTTAGATCGCCTAGGCGACATAACGAGATTTCCGAGATCGAGCAGGGTTTATCCGGGCTCCAGTCCACCTGAGATACATTTATCATTTAAAAGTAAACTCAAATCACATATACACGCTCGAGAGACCTTGAGAAAGAGTGACTCGAAGGAAGAAATAACCAAGTTTATTATTTGAAGGCCGGCTATCATAATTAAATTTTCAAAAAATTGTCAGAAATTACGAATTAATTGATTAACTAATTAAATCGAATCGGTAATTATTCGTACCTTATGTGGGTTGTAGGGTGACCCGGTGCTCAAGCACCGACCGGTCCAATTGTAGAAGTCCTTCCCGGGTGCGCTCTCATGCACCATCCACCTGAATGAAACAACTTCATCGTTAATTCCCTGTTACCTTTATTGAATGAGAAGTAATTTGTTCGTCTCGTTAAAAAAAAAATTCTAAATCCACCTGTGCTCCGCAGAGTTGTTTACGGTATTGCCGTCCGCGTGAACGAGATGTTCTATTATTACAGTGGTGTCCATCTCGGGATCGTCCTTAGGTTGCCGGAAAAGTATTCGCCCGACTATGGGATATCGAAATATCACTTCCGCCGTGTACATCGGCATCTGCCAGTCGGTGTGCGGTGTGTAATGCGCGAACATGCCGCATACCCATGGAATCACGCCTTTGTTGTCGGTCTCGTTGTATCTAACGACCAAAAATTTCTTTCTTCAGCATCGATCGGTGCGATACAAAAGTGCCTTGCGATGTATAATTGGATAGCGAGTGACTCATGCGCGTTTGATCGTGACAGGCGATTACTTGTGAAGCACCAAGGATCTGTGAACGATACTGTGAATCCCGGAAAGCGGCAAATACGCGTCCCAGTAGATTCCGCTGAGTTTAGCGCTCCCGGGTAGGATGTCGTTGTGATAAGAGCCCTCCTTCCGTCCTTGCAGCTTGCCAGACAGGTCACCGATGGCATATTGGTCCTGAGTACCAAAACCTGTTTTTATTCAAGCAGAAAATGAAAGAATGTTATTTCCATAAGCAAGTAAGCAAGAGATCATTAACACGTTATTGCGATGATATTTGATAACATATAATGTTTTCAAGTATGTAGTTCTTAATGGTGTGTACAACGTCATTGTTAACAATATTTGACCCAAATATCGAAAATAATATTTTTACGCTATAACTTTTTTATATTTAGGAATATTATATCATCAAGCAACAGTTGAAAAACATTTGATTTAATATTTCTTGCTTATTGGCTTTAATTCTGAAATTTATTACCGGTTTAGCTTCTTTCAATTGATTAATCAGCTGAAATTTTCAGGCGCACGATACTTTTCGATCATTGTAACTGTTACTACCTGCCGGTGGAGTGGTCTTTTCATCGATGCTCAGAGGATTATACAATTTCTTGGTGGTCAAACACGGATCGATGGTGAGCCTCACACTTCGCGCTGGTTCCGGGGGTAACTCGTGTATCCTGTAAGACGCCACTTTGGTGGCATACCGCAGTCTGGTCTCCAGATCGTTGATGGTTGTCAAAGAGACGTTGACCCACGTGGGGTCGAACGGGGTTTCCTGGATCGCCGTGATCTTCCCTTTGATTCCACGTGAATTGATCGCAGCCCTGGATATTGTTTTTGTAAAAAACCTCGTCGAACATGATACATACGATAAAGTGTCGCGATACTTACTTGACGTGTATCGGTTTGCGGTGATTGATCTTGGCACAGGCTAGAAACGAGTCCTCGTGCACGGGATGGAAGACGACTAGATACAAGTGGCGATGCGGACCGAGCAAATCAGTCGGTAATAAAGATAATTCGGGGTCTCTGTAGAAAGTCTTGTACTTCTCCCGCGTACTAGCGGCGACTTTGACTTTGCCCAGACGCGTGTCGACGTCCCCGATCGACTTTCCAACGCCGACGTCGTTGGGATCGAATACATTTTGGAGGATGTTGCAGTTGTTCTTGTCTAAACGTGCAAGAATGTCCGGTGAAACGACGGTATATTGTAAACGATCGACTTCGAAACACCGGTCGGAGATAATCGGTCATCGTTGATTATAAAATTTACGATTACAATTACCGACCTTTGCCAGTCTCGAAGATATCGGTGACGTATATCTTCCAATGATGCTCGGTGTAATTTGGCGCTTGCAGTTTTTGCTTGTGCACGTGATGCAAGTTCGTGTGAATAATCGTGTCGGTGGACTCGTCGCCCACCTGACCGCCCAGCCATCGGAACAACACCGTTCCCGCCACGGGGCCGTAAAAGCGCGCCTGGGCGAACTTCTCAACGTTCCTCTCGAGTACCTGGGGGAGAAGAGAGGAAGTTCAATCATACGACGGAACGATATAATCGGTGGCAACTTGTTGTGAATTAATCGTAAAAAAAATTTGCTGCATCAGCGAAATATTTCTTTCAGTCATAAATTACCGTGATCGAGGCACATATTGTCCGGGGCGAGTAAGTATCCTTTAACACCAAACCTTTCCCCCACAAACCCGTTTCTCCGGTCAACGACAAATCCGCGACTTCTATCGCGCCAGTTTGGTTCATCGGTAATTCGAGGGGTCCGATTCGTTCGGTCAAGTCGATGATACTGCGTATAAAGTTAAGCAAAACGGCTTTTTACAACGACTTGCACATTCTTTTTAACGTTATTCTAATTATTCCAACGTCCGGTTACTGTGCATTCACCTTTCCCCGATGTGCCGTTTGTCACATCTTCCCTCGATAATTGTGTAATCGACCGGGAACTGAGTGATAGACCAAAGCCATTGTTGATCCGGATATTCCAGGGTCGCTTTCAGAGAATAACGTATTCGTACCGAGGAGGGCTCCGCGCCTCTCTCGAATCGTATCTCACCATGGAGACCACCGGAGGATATGTAAGCGGCGAGCCTAAGCGAACTCGCGATAGTCACTGTACAGAATGTTCTACTATATTCAATGATTCTTCAATTCAGATTTCTGGATACTCGCTATAGCTGTTCTTCTTTAATGACGTCAGAAGCGGGGAAAATCATGTATAATTAAAATTCATATTTCGGCGTTATGATTTTTTTTTATATTTTAATATTCAAAAACATTATATTATCAAGTAACAGTTTAAAATCATTTACAAAATGTATTGTGTCGACATGTTTATAAGATCCGCGTAAAATCAATGTTTCAAAAGATCGATTCAATTTTTTTCGCTTACTGGTCCGCTATCTCAAGATAAAACATAATTTAATTCTCTCGGCTCTCCCCACCCCTCACAACGTTCGGATATTGCGTGCTGTTTCGGAATGACGGAATCGGAAACGCGCTTTCACTCACCTAAGTAGCAGAGTATCAGAAGCCACTGCATCGCTGTTAACGAACATCGGGAAACGCTGGATATTTCTTACTTTTTCCAGTCACGCTAATCACAATAAAGCAAACGCGAATATCGTCAGCGCGCGTTGTAGTCCACACGGTGAGAAATCGCGATTCGACAATGAGACCGGCCGGACTGGCCGAAGTAACGGTCCGTTACTTTCATATTCCTCGAACAAATCTGGGTGGGAGTGCAGGAGTGGAGCGGGACTATGACCTCTCTCTGAAAATGAAAGTATCGGCAGCCAGGAATCATGATACTGATATGATTCTGACAAGCTCGGTTTCGCTTCTCTTTTCAATGAGCGAAAAATGGGTTTGCGCCAAATATCGTTTCATTCATTCACGTACTTGTTTATTATCCTATCTAATAAATTATCATTTACACGTATGCATTTTTTTAACTACGATGTTTCTTTAAATTTGATAACAGGAGTAATTAAACGTTTTTTTTCAAATTCATAATGATATCGGACACATCTAGATTTTAATGTTAAAAAAAGTATCGTGAAGTTGATAAAATAACATTTTATATTTAGCTACAATTATTTACTTACAATGTGTTATTGGGAAGCATACGTAGTACTTGTTTCATCGCTTCTCGCAATCTTAAGTTTAATTTTCTGAAATATTTGGACGGTAAAATTATATAGGCACGAAAGATAGAACCTCTCCCGCTCTCGGTAATCGGCCGTATGAAAAGGAACCAGTACGGCCACTCTCAGGTTTCTCGATGTCCCTAGCCTGAGCCCGGCTATTTTTGGTCTTCGCCGATTGGCGGTCTATCGTAGGCAACATGGAGCAAAAAATACTCAAATTTTCTATCCATCAGCCAATCAAAGCGCGTCACAATTTCGATAATGGCTGCGTTAAAAAAACAGAAGAAGCGATCAGTGAGCGATCAATGATTATTGGTCTTTACTGTTAGACCTCTAAATTTAGACCAATTATTATTAACTAATTGACAAATCACTCGACTGTTGTACAACCGTTGTTTTCTATGAACGCAACCAATCACCTCGACTCTTATTATTCTACGTATTCTATGGCCACTTAAGAGCCAGAGGCAATACAATCATGGCGGATGCTGCGGCTCGTCAACTGCAATACGAATATAAAGCGGTTTGTATTTTACATATTTGTTATTAATTTTCCGACATAATACTTTCTTTCTCTAATTTCTTCGATGTGTTTACTTTATATATATGTTACTTAATTATGCTATATTTGATGACCACTTTTACGACATGTGGTGCAATGTTGTTAATTGGTTGTCACCAATGCTTCCAGAATTCTAATCTCGTTTTACAAGCTGACGTCCGGTTAATAGAGAGACGCAGCCGAGATGAAGCCACCGGTGAAGTTATGTCCCTCGTTGGGAAGCTGGATGGCACACGCATGGGTGATAGAGCGCAGCGTACAAAGCCAGGAAAGGCGGAAGAACGGAAAGTCAAGTGAGTTTAACTTTAAATATCGATGAGAGAAGAATGATAGTGAAATTGGATCAATTGAGAGAAATTTTCGTTATATTTTCAGTAAAATATTCTTGTCAGGACTTTTTATATAGAGATTTAGCAGACATCGTTCTTAATAATATAATATATAAAATGTTGGAGACACAGGTCCGAGATAATATATTTTCATTATTTTGTGTAGACGTCAAAAGAGAGACGAAGCTCAGTACGACTTCACACGTATGAAAGGCGCGACGTTACTTTCGGAAGGGGTCGACGAAATGGTTGGTATTGTATATCGTCCGAAAACACAAGAGACACGTCAGACTTATGAGGTATTGCTCAGTTTCATACAAGAGGCTTTGGGCGACCAGCCGCGCGATATCCTTTGCGGCGCGGCTGACGAAGTGTTAGCTGTGTTGAAAAATGACCGGCTTAAAGAGAAAGAGAAGAAGAAAGAGACGGAACTCTTGCTCGGCTCGCTGGCTGAGGAGAGATTCGCTCTGCTCGTAAATCTCGGCAAAAAGATCACAGATTTCGGCAGCGATGAGAAGAGCACCGCGAACGATGAGAATATCGATGAAACGTACGGAATTAACGTGCAATTCGAGGAGAGTAGCGAGGAGGACGACGAGGATGTGTACGGAGAAGTCCGGGAAAACGACGACGAAGGAGACGAGGGCGAGGAAGCTAACGATGACCGAGCTATTCACGCGGAAAACGTGAGTGTACACCATGACTTGTCGCCGGTAACTGTTAATCCCGAATAATTGTTGCACATCGTGACTTGCGTTATCTTCCAGCTGGGAGGAACAGAAGAGATGAAGAAAGAGAAGCCGTTACACCCGCTGGACATAGACGCATACTGGCTGCAAAGGAGGCTAAGCAGGATATACGATGACGCGATGGTCTCACAGGCGAGGGCCGCTGAGGTGCTGGCGGTCTTGAAGGATGCCGGGGACGATCGCGACTGTGAGAATCAACTTGTGCTGCTGCTAGGCTACGATTGCTTCGACTTCATCAAACAGCTCAAGAAATACAGACACACCGGTGAAGATGCGCACTCTACAAAACTAAATATCAAACCTTTAAATATTTCTGAAATATTCCTTAAACTTTTTGTTTTTTTTTTACAGTTGCGTACTGTACGATGCTGGCATCGTCGCAGTCCGAATCCGAGAGGCAGAAGATTCGTAACAAGATGAACGACGACCCGATGTTGGCGAAGATCTTGCGCCAATTGGACACGGGTAAGGGCGAAGATGACGCCGATGAAACGATGGAAGCGAGATCGCAGCGCAAGAGGCGAGAAGAGAACGAGGACACAGGCGGGCCCGGCGGCCAGGTTCAGGGCACGAGGAACTTGATCGATCTGGAAGACCTGATATTCGCACAGGGGAGCCACTTCATGGCGAACAAGCGTTGCCAGCTTCCCGACGGCAGTTTCCGCAAACAACGAAAGGGGTGAGACTGCTCGATATTTAACGCAGGATTTCTCACTTGTTTTGATACAATTTAAATGATATCAAAGTACTATCTAATGTCAAATTTATTCTTACATGAAGAAAAAGAGATTTATATCATATCACATATTCTTACTTTAAACTTTTATACTGTTTAAAATGAAACGATTTCAAGTTTCTCGCTGTGTGGAAATATCCACAGATACGAAGAGGTTCACGTGCCCGCTCTCAAGCCCAAGCCGTTCACGGAGAACGAGAAGCTGCATCCGATCGAGCAGCTGCCGAAGTACGTGCAACCAGCGTTCGAGGGCTTCAAGACGCTGAATCGCATACAGAGCCGCCTCTATCAGACGGCGTTGGAGAGCGACGAGAATCTGTTGCTGTGCGCGCCCACGGGAGCCGGTAAGACCAACGTGGCTCTGCTGTGCATGATGCGGGAGATCGGCAAGCACATCAACGCCGACGGCACGATCAATGCCGACGAATTCAAAGTGATTTACGTGGCGCCGATGCGCTCGTTGGTACAGGAGATGGTCGGCAACTTCCGTAAGCGTTTGTCGACGTACAATCTCACCGTGTCCGAGTTGACGGGTGACCATCAGCTTACGCGAGAGCAGATCGCCGCTACCCAGGTGATAGTGTGCACCCCGGAGAAGTGGGACATCATAACGCGGAAGGGCGGTGAGAAGACCTTCACGTCGCTGGTACGGCTGATCATCATCGACGAGATTCACCTGCTCCACGACGAGAGGGGGCCGGTTCTCGAGGCGTTGGTCGCGAGGACGATCCGGAACATCGAGACCACGCAGGAGGACGTACGACTGGTCGGCCTGTCGGCCACGTTGCCCAATTACCAGGACGTAGCGGCGTTCCTGCGCATCAAACCGGAGACCGGGCTGTTCTACTTCGACAATAGTTTCCGGCCGGTGGCGTTGGAGCAGCAGTACATCGGCGTGACCGAGAAGAAGGCGCTCAAGCGCTTCCAGGTGATGAACGAGATCGTGTACGAGAAGACGATGGAGCACGCCGGGCGCAACCAAGTGCTGATATTCGTGCACTCGCGCAAGGAGACCGGCAAGACTGCGCGCGCCATCAGGGACATGTGCCTGGAGAAGGACACGTTGGGTCAGTTCCTGCGGGAGGGTTCCGCATCGATGGAAGTGTTGCGGACCGAAGCCGAGCAGGTGAAGAACCAAGAGCTGAAGGACCTGCTGCCGTACGGCTTCGCGATCCATCACGCCGGCATGACTCGCGTCGATCGTACCCTGGTGGAGGATCTCTTCGCCGACCGGCACATACAGGTGCTCGTGTCCACCGCGACCTTGGCCTGGGGTGTCAACCTACCGGCGCACACGGTCATCATCAAGGGCACGCAGGTGTACAATCCGGAGAAAGGCAGGTGGGTGGAGCTGGGCGCGTTAGACGTTCTGCAGATGTTGGGTCGCGCCGGCCGGCCGCAGTACGACACCAAAGGCGAAGGCATCCTCATCACGAATCACAGCGAGCTGCAGTACTACCTGTCGCTGTTGAATCAGCAGTTGCCGATCGAATCGCAGCTGATCAGCAAGATGTCCGACATGCTGAACGCGGAAGTGGTACTGGGTACGATTCAGAACATTCGTGACGCGGTCACTTGGCTCGGCTACACTTATCTCTACATCCGGATGCTGCGTTGCCCGAACCTCTACGGGATCAGTCACGACAAGCTGAAGCAAGACCAGCTGTTGGAGCTGCACCGGGCCGATCTTATTCACTCGGCGGCGGTCGGGCTGGATCGCAGCGGCCTGATCAAATACGACCGCAAGTCTGGCAACTTCCAGGCGACCGAGTTAGGCAGAATAGCGTCGCACTATTACTGCACGCACGAGACGATGGCGACGTACAACCAGCTGCTGAAGCGCACCCTCAGCGAGATCGAGCTGTTCCGCGTGTTCTCCCTGTCGGGTGAGTTCAAGAACATCAACGTGCGCGAGGAGGAGAAGCTGGAGCTGCAGAAGCTGATGGAACGGGTGCCGATACCGGTGAAGGAGAGCATCGAGGAGCCGAGCGCGAAGGTGAACGTGCTGCTGCAGGCGTACATCTCCCAGCTGAAGCTCGAGGGCTTCGCCCTCATGTCCGACATGGTATTCGTCACGCAGTCGGCGTCCCGTCTCATGAGGGCCATCTTCGAGATAGTCCTGTTCCGTGGCTGGGCCCAGCTGGCGGACAAGTGCCTCTCCCTCTGCAAAATGATCGATCGCCGGATGTGGCAGTCGATGTCGCCGCTGCGCCAGTTCCGCAAGATGCCGGAGGAGATCGTGAAGAAGATCGAGAAGAAGAACTTCCCGTGGGAGAAGCTGTACGACCTCGGGCCGAACGAGATCGGCGAGCTGATACGCGTGCCGAAGCTCGGCAAGACCATACACAAGTACGTCCACCAGTTCCCCAAGCTCGGCCTGTCCACGCACATACAGCCGATCACGCGCTCCACCCTGCGCGTCGTCCTCACCATCACACCGGACTTCCAATGGGACGAGAAGGTGCACGGCATGTCGGAGGCGTTCTGGATACTGGTCGAGGACGTGGACTCGGAGGTGATCCTCCACCACGAGTACTTCCTGTTGAAGGCCAAGTACTCGGCCGACGAGCACGTGATCAAGTTCTTCGTGCCGGTGTTCGAGCCGCTGCCGCCGCAGTACTTCCTGCGCGTTGTCTCCGACCGGTGGATCGGCGCCGAGACCCAGCTGCCGGTCAGTTTCCGCCACTTGATACTGCCGGAGAAGAACCTGCCGCCCACGGAGCTGCTGGACCTGCAGCCGTTGCCGATCACCGCACTGCGGAACGCCAAGTTCGAGAACATCTACGCGGACCGCTTCCCGCAGTTCAATCCGATTCAGACCCAAGTGTTCAACGCGGTGTACAACTCGGACGACAACGTGTTCGTCGGCGCGCCCACCGGCTCCGGCAAGACCACCATCGCGGAGTTCGCCGTGCTGCGCCTCTTGACGCAGAACACGGAGGGCAGGTGCGTCTACATGGTCAGCAAGGAGGCCCTGGCGGAGCTGGTGTACGCCGACTGGGCGGTCAAGTTCAACCAACAGCTGGGCCGCAAGGTCGTCCTCCTCAGCGGAGAAACCGGTACCGATCTGAAGTTGCTGGCGAAAGGGCAGATCATTATCACGACGGCGGACAAGTGGGACGTGCTGTCGCGTCGATGGAAGCAGCGGAAGAACGTGCAGAACATCCAGCTGTTCATCGTCGACGAGCTGCAGCTGATCGGCGGCGAGGAGGGCCCGGTGCTCGAGGTGGCGTGCTCGCGGGCGCGTTACATCTCCTCGCAATTGGACAAACCCACCCGGATCATCGCTCTGTCGGCTTCGCTGGCCGACGCTAAGGACGCCGCGCAGTGGCTGGGCGCGCCAGCCGCGGCCACCTTCAACTTCCACCCGTCCGTGCGGCCGGTGCCGCTGGAGCTGCACGTGCAGGGGATAAACGTCACCCACAACGCGTCGCGGCTGGCGGCCATGGCGAAGCCGGTGTACAACGCGATACTGCGCCACGCGTCGCACAAGCCGGTGATCGTGTTCGTGCCTACTCGACGGCAGGCGAGGCTCACGGCCATCGACCTGCTGACCTTCACCGCGGCGGAGGGTCAACCCTCGCGGTTCTTCCACGCGGAGGAGGCCGACATCAAGCCGTTCCTCGACCGTATGGTCGACAAGACGCTGAAGGAGACCCTGTCGCAGGGCGTCGCTTACCTTCACGAAGGCTTGTCGGCCGACGACCGCCGCCTGGTCGAGCAATTGTTCGACAGCGGCGCCGTTCAAGTGGCGGTCGCCACGAGGGACCTTTGTTGGGGCTTGTCCATCAGCTCCCACCTCGTCGTGGTGATGGACACGCAATGCTACAACGGTAAGACCCACGCTTACGAGGACTACCCGATCACGGACGTGTTGCAGATGGTGGCGCGCGCCAATCGTCCGTTGGAGGACGACGACGCCAAGTGCGTGCTCCTGTGCCAGAGCTCGAAGAAGGACTTCTTCAAGAAGTTCCTGAACGAGCCGTTGCCGGTGGAGAGCCACCTGGACCGCCGGCTGCACGACCACTTCAACGCGGAGATCGTGACGAAGACGATCGAGAACAAGCAGGACGCGGTCGACTACCTGACCTGGACCTTCCTCTACCGGCGGCTCACGCAGAATCCGAATTACTACGGTCTGCAAGGCGTGACGCATCGTCACCTCTCGGACCACCTGTCCGAGCTGGTCGAGAGCACGTTGACCGACCTCGAGCAAGCCAAGTGCGTCGCCGTGGAGGACGAGATGGACACGTTGCCGCTGAATCTCGGTATGATCGCCGCCTATTACTACATCAATTACGCCACCATCGAGCTGTTCAGCCTGTCGTTGAACAACAAGACGAAAATCCGGGGTCTGTTGGAGATCATCTCGGCGGCAGCGGAGTACGAGAGCGTGCCGGTTCGACAGAGAGAGGAGAATCTGCTGAGGAGCTTGGCGGCGCGGCTGCCGCACGCACCGCAGGCCACCAGGATGGCTGATCCCCACGTAAAGGCGCAACTTCTGCTTCAGGCGCATCTCTCCAGAATACAACTCGGCCCGGAGCTGCAGAAGGACACCGAACTGGTGCTGGGCAAGGCCGTCAGGCTGATACAAGCGTGCGTCGACGTTCTGAGCTCCTCCGGATGGCTGGCGCCCGCCGTCGCCGCCATGGAGCTGGCGCAAATGGTGACGCAAGCGATGTGGTCCAAGGACTCCTACCTGAAGCAGCTGCCACACTTCACCATGGACACGATCAAACGCTGCACCGACAAGGGCGTGGAGACCGTATTCGATGTGATGGAACTTGAAGACGATGATCGTAACCGATTGCTGCAGCTGTCGGACGCACAGATGGCCGACGTGGCCAAGTTCTGCAACCGTTACCCCAACATCGAGATGTCGTACGAGGTACAGGACAAGGACAAGCTGCACAGCGGCGGCACCGTCAACGTGATCGTCCAGCTGGAGCGGGAGGATGAGGTAACCGGCCCGGTGGTCGCGCCCTTCTTCCCGCAGAAACGCGAGGAGGGTTGGTGGGTGGTGATAGGCGACCCGAAGAGCAATTCCCTATTGTCCATCAAGCGGCTGACGTTGCAACAGAAAGCGAAGATCAAGCTCGACTTCGTCGCGCCCGCGCCTGGCCAGCACACCTACACGTTGTACTTCATGAGCGACGCTTATCTCGGCTGCGATCAGGAGTATAAATTCAACATCAGCGTCGGCGAGTACGAGTCCGACGCCAGCTCCGGCTCTGATTCCGATTGAATCTTGATACTTCAGAGACTCCGATACGTTCTTCTTCGTGTCATCCTGACATCACACACATTCGTTCCGTCGACAGATTCGGCTTATTCTGTCTGTTGTCGGGCGAGTCGCTAAAGACAACCGACGTTGGAGTATAGTCATCAAGATTGCACGTACCTTAGAATTCACTGAGCAGTAATAATTTTATAAACAAGTATCAAAGTATCACCGGTTATTATTGTTTTAGGTAATGTAATAAGAAATAAAATTTATATCTAAATGCGATAGTACTTCTCTTAATATGCCCGTCTTTATTTTAACGTTGCCTTTTTTTTGTTTTTTTTTTTTTTTTTTAAAGAATGTTAAGCCTGCGTTTTTGCCCGTTGGATTGCCCACTTGCGTGTTAATCTTTATTAATTCACAAGTGATAATTCAGTATGGTCGACATTTTATCAAGAAGACATTTAAAATATGCAATAAATGATATATATATATATGTAAAGATTAAAAGAAAAATGCACACTTTAAGAGCGTACCGACATATCTGTTCGTCGTCTGAAAGGCAGTTTTGCAAATGTAAAATTCGTGAATCCGATTGGTGTATGTTCTTAGATTCGCTCAAGATCAAGAGCATACGTCAATCGGATTTCACGAATTTTACAACAGTTGCAAAGCTGATTTCTCTGCTGAACGTAGCCTATGTGAGAAGAATAATCAATTGTGATTGGTTAACGACTTAAGGCTCACTGCATCTACTGTGCACGCAGCTTAACGTGGCATTACCCTGCGAAAACCATTATTGAGAGAGAGAGAGAGAAAGAGAGAGGAAGAGATATTTAGCCGCACTCGTGGTACTCTAACCTCAAAGTTGTCAACATGTTCCACGGGTATGTGTATCTTCGCCGAAAAGTGTCACAAAAGCTCTTCTTGACTTTTGTCGCGGCTTTATCCGTTCACAAACTCGACACTCGATCGATCCACTTATCACTCTCAAATCAAAACTAACCGTTACTCAAAACTAATTTGTTTACCCGACGTGTGTGTACCGATCGAACGTACTCTCTGTTGCAGTTGTAAGAAGCTCTGTACCAGCGGCCTGAGGTTACCGTCGCGATGCGCCGGGACGCTGTCGAAGGCGGAGGCGAGGAAGCGCCGGTGTCAGATGTTCGACGAGGAGAAGCAGAAGCAACGCTCTCAATTGGGTAGAATCGAAAAGATCGAGGTGAAGTACCAGTCGGTGGAGGACGAGGTGGTGTTGGTGATGAACCGCAACATCTCCACGCCGCACGACTGCGCCAGGCACATCTCCGAGAGCATCGCCAAGATGTCCGCGATCGCCTTCGTCGACGGCCAAGTCTGGGACATGCATAGGCCGTTCACAGGCAATTGCGAGCTACAGCTGGTGACCATGCAGTCCCCGCGAGTGAACGCGATCAACAACGCCTTCTGGCGGACCTGCTCGATGATCCTGGGTGCTGTGGCGGACAACGCGTTCAAGGATAACTTGGACGTACATCTGCACAGCTTTCCCTATCCTGTGATCCGCTCCGGCAGCTTTGTGTACGACGTCTTCGTCGACCTGCCGAGCTGGCAGCCAACAGAGTCCGAATTGCGCGCTTTGTCTGCGCTTTTTGTCAAGTTTACAAACCGTGAATTGCTGTTGGAGAGGCTCGAGGTACATTACGACATCGCTCAAGATATGTTCCAGGTAGGGGCTGAACAAAATCACGTGATGAGATTAAATATCTGGATTAAATATTTCATATATGTTCTTCAAACGTAATATAATGCGTAATGCTTCATAATCGTATTATGTATGTTTAACTCAGGAATAGTCACCTTAGTTTTTTCTTATTTGGCTAATAGCTTTGGCTAATAATAGCAACTTTTAATTGCTGTCTAAATGACCCCAAGTGACTATTCCCGGATTAAGGAACGTATATGAAACCAACCGTGCTACCTGGGTATCCATGACATGTGATATAAATCGAAGAATGCGAGACAGGAGGTTAATGTGATTTTCTTCAAATGTGAAATCGATATTAGGAATTTATTTGTTACAAACATTCGATGACCAAACACTTGAATCAACTCGATTCCAAAATGACTCGTCAATGATTTCGCCTGTCTCCATTTACAGGACAACCCGTTCAAGTACCAACAGATACCCAACATCGCCAAAGATAACGAGGACGGCAAGGTGACGTTGTATCGCTTAGGCGACCACATAGATATCAGCAAAGGGCCCATGGTGGGCAACAGCGGCCTGGTAGGACGTGTTACCATAACAGCCGTTCATCGACATGTGGACGGGCCCGTGGATGGCTTGTACCGCTTCCAAGGTCTCGCCCTGCCCAAGGGCATCATGCTGAACCACTTCGCTTACAGTATCCTGGAGAATCGCGCGAAGAAACTGAACACCGTCACATGGCAACCGCACATCGAGCACGAGATGATAACTAACGCGACTGCGTCCGCGAACTGAGAATACTCGATCCGAGTGAGCTCTCGTGTAAATAAGTGCACCCTTTAGTTGTCTAAGAATTACTTTCGGTGTAACTCCACGTTATTCTTCGTCTCTTGATCGCGTTCCTGAGACGAGTCGTAAACGCGACCAAGAGTCACCTTTGTAGTTCAATAATTATTACACGTAATAAAGAATCAGGGCATGTTTTTTTACTCAATTTCTCACGATGCTATCTTTCATTCGACTCTTGGTTTCGAGAATCTTAGACTCGGCATCATTTCTCTGTTGCCAGCAGAGATGGAGTGTCGAACGGGAATGGATTCGGATGCATTTTATTTTACCGTCGGGTGCACAATAAAAGCTGTTTATTAGAGCAATTGTATTATATGTATATGTGCGCGCGGGAAAGTAACGATCGTCTAACAATTGCGCGAGACTCAGCTACATCGCGGACGGATCTGTCGTGGACTACACACCTCCCAGACGAAAACACTGGGCAGTCTGTTGGCTTTCGACGCCGCGCACTTTGTATTCAACTTCAGATACAGCTCCTGACTCGAGTTGACGCCGCAAGCGTCCAGATCGGGTTTCGCCCGCACTGCCAGTGGCGCTAGTTCCGACGAGCACCTGAACGAGCAATAAAAGTAGGAAACCAATTTGGACGATTTAATAAAGCTCTTGGACTTTTGTTGTAACGACATCGGAAGCTGAATCGATCACAAATATCATTTTGTGAATATCTTCCTTGAACGTATAAAGCAAGAATTCTTGGCATTTTGTCGCTTCCGACGTTATTAAACAAGCGAGAAGCCTTAATATTCGAGAGGACGAAACTGCTCGGAAATGATTGCGGAAATTGAGAAAGTCCGGCAACTCTCTCTGATCTCTACGATTGATCGTTGGCTCACCTCAACTCGACCGTGATGACCAAATCGAATTGGGGTGGTCGGTTGGTTTCCTGCTCGAGTTCCCCGCCCCCGGTGTTCTCCACGTTGCCGAGCCTCGCATGCCTGAACTTGTACTCGTAGGCGTAATTGCTCATGTTACCGTAGTAGAAGAATTGACCGCCGTATTCGCCGTATCCCGAGTATATAGAGGCTGGTGGAAGTTTACGGGATGGCAAGGACGGTAGCTGAAACGTCAATTTGCGAGAAATTACTGATTTTCAGTCACTTACAATTCGAACAGGATGTGCGTGTGATTCTTTTGTTTCATCCTCAAATAATACATTTCTCGAGTGAATTCCACGTGTTACAGTGTCTACGAAGAGATTGCGCAGAGAATTACGAACCGTCACTCGAAGATCGAGCTTGCGCTCGTAGTGCAGCTTATGGAAAAGGTGCTTGTTGAAACTACCGACTAGCCGGCGCAGTCTCAGATACATGTAACGTTGCTTGTCTCGCCAGTTATGCTCGTCGTTCATGTTAGGCACCTGCAGGCATGTGAACCACGCGCGTTTCAAGACATACTTGAGCTGCATACTGACCTGAAGGTAAAATTCTACGGGATAGAATTCAATAAAGTTATATAAATATCATGATTTTCTTACAGAAATTCTTCACTTTATCGTGACTTTTATTTGAAACGTCAAGTTTGCAAAATTTTTTCTTGAAACATTCCTTACCGTGGAGGTACCCGTTCTCGAAGAGGTCCTGAAGGACAGCAATTGTCGTCCTTCCCCCAGACAATCCAACACATCCACGATTTTGCATCCCGAAATCAACGCGGATCTGTCGGCGATTTTTATTAGTGATTAACTGAGCGATCAAATGGCGATCAATTGGATCGATGATTACACTAATCATCGCTCTGTTGATCGGACGTTAAAACAATACCGAAAGTCAATCAATTGTTGCTAATGGAAGATCGCAAACTAATGGAACGTGTCACCTGTTCACCCTATGCTCAGTGACCTTCTCGAAGTGATCCATGAAATTTTCGCAGCTGCGCGCGAAGATCTGCAGGTCGACATGGCTAAAAACGGTCGAAGACCCTCGGCAAGGGTTTAAGACTGTCTGTAAGAGGGAGTTGAGATTGTCGAGGACTCTGCCACCGTAGAAGCAGGAGACAGGTGTACTGTGAGACCTTCGTGTAGGCGGGTCGAACGAGAAAGGAGAGAAAATGTTCTTCTTAAGGAATCATCGACGACGTAGAGATATACGTTAAGAAATTCCCGAGTTCCTCAATTGTCCGGAAGAGATACGAGGTTGAGGGGATTTGGAAACCTTGGATGCGTGTATCGCCATGTAACTGCTTTTAGCATATGATACTGTGACCGGATAAGCTCCAGCGCGTTGAAAGTGCTGCTGTAATTCAGCTTCTCAACGCTGTTCCTCATACTATTTCCGAGATCCTTCGTACGCTTTATCGCAACTTCCAGCTTGGTGCCAGCCACTAAGAACTCACTGTTCAGCACTGTGGCGGCAATGTCGTAGCAATGTCTGCAGAAAAAGACCAACAGGAGGTGATGAGAATACAATCTGATGCTTTTGTGGAAACGTGAGTCTGTACCTTAGACTGAACGCGCAAGATTAAAGGAATCTGTTAAAATCTGAAAATTCAAAACAGTTGAGCTTTCAAAGTCCCGAAAATATTAAAGGGAAAAATTTTAATTCTACGAAAGTATTTACACGAAATCAAATTTAACGGCAGTCTATAACTTTACAGATGAATGATAAAAATAAATTGGAAAATCTTACGAATTTATTTTCTTTCTAAACATTTATCCTACTCATACATACATATATCTATATATATATATATATATATATATATTCAAATCACTTCAACAGTGTTCCACAACTTAGCTAGCCATTATTCTCGTTGTACTGATGAGGATCTACCTGGAAACCAGACGAACGGTACAGGCGACGTCGTGCAAAGACAGCATCCGCAAGATGATGCCTAAAACTTCCGGCGGCAGAGTGTTGAACGTGCACCGCCGCGTGTCCTTGCGCTCCTGCGCGTCCTGAAGACATCGTAAGGACAATTTTCTTCGTTTCGCGCGCATTTGTGTCCTCTTGGATCTAATTCTGTCCTCGAATGCCACGATCGCGACCAATGGCAAACCCGATCGCGACCAATCCACGAGAATCACGTGCGCTTTCGCATAGCGATCACGATCGACGAGATTTCCGATTACTCGAAGAGCAAAGTAATTCTTGAAATTTTGCGAATCCTCAGAAAAAGCGAGGACTCCTGAATTTGCGCTTAACAAACAAAGGAGCCGCCTCTTATAATTTCCCCATTACTGAGATAGCTTCAGAATGCTGAAGACAAACGAGGAGCTGTGTTCCAAGATGGAGATTTAACTCTTTTTTTTTTCCGAGTGATATGACAGCCCGAACGAAATAATGTTAATTTTTCGGACGTGTTAATCCTTCGAACGTTCCTCAAACATTTGCATTGTTTGGATTGTTTCTATAACAGCGTAAGATTTTTAACTCACGTAAGCAGTATTATATCAGTCGCATAGTAAGCAGAGATCACTTTAATTAAACTATTACTTCGATTTTTCTTCTTGATTAATCATCTCTCTCTCTCTCTCTCTCTCTCTCTCTCTCTCTCTCTCTCTCTCTTCTCGTTCCCTGTAATTATTTTCTCGAAATTATATATATCTTAAATCTAAAGAAATTGGATAGAGGTAGACGGAGACAAAAAGAAAACTAAAGATTTCTTATGGAATACTTCTTGTTATTTGCAAATTACGCAAACACAAAATAATAGCATTATATTCTTATCCAAGATTTATTTTTGTCGACATTTCTCGCGAAGTATAGAATAGCAGGTCAAATATAGTCAACACAATAATCAGCATATCCTTACTAAAGTCTGCCAAATATTTCATGATCCAATTTAGAAATTCATCGTCATTATCAACAAGGTATCACTTTCTGATCGCGGAAAACCACTAAAATTGCGAGCATCCAAAGATTCAAATTCTGAAGCTCCGAGAATTCATCACTGTTTGCGGAGCACAAAAATCTTGAATACACAGAGTACCGGCGGATCACACAATCTCGAGGACCTTAAATTCCGAATAGCCAAATCAAGGATTTGACAGCCCGAAAATTCCACGTCTTTATTAAGGTCCGATTTGTCAAGCATCCATCAAAGATCCAAGAAAGAAGTTACATTTCGAAAATCGAAACGTTGTAAGAGGACGTTCCAAGAATTTGGAGTTTCACGAATGGATGGGGGGGTTGTTTTCAGAGGATCAGAAGATTTGTTGAGAATTCGAAAGTCCAAAGCAAGCTCTTAAGGAGTCGAAGGCCTGTTTTTTCTGGCGCTTTATGCGCTGAAGTTCACCGGCATCAGCAAGGTAAACTTGGTCTGATCGATGTTGGCTTCTTCGGCGCAGGGCCCGATGCTGTCCAACAAGGTCTGTATCGCGTTCTGATTACCCGAGTGCTTCCTCTTGGTATGCTCGCGGCGATGTTTGAGTTCCTTGAACGTCTTGCCACACTGCTCGCAGACGTATGGCCTCGCGGCCTCGTGAGAGCGTACATGGCCCTCAAAATGGCTCTTCCTGACAAACTTCTTACCACACTGGCCGCAATCGAACTGAAAGCGACCCTCGTGAGCGGCCACGTGCGAGCTGAGGGTCCACTTGGTCTTGAAAGTTTTCGAACAGTAATCGCACCTGATCTTTGACTCGCCCTTGTCCGATCTTCGAGGCTCTTTTTTCAATAACAGCATTTCCTCTAACAGAAAATCGTCGGCATCGGTGGTATGATCCTTCGGCACCGCGGACTTGTCCATTTGACCCTGCAGCAGGGCCTTGGCATGATCCTCAAGCTTTATATGGCCATTTCTCGGTGATGGCTGAAAAAAATATGTATATGTATATACATGTTTATGTAAAAAAAGGAAGAGAATAAAAAAGATGTAAAAAATATAACGTTCTAATTTCATTCCTTTAAACACTGTAATGTCCTGTTTCTATTGTCACCGCTCAACTGGACAAAGAGTTGTTCTATTAATGTAACTTCAGAGCGGAAAAGTAAAAGCTGGAAGGATATCGAATAAGTCACACCTTATAGTGTGAGGCCAAGTGTGCCCTGAGTTTGTCTTCGTCGTTACATCTCTTCCTGCAACGCGGGCAAGGATAGCCGCTCTTGTCGTCTATGCCGCGTAAAAGAGCGTTCCGAAGGGTCGCGTCGTTCGTGATGTTCTCCACGTCGATCTTATGCTCGTCGGTCTGTTGCAGCTTCTCTTTGCGCATCGCGTGTCGGATAATGTGCCTTTTCAGATCGTGCGCTCGAGAAAACGCTCGTCCGAATCGTGAGCATGTGGGATAAGGACAGCCCTTTGTTCGGTCGTTCCTCGGACTAGAGGGAAAGAAAAAATCTTTAAAGTGTTGTCTTCTACATTTCCGAACGTCGCTGATAATAAAACGGAAGCAAGATCCGTCGACGAGATCCGCTCAAAGAAACTGAAGGAAAGGTCCGAGTTTAACGAAAGATTGCCGGATTGGATATTACAGAAATATTGTGAAAATCTCGGAACTAAAATTAAAAAGAGAAGCTCTATTATTTCAAGATTCCACGATCGATGAGTTGAAAGAAAACCTCATTCGAGCCCAAGAATATCGTTATAAAATAAAGATAACATATCATGATCGGTAAATTAGAAATGATATCGCGCAATTTAGGAAATTCTGTAGGTCGCCAGAATTAACGGAAGATCTTTCGTATGCGTGAATCCTGTACCTTCGAGTGGTATTGGTGGCGGTGGGCGTTTGTTTCGGGTCCTTGCTACAATCTTTGGGATTCTTGTTGATCTTTTGACCAGTCATTGTGGCCAGTTGCGCTGATAACGGTATCACGATGGAGATGGTCTCATTGGTGCCGGGAGTAACGATGGGACCGACGCGGATCGCCGGCGGCGGCACCAGCGATAAGTTGTTCTCGTTGCCCCTGTTCATCCTGCTGCTGGACAAACGATTGAGAAGGATAAGTGGCTACTATCTGTAGTAAATTCGCGTATGTATTTGTTTAAACAGTACCACTTCATATTCCTGAAAAATGTTCTACCTTTCAAATTGGTAAATTATTCAGGAATGCAATATTACATTAATTATATATTTGCGGTTAATACGAAGTGTTCGTTTAAAAAATAGACAACGTGTAACAAGGAAGTTTAAATAAAAAAAAAATATACTATACTTATAATAATAACATACTAATTACATTAATGATAATTTACATCTAATATGAATTCCATTAGTAGAATGTACGCGGGATACATGAGTTTAATTAATATATGTACATAATTAAGAAGAAAGAACTACCCAGACACAAACGATGTATCACCATCGGAGAAGAAATAATTCAAAGTTGTGAGGACGCAACTGATAATTTTTGTGACATTACATAACACCATACAAGTCTTACAATTTGACGCAAGGATCTAATTACACGCACGAATCCATTACTTAGCCGCATTGACCAAGACATCTCTGATTAATCAATCGTAAATATAACTTCGCGACGCTACATCGAACAAAAATTACCGAGAAAGAGATACGCGTTTCTGCGGGACACCCCGTATATGCGCCGCAAGTTTCGGAAGGGTTAGGGCGCAAACCGCGATCGATGGTAGGTCGTCTATCCACGCGTATCGGTGACGCGTTGGTGCCGAAAACTGAAAACTAAACACCCGTGAATTCCGGGATTGATTCGTAAACCCGCCGAGTCCAAATTTCGCTCCCACGCTCGGATGCACGGGAGAAAATAACGCCTTGCCACGTTGTTTTTTTTTTCCTACGCGACGACCCAAAACGACAGAAAAGGAGAAAAAACGACCGTTGGCGTGCGCGTAGCCGACGGCTATGCGGTTCGGAAACGCGAGCTCGTTGGAATTGCATCGGCGTCGGTAGGCGGCATTATCGTGACGCGTCACGGAAACGTCACGGACCGAGCCGACGTCTCACCGAGGTGTCTCCTCGTGAGGAAACGCGTCTCGAAAGCGCGCGAGAGGGAAGAGGAAGCGTATATCGTAGGCGATATTTACTTGAACGTCACCGTGTAGTCGCGTCGCAGAAACCTGTGGTGGCTCGCTGAAGGCTTCACCACATAACCACAAAAGAGCGCGCTCAAGGACGAGCTGTGTGCGCCTCGAGGAAGATGCCGAGACGCGCTGTCGGGGACAGGCCGTCGCCGACGACAATTCGCTGACGCCGTAGGTCCTCGAGCACCAACGTTCGCGCCTCCTTCCCTCGGGGATACGAAACCGACAGCGGAGAGGACGTGGAGCTGACCGTTACGGGGGATCTTCCTCACCGTGGAAATCACGCGGAGGAGTTACGCGAGCAGGCTACGTGGCGACGCAACGTTCCTTCGCGCTACGCACGCGACACGAGGGGCGGCCATCTTGAAGCGGGGCTCCACGTTCCACCTCCCTCGGGTCGCTCGCGCCGACTAATGACGCCCGCGAGCGTGTCGCGTCGTACGCGCCGAAAGGTCGCTCTCTTTCTCTCTTCGCCACACGAAAGCGGCTCTCCTCTTCCCCCAATTCGCCGCCTCCGATCTTCCAACTCGCGATACTCGCTTCGTCCCGGCGAACGTGAATTTCCCTGTTTTCCGGGAAAGACAGATTAGCCCGCGCGCGCCACGTGTTTTCCGAATGCAAACAGAATCGATTTCTTTAAGTTGATTTAAACACGCAAATACGAAATATATCGCCCCGTAAATGAGTGTAATCAATCAATTACGGGTAAATGTGGGTATCTCCGTGCGGTCTCGCAAGAACACGCAGAATATCTTCGAAAAATCAGCGAAGAAATAACGAGAAGGCGAGTCGCGCTCGTCGTGACATCTGTCCGACGGTTCGAAAATGGCGCCATCTTTTCGGCCGAAATGGCGGCCGCCCGAATTTCTCTCTCTCTCTCTCTCTCTCCACTCGGCCGGATTTCTCGTTTGCTTTTCACGCGCGATGAAAGCTACTGATCGCGTAGGTCGGCAGGATGACGAAAAAGCGAGCAGGGCGCAAACGAAGGAAAACACGGTCGAAGTGCGCGCGCGCAGACGATGATTCATTCACGAGGGTGTTGCATCCCTCACAGAGGATGATTTATTTTTTCTCTCTTTTCTTTCGTTATTCCGGGAGCGCAATGTTCACGATTTGACGGTGAACGATTGAATTTAATGGGAAGTACGGTATAGGGACTGAATATACGCATGCAAGACGCGCAGAAAGAGCAATTATTGCAATAATTGCGTGGGCGATGCGTGTGAGTGAATTGGATATACTTAGCAAATTGCCACATGCGTCGGTTACTAACTAATTAGTAATTACATTAGGCACACAAAAGAGCACAATTATCGTGAACGTACGCAGAATGCTTCATTGAATTTCGCGCGAGAACTTAGGCGGAATCCCGGCCTGTCGAGGTCTTTCCCTCGGGAAAAGTGATTAAATACGAATTTTGTCTCTGTATGGCCATATGTAATCAAATATGATTACACGTGTTCTGCATCTAAAAAATGTTGCTATACAAATATAATTGAAGTAAATGCTTATGCTTATATGGGCGCCCATAAACACTTAATTGAATCGAACCATTTTTTCCATTTCTTCATAACAGTATTTTTATTTCGGACATATATAATTATATATGTAGCCATATAGAGACAAAATTCATACATAAGTCATGTATAGTTGTACGTTACGTCACGTTACGTCACGTATAATTATACGTAATTTTATATGATCATGTGTAAACTTTTTTCCCCGGCACGTAAATACCGTTCCCACACGAAGAAAAGTTACAAGAATACGAAAAAATGTTCTTCAACAGTGCATCAGTAATTTTTTCTGGCATTCTTGTAACTTCTTTCCCGCACGAGTTGAATCTGAGGGTTGAATATATTCCTTCGAAAATTGATACTCTAACAATCTAACTCTCTCCAACGCGCGTTCTTCGTTTCTTCACTCGACATGTAAATCGAAACACGTTGACATCTTCTGCACAACTGTCATCGATTTTACGTATTTTGCAACGTGTTTCTGTTTTTCAGTTGTCTTGAGATATATATATATATATACATTTTTCCCAAGTATATCTGAAAATACATATGTCGAGTGGCGTTTCCGGTACGTTCTGGTCTCTCACCTGATGCACGTGGCGGCCTTGTTTCGTCATTGCGTTATCAGAGCGAATAGAAATGCATACAGAGAGAAAAAGATAGAAAGAGAGAGTGAGAGCGAGAAAGACGCGCGCGCAGAAAGTTAGGAAGAAAAGCTATCTCGCCGCGCGAGAACGGGAGGATACCGGGAGGATATCTGCATTTATATAAGGATCTCTCGATCCTGAGGAGTGCGCGCTTTTGCCTCCGTTGCGTAACCGTTTCGAAGTGATGTCGAAGGACGCGTATCCAGCAGATCGCCGTATTGCAATGCGTTTTCCAAGTCTCGTCTCGCCGAGCGTAGGTCGCTCAGATCCTTGGAGCGATCCTCGGGCATATCTTCTTCCGTGGACGTCGACGGAATCACGTCTTGCCGCGTGCGGAACATTTGCTCTGCTTAATATACCGGAATACCCGGTACGCGCGCGCGCCAAGTGCCGCGTACCTGTAATTAATAATTAAGGCTAATTAAGGCTTCACCCCGCAACCGAATGTGCTTTCACGGTATATCGCGTGCGCCCTTCGTGAATCGATATTTCTAACTAAATTGTCCACATAGCGCACGCTCCGCTCTCATTAAAACGTCATGTCCTACCCGGCGAGACGAACCGTGGCATTACGATTCACTGTCACTTGTTAAACGCGGACATGAATGACGAGAGAATATTTCCTGTATAACGGGAAAAGATCTCGAGAATTACGCCGACGATGTTGTCGTTCTGTCACGGGGCTCGCACAGGAGTGACAATTCCGTGATTCTAAGTCGAAAAATGTCGTTACATCCAATGAATTGTAATTCGTCGTATTTTGCGGAAAATTCGCGAGTTTTTCGTGACAATGCATCCAAGAGACAAAACTTCACGCTTCTGACGTAGATATACGAGATAGCCAAACGGTTTTACGATCAAAGAGAACGGATGAGATTCGGGTACTAAAAAAAGGAGGAATTACTCTCGTAACTCGAAACCCCGAGGAATTTCATTACGTCCGACGGGACGCACGACGTTCATGATAATTTCGAGCGAAATAGAAATTCATGCTTCTTCAACATAATTTAAGCGCGATTTATAAAATGAGATCGTCGTCTCGTCTTTTCCGGCTGAATGAACAACCGTGAAAGTTTTAACCGACCGCGGTCAATGTTCCGGAAAAGATCTTTATAAGCTTCGGAACTTATCATCCTGTTTATTTTGATCCCAACGTTCACTCGACCGGATCATTTATGAATAGCCGTAATTACAGCCTGCAAATAAATAAAGCGATTATTACGAATAATTCTGCATGTATATATATACATAAGAAGCACCTGTACGTCACTTCCAATATCCTCAGCTTTCTATCGTCCGTTTATTATCTGACAATGTCGAGTCCAACGCATGACCTATATATATTCAAGTATCATATATATATATATAGTTCCATCTTTTTGCAAATAGATCATACGCATGTATAATCCATTAAATTTTTATCATACGGAAGGATATACTGGAAAAAAGGACAACCTACAAACACATAACATATAAAATAAATTAACGAAAATCAAGAGAAAAACTGATATTATAAATTATGAAACAAATACAGTTTTAAATAATTGGTATATAATAATTGGTCTCTCTCTCTTTCTCTCTCTCTCTCTCTCTCTCTCCTTAACTCGGTAATATACTGTACATTATACAACGCAAACAAAATGCGACACTATATACAGGCAAAATTTTACATAACGAATTCTGAGAAGGAATCCTCAGAAAGGAGCTTTGTACATATTTACATCGTCCGTATTTACATGAGCGAGTTTCACCGTCGCTCCTCGTCGTCGTTGGCGATCGTCTTCTTGATCCAGTTCAGGTAATGCTGTATCCTGGTGTATACGTCCGGGTAGCCCGGCCTGGCGCAGCCAGAGCCAAAGGACGTGACGCCGGCCAACTGCCAAACGCCGTCGGCGCGACGACACTGCAGAGGTCCCCCGGAGTCACCCTGGAAACATTAATGGATAAATGGCGGAGGACGAGTCAGACGTATTGCTGCCTGTTCTCTTTGACACTACGAATTTTTGGAGATCCTGACGTTGATACCAGAAACTTTCGGCGCATTTGGTGCCGTTAACAAAGCTTTTGCACTACTAGTCTTTGAAATCCACCGCCATCTTGTTACCGATATTCAATTACTATCTTTTTAGAAATCGCGATATCAATGCCACAGGCTTCGTTACATTTTTAAGCATCAAACACATTTATTCTAAAAAAAATCCAAAAATTTTTATATTAACTATAAAATTATAATTATATCGTAAAAAAGTAAAATTTTTATATCAACAATTTATGTTGACAATTTTAACTTGAGCGTTATCGCTGGAGGTTTATGGCGTCAAAGCCGCTCGATATTGAGAAATTTAGCGTCGCAGGCACACGCGCGTGCCTAGCATCTCGAGATCCTTCCAGGTCGAAGGTAAATGGTCACAGACACGCGAGTCTTCGTGCCTTCGCGCACTTTTCGTGTTTGCTGCCGCTGTTGCTCGCGAGATCCATTTTACTACGAGAAAGTACGTGCGTAATTAACACCAAATCGGCGCTTTCAGGTAATAAAACGTGTCCGCGAGCGATGGCAGGACGCTTCGCATGTTAACGCGTTCGCACTTGTTCCAACGCAGTTACACAAGGTACCGCGGGGGTATTCCCGGCTTCCCTCTCAACGGCAACACATTCGATTTCGATCGCGTGCGGTCCCTCGTACCAGCGTGAGTAAACTCTCGACTCGAATGCGCGGTCACATGTTAGAAACAGAGGACGTCCGAATATTGCTGCTGAGAAAAAAAAGGCGTTTACCACGCAACTTCCGGTGGAACCATCGGTGTGACCCGCACAGAGATGGCCCTTCTTGATGGGCACCGAGTTGCCATAGGCCTGCAGGCACTCTTCGAGGTTCAGGAGGGGTACGTTGGCCTCCAGAAGAGCGGGGGAGAGCGAAGGCGAAGGACCGTACCGGCCCCAGCCGGAGGCCACGCATTGCTCTTCGGAGAAGTCCTCTTCAGGGCCTGGGAGGCAGATCGTGCGGACGACCTTGGACAATGGCGCTGGCCTGGCGAGTTTCAACATGGCTGCAATAATGATACATGCATTTTCATAGATCGAGCGTGTAAAAATTTGCTTAGAAGTAGATCGAATTTACGAGAGGTGTGTTTCGATAGAGAGAGAGAGAGAGAGAGACTCGGTGGGATTAGTTCTCGCCGATCGATACAAGCGGACTACTCACCTATGTCGTGCAGGTAATTATTGAATTTCTCATGGAGGACGACTCTTTCGACGGGTAAACGGGCGGAACCGCGTCCACCTGCATCCAATTCCCATTCGCCCACCACCGCCGTCCACAGTGCGCCGATAGGCAAATTGAACAGCTCGCTGAAGTAAATATTCACTTAGGAGGGCGCGAAATAAATATGAAGTAAATATTCGGCAGGATACACCGTTGTCGCGCGCAATGTGTAAGAGAACTTCGACGCTTCGGGTGGGTATGTCCGATGGCCACGACGGAAGAGGCGACTCGCTTACTTGTGAATGCAATGAGCGGCGGTGATCACCCACTTGGGGTCTATCAGCACACCCCCGCACCAGTGGCCGATAAAACCGAGCTTCGGGTGCAGCAGCTGAAGGGACACCTGCCAAGGCCAGGAGCCCCTCTTACTGGGCTTGCCGTTGAAAATGCGACCGGTGGTGGTGGTAGTCGTTGAAGACGTAAGCGCGTCCTTCAGCAACTTCGCCGACACAAGCGAGCGCGGTTGCCTCTGCGACGCTGCCGGACATCCGCACTCTATTATCCAAAGTCGTTTGTATTCGTTTAATGTGCTTCACGCGGCCGGGCTTTTATTTACCGTGTGCTATGTCGGTATCAAAGGCGCGAGAGGATCCGAAGAGGCCTAGAGGACCTAAAGCGTTCGACGTTCCAAGGATTTTACTTCCAAAATCGAAGCGTTAAACGTACGATCTGTTTGAGCGTTAAAAGGATTTAAATTCGAATCAAGTCCGAGATTATATGAAACATTTACACGCTTAATACGCCGTTTCGAACAATCGAGAACAAAGCAGAAGATTAAGATACGAAGGACGATTGGTCACGTTACGACGTTTGATGTTTCGGAGCTTTCACTGGAGGGACGATTCAGCCAACGACCGAACGAATCAGCAACGAGGATCGTGGAAATACTCACTGGCATGATCCTCCCGGACGATCCTCATCATGGCACACTGTGCCTCCGCCAGGACAACCACCAGCAGAACGACCAAGTCGCCGCGAAGTCGACGGCACATCGCCAGCGAAATCGAGAATGCCCACGCGCCGAGGATCACCGCGATCACCACGATCTATGGATCCGCATAGCCCGCGACTGGCCTTGGCGACGCCGATCGATCCTCGAGTAGGATTAGTGCGACGCCAACAGCGGATCCTTCGGCCATCTCGAAGAAAGTGATCGTGTCGACGGTGTAGGAGGGGGCAAGAGCCAGTGACGATGTGGTCCAGCAGATGCTGAGGAACATGAAGCGAGGGTTACTCCTTGTGGTGTACGGTACGGGACCTCGACGAAGGTCCTTCTACTTCGGGGATATTCCCGTCGAACAGATAAATGCGAAGAAAACTGAGGCTCTTCGCTCCGAGAATGTATAAAAGCCCCGCGAATTTTTGGAAATTCGCTTAGGACCCTCTCCATCCTGGTGTTCTGAGGTCCTTACATCCTTGGAAATTCGAATTTTCGGAACATTGACTTTTCGAAATCTTATATTTTCGACACGTGCGTACAATTGTATTATAAAACGTGATCTACAACGAGTATGTTTATAAGAAGTAAGAGTAAGAAATTAACCGATCACAGTCGATTATTCTTCTTATATTCAAATACGATTGGTTAATTTCTTCTTCTTATTTCTTATGAATATACTCCTACTGCCCATTGTAGACTGCAATTAAGACCTTGACGTCCTTGAAGCCGTGGAACTTTCGCGATCGAATATCAGAATCGTCGGTGATTTCTTTGGACCTCCGATAAATTGATTTCCACGGATCTCGGTGACGAAGAACTCGAGATTCCTCACGGAAACAAATGGATAAGCGAGATTTCTTCCTCGTGCAGGCCCAAATGGGAAATCGTCCGAAAGAAATCCTTGCGAAGTTGAGAGTCGCGGCAAAAAATCGGCGAAGCGAATCAAGTAAAAAGGGAGAAGGTGAGGAACTTTCTCCCGTCTCGCCGATGGACAAAGTTTACGCAGGATTATTCGGATTCGGAGGATTTTCCTCCTTAACAAGGATATTTGTCGCCCGGACCGTAGAGAATTATGCGAGAAGTCGGGCGTGCTGCAATTAAAGATCTGATTGATTGAAGAAAGAAACCGAGGCAACGGAGGCGCAATTCGAATCTCTCTCTCTTTCTCCCTTGCTTGCTTGTTCGCTCGCTCGCTCGCTCGATCGCTCACACGCTCGAACGAGGCGACGACTTTCGAGAGCGAATCGCTCTCCTCGCGCGAGCCGAGAGAAACGCGGCCGATATAATGATATAATCGTTAAGATCGATAATCCTCTGTTCTGATTCGCGTTCTTATCAGATTGCAGAATCTCGCGTTTACACACCTTGCGAACTCCTCGGATTTCAGATCTCCTCGGAGAACATTGGATCTTCATGATTTTTTTACATAGACCCGTTACGATTCTGAAACTTTAAGAAAGAAAAACACATTTTCCTGATATAAATATATTCCATTGACACGAATTTCCCAAAAGTAGAAATATCCCGAGGATACTCGCATCGTCTTGAAAATATCCAAAAATGTCCCGTTTACGAAAAGTGAACTAATGTTTGTGCCAATATATATTTTGTTACAGTTGTTATAAGAATCACCTATACACAGATGCCCAGAAAATTCCGCAGCAGACCCCCTCGAGAATATCCTCGAAATTCTGTGTCGTCGGCGTGATCCTCGAAGGATCGGTTGGAGAACACCGTTAGAAGTGAAAAGAATGCATCTCACCTCCCGCGGAATGATGGCAGAATGAGAAAGTGAAACCGCATTTGCAATCGCGCCTTGCAGAAGGAAAGGAAAAGCCTGCCTCTGAACCTGCCGTTGCATATCGGACACGCTATAATATATGCGTCTGGCAAAGGTCACGACAGGATTCTGCGGGAAAACAAGAGAGTAGAAATGAGTAGAGGGTTAAGCTTGAAACGTATAAGGAAACGGAAATGGGAAAGAGAGGAGAATACGAAAGACGCTGTATGGAAAGAGAGAGAACTCCGCGTGGAAGGAAAACAGCCTAACTTTTTGCAATCGATATCGAAGAGACGAGTGTAAAATAATATCTCAAGTGGGAAGGACAAACCATTCTCTCTTCGTGCGTGGCCAATTTTCTCCTCCACTCCGCGAGCAAATCCTTCGATTTTTATCTCAGAATCCGTCGTGCAGTTACGCCATTCACGAAGACAATCGACGAGTAACGCTTCAATTTGAAAAACTGTGTAACGATGAGTACCAATGAGCATTGGAATTGCGGGGAAGATAATTTAAAATACCGACAGATGGCGTCTCTCCCGAAGAACTGGTTAATCGAAATCGTCGATCTGTAAATTTTTCACGAACTTTTGAAAGTCTAACCGCAAGATGCGAATTTTGCAGCAACATTCTTGCTTATGTAAGGAATATATAACAAAATCCATCTCATGAGAATATGCGACTCCTCCGTCTCTAAAAAAGATGACAATCCATGAGAGTGTAGATGTGACCTTATTTCGAAGTGCATGAACGAAACGATATCGAATTACATAGTCGATATCTCCTTCTCGCTTGGTAACACGCTGCAACGTTTATTCCGTTCCGTGCTTTACGTATAAATAAAGATTTACTATAATTCTGCAAACCCATATCTATTACGTGTAGTATTGCATCTAACACTATCAACGATACAACAGTTACATGGAAAAAGAAATTTTATTAGAGTATGCGTTACACAAGCAATAAAAAGATCAGGCCACGAGAGCGCTAGCCGTAGAGCTCTCGTACTTCCAATTCGGTGGTAAAGATCCTTTGGTTTTGTAGTATCGCGCAAGCCTGTGGATCCTCGATTCTACGAGAATCAGGCGGAATTTGCTATCTTTGTCTTTGCGATTGCGTTCCAAGTGCTTACGGACAGCGACGGCTTTTTTAATCAAATAATACAAATCTTCGGGCAGGTCCGGGGCCAAGCCCATGCTCTTCACTATGCGCAGGATTTTGTTTCCTGTCCTGAATCTCACTTGGGCTACTCCATGAGAATCACGAAGTATAACACCTAAAATCAGAGGGACGTTCACTTAATTCTCCAAAATTCACAACAAACTTGAATCATAATGTGTAAATGTTAGCGGTAACCTATCGTGAAATGACAAGTTATCATATTCACGTCAAATACCACTATCATTTTTATTCTTGCAAACATATTTTATCAAAGAGATCAAACTGAAGGATCTAAGATCTCTCAAAGCGGTTTGCTTCTGAAATTTATTTAAACATTTTTATTTCAAGAAGAAATATCTTTCTTTAGCAGACCTTTTCTTCTAAAAGTACAATAGAATATCTATATGTTTCTTTTCGTCAAGATACTCATTATGAACTTACCAATTTGAGATGGTGTATGTCCTTTCTTCGCTAGTTTATAAATTAGATCTTTGCAGTCCTCCGGCGTTAACTTGAGCCATGTTGGAACGCTTCTCCGGTAAGGAAGCGCAGACTGGGATATACCCTTTCTAAAGATACAATATAAATTTAAATTGCGTTAAATGCATTACCTTTGATTTATCGAGTGGAATAACTCTATTAGCGAATGCATCGCCTTTTTAGAAAGATGTATTTAAATAGTTAAAAATAGTTGGTGAACATACATATAATTTAATCTCGTTAACTAAGTGCGTTCAAGAGATAAATGTTGTGATATTCGAAACATTGTCGAATAGATTTACATTATAATATGTAAAAAAAAATCCTCACATATATTAAAATCTTGTTAACGTATCAAAGAGGTTATGTTCTCGAAATAGAAGCAAACACTTTGTTTCAAAAACTTCGTGGCGTCAAAGCATTGGAACATTCGAATGTTAAATACCACAAAAAAGATCGTCGAAACCAGAAAAGGTAAATGATAAAGTTAACATACGGTCGTCGAGCGAGCACGTGTTAGCACGTTTACACGTTGATCGAAACATCTTCGAATCGTGCGATGAAAATTCGTAAAAACACGACGGTGCGATCACGAACGTGGATAATCTTAGCGCGAATACGATAAATTATTATTACGTTACCCATGCGAGTGCATACGACCCATCTCAGCGGATTTTTTTTAGCAAGGATGCGCGCAACTTCCGACTGCGAGCACCAACCAAGAAGAAAGAGGACGTATAACCTTAAAAAATGTGGCGTAGCTCCCGCTTTATCAAGGGGAGCCTCGGGTGATTTCGGTTCTGTCACAAGCACCAACTGGACGCGTCACGTCTAGGTATTCGTACTTCGTGATCTCCGTTATTGAGCGTTTGAAGAGCGCGCCATCACGCGCCATTGCTGCTATTATTTCGGCCGGGTGCGCACTTGCAGGAGTGAGAAAGAGATCACTGGTTGAACGATACGCGTGGTTCTTACGGAGTTATGGATCGTATCGTACGAGTATAGATTAATTAGCTTGTATTCGAGTAATACCTGCCGAATTTCAACCCCATAAGACGCAAATGCGGTGTCAGATTGAGAGAAACCCGGCGGTTTAGCTCTGCAATCTGAGAAGTCCGACTGACCCAACCTCGCCAAAATTGCCATAGACATCGACATGGAAACGGTCGAGAAGAACGAGCTCGACGTTCTTCGGGAGATCGCGAGCGACGAGGAACTGGCGCAAATACCAGCGGAATTAGCGAAGAAAATTCACTCGCACTTCACCGCGAAATGCGACGAATTCATAACCGCCAAGGCTGTCTTCGAGAGCAACCGCAAGAATCTAGGTAAGTCGTGCGCAAGTTTGTGTCTTTTTAATGGGCAAATGATACTTTAGTTTTATTTGAATCTTGCACCCTGTCCTTCCTTTCTCTCTTTTTCACAAATTTTCTAGAAGCTTGAAACACCAAAGTCTTAAGAAAGTATATTTTTAAGATATCTATTCGAATATGTGCTGTATGTGACTATAAAATATGTGTCGGTTTGCAGAACAAAACTTAGAGAAAGCGCAGAAAGAACTCGCGGAACACAAGGTGAATCTTGACGAGTGTAGAGGAAAGCTGGAGTTGGCGGAAAAGTATAGCGCGGAGTCAAGCAGCAGTCTCGAAGAAACAAGAAATGAAGTGTACAAGTTAAAAGAATCTGTTCAAAAGTAATATTGATCACTAATAATGATTTCAAACGATATTGGAATAATTCCTATGTAATGTGATTAAAGTTGCCATACTTGTTTTTGATGCGTTATTACTCAATAATATTTCTGATAATATTTCGATATAACTTACAGATTGGAGAAGGAAAATGGCGAGCTGCGAAGACACAGAGACACAATCACAGATGACAGAAATGCACTGCAGTTGCAAGTTGAGAGGCGAGATACTGAAATTGCAAGGATGTATACTGAATTATCCTCTCTGGGCACTCAGCTTCAAGCCGCCATCGCAGCGAAGTGTCAAGTTTTGGCTGAAACGGAAGAAATTCACAGTCTAAAGATGACGTTGGATTTCAAGGAGAAGCGGCTCGAGCAGGAACGAGTACTTCTTGCTCAGCAACTGGCGGGCCTCGAGGAAGAATTGGCTAAGAGAAATTCCGAACTACAGACGACAAGGTCCGAGGCCTCAGCTAGGGCACTCTTAACCGACACCAAGTTAACTCAGCGTGAGGAGGAGCTGCGAATAGCTAACGAAGCAAATTCCCAGCTTCGTGAATCCGTTTCTTCCTTACAAAAGCGTTCTGACGAACTGGCTCAGAAACTGGAAGAGCAACGAATCCATGAAATCTCTATGCACAATTCGTACCGCGAAGAAATTGGCGCGCAGACAAGATTGGCCGATTTGTACAAGTCCATGGCAGACGAGGCCAATTCCAAGGCGGACGAATTTTCCAACGCGGTGAAGGAGCTTCAGGAACTTTTGGAACACGCCTCGGAACAGTATGGTATTTTGGAGACCAAGCACAATCAATTAGTGTTGCAGCACAAGCAAGATATCGACGACAAAGAACAGAATATCCAAGAACTGACGAAGGAGCTGGATAATGCTAACGAGTTGCTGAAAAATATTCAGCAAGAGAGATTGGATCAAGCTGTGGAACAGTTGGCACCCACAGCAGCTATAACCAGTCGAGTGTTACGGAAAGGCTTGAGCCTCACGCAGATTTACACTCAGTTGGTCGAGGTCACCGACCAGCTGACCCAGGAGAGACAAGAGAACGAACGTCTGAAATCTCAAATGGACGTGATTCTCTGCGAACTGCAGCAGAAAGCACCATTGCTGCAACAACAACGTCAGGACTACGAAGCAGCCATATCGAATATAGAGATACTAACTTGCAAGCAGGACGAGCTCCTCGCTGAGAATCAACGTCTCGTTGAGAGCTCCAACGAAGCAAAGCGTCTTGCCAATCATCACAGTAAGGAAAACCAGAAATTGAAGGTGGAACTCAGCGACTTAGCCAGACAAGTGTGTTATCTCCTGAAGGAAGTCCAGGAAAGCCGTGCCGGCGTAGAGAGCCGAGATTCGTCTTCCCGAGACACCTCCTTCGATACAGACAACATTGTATCCTCGCAGATCATTAGTAAGAAACTGGTGACTTTCAAAGATATCGAGGAGTTGCAGGAGAACAACCAGAAGCTGCTGGCTGTTGTCCGCGCGCTGTCCTCCAGACAAGAAGAAATCGAGCGCGCTACAGACGAGATCAATTCGGGCGAGATGAAGGAGAAGCTGGACCGTTACATGGAGCAATTGGCGGATATGCAGGCTGCACAGGATCGGCAATCGAAAATGCTGGACAATCTTCTGAAGCAGAGGGACATGTACAAGAACATGTACCAGCAGAGGCTGAAGAATTCCACGAACGATAAGAAGGAGATGATGGAGGTGGAGGACGAAGAGGGTAAGTCGAGGACGAAGGAGGACTCGAAGGCGACGAAGGACAACAAGGACGAGGAAAGGGAGAAGGAATGGTCGAAGAAGCTGAAGGAGGTCGAGGACAAGCTCAAGCAGGTCTCGGACGAGTACGAGATGTACCGGAAGGAACGGACCGCGCACGAGAAGATGTTGAGCGAGGAGGTGGAAAGGCTCAGGAAAGAGGCGGAGGCGAATTCGGCGAGGTGTTGCAGACTGAAAGCGCAATTGGACTCGGCGAATGAAAGATTCACGCTTCTGCAAGGCAACGTCTCCTCGTACAAGACCCAAATCAAGGCTCTCGAGGATAAGTGTAACAATTACAACGTCACCATCGGCAAGCACGAACAGAGCATCATGATCTTGAAGGACGAGACGCTCGCCGCCCAGTCTCGTTTATCCCGGGCGGAGGTTCAATTGGAAAACCTCCGCCACGAGCGCCAACTCCTCCGGGATTCCGAGGGACGATTGCTGAAGGAGCGAGAAGTCTACCAGAGAGAGAGACAGACGCAGGTTCTGCTCAAAGCGGATATGGAGTCCATCAAGGCGAGTTTGGAGCGAGTTCAAGCCGAAGGGCAGCTCAGGGCCGAGCAAAGATTCGACGACGCTAATAGGGAGTGCGCTGCTCTCCGGCGTCGCCTTCAAGAGGAGCAAGATCGTTTCAGAGACTTGGCGGCGCATCTGGAGAGGCAGTTGGCGACCAACCAGGAGAGACTAAAGGAAGAACGCGAACTGAACGAAAGGCTGAGGAAGGAAGTGGAACAATCGAAACAGAATGAGCATGAGAGCAGCCAGAAGGTTGAAGAATTAGGAAACAAATTGAAACAGATGGTTGCCAATTACATCGAAAAGCCTCTGACAGGGGACGAGAATCTGGTGAAGAGGGTGAAGGAACTGGAGGTACAACTAGACGCCTGCCAAACTGAGATCAAGTCGCTCACGGAACAACTGAGGACGGCCAGGCAACAGAGTCAGCAGTACTGCGACATTGCCGAGAGCGCTGAGACGCAGCTGCGAGAGCTGTCAGCCGAATACAACAAGTGCAAGGATGAGCTGACGAAGACATCGAAGGATTCACGCGTGGAGATCATTTCGTTGCAGAAGAGAGTGAAGGAACTGGGCGACGATCTGACGAAGATATCGAATGGCAAGCAGGAGACCGATTCGGAACTGAGGGAGAAACTGGCTAATGCCGAGAGCAAAGTCGAGGAGCTGGATGAACTAAAGGGTGAGATCGAGCTGTTGAAGAGCGACTTGAAGTCGACCGCGATCGCGGCCAAAGAAGCCGAAGAAAAATACGCCAGGGAGATGGTGCTACACTCCGCCGATCTACAGGTTCTGGCCAAGCTGAAGGAGGACACTCAGCAGGTCCAGCAGCGGTTCAACACCCTGACGCAGGAGCGAAATGTGGCGATAGAGGCTCTGAAAGCCGAGAAGTCGGCCTTCCAAGAAATGGAGAAGAAGCTGATGAACGAGATCGAAGAGTCCCAAAAGAGAATCGAAGACCTGGACACGCAGAATGTGCTTCTGCACAATCAGATTCAGGAGCTGGGCAATCGAGCGGCCATCATGCAGAGCCAGCAGACCAAGATAGGCGGACGGGAGAGTCCCGACACCAGCCTGGAAGCTGTGAACAAAAGCTTCAGTTCCGTGGGGGACGAGGATTCGAACTCGGTCGAACAGTTGTTGCGGGTGATGAAGTACTTAAGAAGGGAGAAGGATCTGGCTCTGGCGAAATCCGACGTTCTCAGGGCGGAAAATCTCAGGCTGAAGTCGCAGGCCGATGTGGTGGAAAAGCGGCTGAAGGAGAGCGAGGCTTTGCTGAACTCCGAACGAGAGAAGGCCGAGATCGACGTAGTGACTACGTCCAAGCATGCGGAATTACTGCGCAAGGTGGAGACTCTGAACGCCATCACGGACTCGAATCGGATCCTCAGAGAAGAGAGAGACAGCTTGAGCGCGAAGGTGAACGAGCTCGTAGCCAAGGTGAACGCTTTGTCGGAAGAAGTGGTGCCTCTTCGAGACATATCTCGAGACCTGACGGCTAAAACTGAAGTTCTCACGGAAGAGAATACCAGCTTGAAGAACGAAGCGACCAGATGGAGGCAGAGAGCGAACACGTTGCTGGAGAGGGCGAATAAGCTCAGCCCCGAGGACTGGCGGCGGTTGCAGACCGAGAGAGAGAACCTGAGCAAGTTACTGACGTCGGAGAGGGAGACTCACGCGAAGAGAACCGACGAATACAATCAGATGAAGACGGAGAAGGCGAAGCTCGATGAGCAACTGGCGCAGCTGCAGAAACAGCTGCAAACACAAGGTGAGGAGTTAACCCGGATGTCGGAGGAAGTCCGCAAATTAAGCCAGGATCTCAACGAGTCGCTGGCTGACTCTACCTCGAAGGCCAAAGATTTGGCTTCTCTCAGGAAGGAGTTGAGCGACAAAGAGGTGATTCTCAACGACATCAAGAATAAGGAGATCCAAATACGCAAAATAGCCAAGAAGTACAAGACACAATTTGAGGAACTCACGAAGACCGTCGAGGAGGAGAAGAAGAGCAACGAGGAGGCCAGGAACGAGGAAGCCGCCAACGCAAACGCGCAAGAGCGGGAGGAACAGTTGCGAGAGGAGGGTCGGCAGGAGCTCCGTCAGGCTAACATCGAGCTCACGGCGAAGACGGACGAACTGACCCGCCAGATAACGATGGCTCAAAGCGAGGCCGAGAACCTGAGGAAGGAGATCGAGACGCTGAACCGCAGCATCGTGGAGAAGGAGGAGAGGGCGAAGCAAGTGCTCAAAGGCGCCAGGACGAAGATCATGCAGCTGACTGAATCGAAGAAAACGTGCGAGAAGGAACTGTTAGACCTGAAGTCCAGGATGGACTCGGCGGGAGGCAGTACGGGCGTCCAGGCCGATCCCGAGGCTGAGCACGACAATCGACTGACAGCGTTGAAGTCGCAAATGGACGGTCGTATCTCCCGATTAGAGCACGAGAAAGCGGAAGTACAAGCGGAGAAGGAGGCTCTGCTGCAGCGGGTCACTCAACTCCAGAGGCAGTTGTCGGGTGTGAGTGGAGTTAGTGCGACCACGGAGCCGCCCACCGCAAATATCAAGCCGATGTCCGCTAGAGCGGAGACTCCTCTAGCCAGTATCAGGCCGATGAGTATGGTACAGTCTAGAACAGCAGCGGTGCTTCCGACCACAGCCAGTGCGCCGGTAATGGTCGCGCCGCACCAGATGCAGCAACAGCAGCAGCAGGTAATAATTCACTTTCCCCCGTCTTGGTAGAATCGGATAGCACTGAGAAATTATTCTCTGAAAACAGCAGGTGGTGCACACTACGGAGACGAGCTCGCCGACTAGCAGTCTGACGGATTTCCAGCCGGCGAGCACCAGCAGTTCCTCGCAGGGTGCGCAAACCAGTAGCCTCCGTCAGCTGGTGGTGCAGCCACAGCTCAGCGAATCCGCCGAGTCCACACAGAGGGAAGACCCGGAGAGCGTGGAGACGCTGAGCGTTCAGCCGCAACAGCAGCAGTGTCAGCAGCAACAACAACAGCAAACGGTGGCGCTAGTTAGCCCAAGAGTGGAGCAGCAGCAGCAGCAGCAGCAGCAGCAGGTGGTCGTCAGCGACCAGCAGCAGACTGTCGCGAGCAGCTCCACCCAGTCGGTCAGCACGTCGCAAGCTTCCACGGGGCTGAAGAGGCCCCGTGGCCTGGACTCCACGGCCTCTGGTTCCGGGATTGTCGAGGGGGTGGACCACGGACGTCAGGAGCAAGCGCAGAGTCCAAAGACCAAACGAAGCAGGCAGGACATGAGCGCGACTGCGAGTGCCAGTGCTTCAGAAGTGGAGTATCAGGTGAGGATAGCGCGATAGGAAGGAGAGGCTGGATGATTCGATGAATTGTCGGAATGGACAAATGCAGCAGGAGTAAATAAATATATTACAAATAAGTCCGATTGATATCTCACCAGGTGCCAACATCAAGCCAGAGGGACCAAGATGAGGAGGTGGAAGAAGGCTGTGTGGTAGTAGTAGATTGCGACGAGGGCGAAGGCGGTGGCAATCACCAGGCTCAAGAAGAAGAAGAATTCGATAATGACCCGTACGAAGAAATGGAGGAAGAAGAGGAGATGCCGTATGAAGTCGAAGTTGAGGTTGAACGGGACAATAACGAAGTGGAGATCATCATGGAGGAGGACTCGACCAGTGTCGAGGTTCCCAGACAGACTCAAGCGGCCATTCCTAGCAATCAGCAGCAGTCTGAGGCTATCAGCAGTGCTGGGCCGACGGGAGAGCCTCCGACATCCTTCACGGCAAGATCGTCCAGAGGGATCGCGCCTATGCCTAGGCAACAACAGCAGCAGCACCTTCTTCTGGTTGGTACTTAAGGATATTTTTTTGTATTCGGAAGGTATAGAAATTGGTGTACAATTTGCCAACTAAATCGTCCTTGCATCCTTCCAAAAGCCACAGCAGGGCTACGAAGACGGCGGCGATGATTGCATTGTTCCGAGCACGCCGACTCTGTTCGTTCCACGTCGCAGCGATGGGTTCGGCGAGGCTGTGAGCTCCCCGCAAGTACCTCAGGGTCGTTTCACTTTCGGAGACCCGTCGGCACCTACCACCGCTTCTTCCACGCCGTCCTTGACGACACCTACAGGCTCTACCACCAGGACCATCTTCGGTTCGTCCAGCTCTGCTGTAGCCCAGGTCGTCCAGGAGAGCCTGGACGATAGCAGAATGGACCTGGCGCAGCTGGAGGATGGCGGGACTGGACGCAGCGTACCTACCACACCACTTCAAGTGTCACCGGCTGCGGACTTGCCACCTTCGGTGAGGAGGTTCTTGCTGATACGTTCGATAATATCGAAATCACTTGGACAAATTATAGTAAAATATTATTTATAAAAATTTGAGATTTTTTTATACTTCTGCAATACATTTTTATTATAATTATCTTTGTAGCAAGTGCAGTAATATCGTTAATAATTTATGCTTTCTTTTCATTATTGCAACAGACCAGCAGCGGCCAGCCTGAGGAACAAGAAACCACCGTTTCCGTGACGCCTGTTTCCGTAACAGCCACTTCCGGCGATAACGCTGAGGAACCCAGTATTCCTAGCATCCGCATCGTCGGCGCTGATGATCAACAACGCGGCTCCACAGAAGCTACAGAATCCAGCGTGATGCCAAGTGAAGGTACGCACACCCGACTGCATTTAATCTCCAATCGAGCCTTCTCTATTTATTAATCCTCGTCACATTCTTCAAAGAATTTTATTTATTTTGTTTTAATGAAGAATTCAGTTTTAACTTTCTTTTCCTCTTTTTCTTTTACAGGAGTGAGCTCGGATGGTGAGAAGCGGTCGGAAGAGCCCGTGGCTCTGGCATCCGGGGATGACGATGCCGTAGACACAGCGGAGGTAACGGAAGAATCCGCGAGCGAGCTGGTCGAGGACGATGTCGAAGAGGAGAGTCGCGAGGCGGAGGCGTCACCGTCCAGCAATACTCGCCAGAGGACATTGGCGGCCAGTTTGGCAGCGGCGAGTGCTTCCAACAGTAACAGAGGAGTGACAGTGAGAAGATCACCGAGATCACCCTTCAGAGCAGCGAGAGGTGCGAGACCTACACCGATCGTTTGGGGTGAAAGTCAGTCGGGTAGAGGTGAGCAGATTAATCGGTCGTGAAAGTTGACACGTTTGACTTCGGATTCACGCACTTAATCGGCTTACTCGCAATTTGCCGCTAATTTAGCGCGACACCGTCTGACGAGCGTTAATGCGCAACATCTCTGCTTTTTTCTTTCGTAGGACAAGCCGTAATACGTGGGGGACAGCATGCTACGAGAGGAGCGGCGAACGAGGGAGGAGGGCGAGGACGAGGAACACGAGGGCGAAGAATGCGTTCCAAGTATCCTTACGCCCGATATTCGTAATATCATATAAGAGAGAAAGAGAGAGAGAGAGAGAGACGTCTTCTGTCCTGTATATCTTTTTTTTTTATTCACTCTATACATTCTGCATAGTTTTTCTCATCGACTTTAAGTTAAGCAAACAAAGGAAAAAACAGGCAGGGGAATTTCAATTCAGTTTCACGATCTATATGTTTATTGTATGATAAGTACTTCAACGTTCCTTTTTATTATTATTATTATTATTTTTTTTTTAATGAAAAACTTGTCCCAACAATTTAAACCATCAATTTTATACTAATTATACTTCATGCTTCTTCTTAATAAATCCTTAATATAAGAAAATTGTAAATCAGACAGTTAAAATTCCTGATATTTGTCAAGTTTCAGGAATCATATGTTGAAAGACAAGGTTCTAACTTTTGAAACATTATCTCCGCTTTTTCTTAGATAGTTGTGTGTGATCGTTCGTTTAATGAATAAAATATAATTAGCCAGTTTATACCAATAAGTATAGTAGTAGTTATAATTAAGTATAAATACTATTTCAAGAAAAGTATATCGATTATGACAAGTGAGGTAGTACGCGATCAATTTTGAGAGAAAGAGATTTCATACGTTTTAATAAAATATACTTTTGAACCATTTACATGAATGTGTGATTCAGGCTCTTGCTTTTTTCTATTTAGTCTTTGGCAATGTCGATTTTATTGGACAGGTGTTCACATAGGCGTCAACGTCGATGTCTCTGCTCTGCCGGCTCTTTAATCGCTGGGCACCGACCTAGTTTACGTTCACATGTTGTATGCTAAATCGAGAATTCGCGTTGTTCTACTATTTCTATTCGACGAATGAATAATATATTCCGCTAAAAGTAAAAATTATCGTCATGAAAATATATATTCGAGTTTCACGTATTTGTGAAAAGTAGAACCGGCGGATTCACTACGGATTTCTTTCAGTCAACGAACATTCCAAGTATATAAAAATATTAGAATATATAATGTTAAATATAGTTTGAGAAAACCGGGCAAAGATAAGTAAACTATCGAACCCAGAAATTATTTAAAAATTAGAGGTTGATACTGGACAATAGATGTGCAAAAATAAACTGCACTGAGTTGGTATAAAAATAGTCAAAGCTGCGATTTATTTTTATAAATATTTCTGTCGCTACAGACTTAATATATATATATATATATATATATATATATATATATATAAATGAGTCGATACATAAATTAATTAATTAGTATAAAAATTAGATAACATTCGACTAACTAGATACTGCTAATTAGACGCTACAGGAATACTGTTGAGAATCCTTTCGACACTGATTTATTTTCATCACATCTTGATTTGCTTGTGATAACTTATCTCGCTACTTTTCTCGATGATGGTTACTTGTTTAATAAATAAATTAACTACACTACACACGACGATTATCAAAATGCACTTGATTAATTAACTGGTGTCAGGACTATTGTCGCGCTAAAATTGTCGAGTGATTCGTACCAACTATAAGAATGTCGTGACAATTAAATATGAAATCCAATCAATTTGACGAAATGATAACTTCACTTGCCTCAGTAAATTCTTGTCAGCTTAAAAACCAAGAAAGTATGCGCTTATAATTTTCCTGACACTCGGTATATTAAGAATGATTTACATGTAAAGCGCGTTATTTTTGCCGCGGCTGGTTTTCGTTTATACCACTATAAACTTTATGTTTATAACACAACGGCATTCGCACTTAGGCGGCGAATACAACAGTGAAGTTATATTTAGCTCTAAACGCGACGGTCAGTTCCGTAGTTTGGTGCTATCAGTTTGATGTGAAGATCACGTTGGAAATAAATTGCGACAAACATTTGGCATGTTGAATTGGTCGCTTCAGATGAACTGCATTTTGACGAACATCGCGCGTCGCAATTATAAATTAACATAATCTCTTTATCACAATATCATTTGGTAAACAAGAAAAAGAAAGTATTCCTAAATGCCCTGAAACGTTCACGATCACATTTCATGAGGCAGATGAATTATAATTGCTCTTACTACCGTGCCCTTACGTTATCATACGTTTGATTATATTTATAACAGAACACTTTATTTCCGAAATTGCAGGGTAAAGAGGAGAAATAGTTAAACGTATTCATGTTATTCATCTCCCCTCCCCCGTGCGGATCTTTCCAAATTTTCTCTGCCATTCTGTAATATTAAATTCTACATTTTTCTCCATAATTCGTAATACATTTAAAAAATGGCACGATTCAAAAAGTATAACAAACGCATTGAAAGATATTATTTATGAGACATATAAATATATTTGCAATAAAAATCTCTCTTTCTCTTTTTCTCTGAGTAAAGATATCTCACACACATAAGTCTTAATAAAATTTAATAAGACTTAAAACAGTATTTTCATCGATTGGAGGAGCAATACGTTTCTTTCCGGACACACACAGTTATATCTTTAAATTTTTACCTAATAGAATCTCTCTCTCTCACACACACACACACATACACACACGCGCGCGCACGTACACACACACTCTCTCTCTCACTTCTTGCATCGAATATCCACGCTACAGTTTCTGTTTCTTCATCTTGTATTCAGTGTATTTTCCATGACACATTCGTTCACAATTATCCGCCTATCCACCGTGAGTATCCATTTCAAAAGCTTCATATCTTCACGTGATCCATGTTCTCTATTAATTCTTACCAGTCATTCGAGCGTGTAACGTTTTGCTAATTAGCTTTATATCCATATTTCATCATTCGCTGGTCATAGTCAGAGACAGGAAATTAAATGCCAGACCAGTGTTAAACCAGCTCTGAGAAATTTAATCCCAGTCCGTAGTCGGTATCACACTCTTCGTTGTAACAAAATAAAGTACTTCCTAGTACTTCGTGTCAATCAATATTTTACATCATAGCATCACTCACAATTGGAAGTATAGGCCAATATGTCAATTCTAGACGCCACCGACGCGTCGTCTCTGTTTTTTACGAACGCGCTAACCGATCGCACAGAACAACTGAACAACGGACAGTCCCGATGCGAGTTGATTAACTTCAATTAGCGGTCCGACCTCTCCCCCGAGTCACAGCACTGTGTTCCGAAATCCAGGGAGAGTCCAGCGAAGAGCGCTGGGGAGAGACATAGTTGCACTCCTGAGTTCTCGTTTCTCAATACTAGGTAGGAAGATCCGTAGAATCTCTGAGGGATCAAAGGATCTCTATACTGGGCTCGGGCTCTTTCTGGCCGGTGCTAAGCTCGCAGCTGCATTCGCCGTGCTGCCTCACCCTGATCCACGTCCTCCTGCTGCTGTTCGTCTTCAGACTGGACATTACGATCTCCATCTCTTCGTAGTAGATCGACGACTCGACCGGCGCGCAACTGAGATCAGGACTGTTGCAGCAGCCTGCGTAGCTGTCGCATCTTTTCAGCACGATGTACACCGGCCGCCTGGCGCTCTCGCTCGGCAGATGCTGCATCAGGTCCATCAGGCTGTAAGCCCTCGGCTGAGATTTCTTACAGATGAAGTTCTTGGTGGCTTCCAGGACGGTGTGCAAATGCGTCCTCTTCGTCTCGAGAGGCCGGTGATCGCTGTGAGTCGGGGCCGGCGACGTCTGGCCGATCGCCGTCAGGACCAGCAGCAGAAGCCTCAGAAACGATCTTCTCGTCAGTCCACGCTCCATCGTCGGCCGAGTCGGTTCACCGATACCAGAGATAGACAGGAGGAAGCAACGGAAAATTCTTCCCCTGTTTGTCTTCCCGGCTCGTGAAGGAAGCGACACGAAGGCAAAGCGAATCACGTGGCGAAGCGATGGCTGATCGCTCTCGTCCGGGCGAAGGTGATTGGATGCGGATGGCCGACGAGCACCGCGGGTACCATGTATCGGCCGACTGAGATTTTCCCCACTGGCACACGAGTATTTATATATGGAAGAGCACGCATGCCTCGGACGAGCCTCTGCGATGATTCCCACTTTGTTGTGCAACCGCGTTGTCCGCGCGCTTTAATGCACTTTTCATGCGCCGGCGCTGCTTAACCCCTTGCACTCGGAATAATGATTATCATAATCAGTAATGGATATTAGCGAAGTAAATCGATACTTATCGATACCTTCGCGCCCCGATAGCACCGGCGATCCGCGCGAGGCGGAGAGGCTCGTCGTGGAAATTCGTCCGGCGACATTAACTCGCTTGAACGACGACCGTGTTATTGCGCGGGTCCCGCTTCAAAAATCACCTTTCGCTGCGGCAGTTGAGGCGTCATAATTCTTCTTCGAGCATTTCGATCAGCCCGCGGATTTCCGCGAATCGTTAAAATGTTCTCATCTCTCGTCCTGCGCTCGATGCGCTCGCGCACGGAAAAAGCAAAAGTGAGAGAGGTGTCGTGTGACTTGAGTTTCCTGCGCGCAAGAAAGAGAGAGAAACGGTATGGAATTTGCAACGTTAAATTTTCAGACAGCCGAGTTTTCGGAAGATTCTTGAGTTCCATTTACAATTATTATTACATAAGTGACACGTGTAGTCACATGTAAATAGTGTATATGTAAATATGTAAATAGTACAGGGAAACGAAAATCTCGATTCATTTAACGGAAGATGAGAGAACTCCAGACGAAACGTCGTCGGTGACGATGAGAAACGACGTCTCCGTAATCGTGACCAAAAATGCCTTCTGAATATTGTAGCTGCTTCAAAATTCGTTTGAGATACCTAAAAACGTTCGGCTGATTAGGAATTCTCTTTTTGCTCCTTACAACCGAGTTTGATCGTTAGACAACAGGAAATCGGTCACGTGAACGGAGTTATTTCGTCATTTTTTGTGGAATACAATAATAGTATGATTCATACATGTTATGGGCATAACCAGATATATATGAATAATGGATAATTTCTTCATCCACATAATTCTGATTTCATTTTAATGAGAAGTAACTCATGAGGCAAAGACGATTATGTTTGATCCCTGATGACTAACTCTAGATGGTCCAAGGCCTAGGAGATCCAGAGATCTCTCGATCTCACGATTGATCTCTCAAGCAAGATGTATCTTTTGAATCATCGCTTGCGTGCCCATTCGTTTAATTAATTTTACTCTATAAGGAAGATGTGCGTTTCAATTGATCCCATCTTCTTGGCTCTTAGAATTCTCCGTTCGAGAAAATCTCTCGAATTCGCGTAAACATTAAATCCGTATCCTTCGACTTCCTCCGATTAATGATAGGCTAACACGCTCCACGAGGAAAACAGAGGTTTTCCGAGAAATCAATAGCTGTTAATAAACTAATGATTACGCACATACATCAATCGAATGACGGGTGAACAACCAAGAGTTAAAAACAAGATTGATATCCGGCACTAATCACGTCTATCGTCCTCTCAGCATCGATTAAATTAGTATGTATATTCAAGCGTGCAGGATGCATTTGCATCTCAAAGATCTTTTTACGTAAATTGAAACAACCGTGATGAAAAATCATCATCATCATCATCATCATCGTTAATCATGACGGCGTAGTTTTCGTATACTCCGTTTCGTTAAGATCACAACGCAGAAACAGCGTGAATCTTCCGCCGATACTGATAAACGAACAAATGTTACGTTTGCAGAAAATCTTCTCTGCATAAAATATACAGATAAACTCAAACTAAATTGTTATACAAACATCTTCATAACACACAGACTGCCACGCGACTACAAAGTTCACGTCTGTTATCTGATTTGTTATGACACAATAATAACTGTGTTGCATTATCGATGATACAATCGGTTACGAGACGACGATGATGATGACTTAAAAGTACAAGATGTAAATATTCTAGATAGATATCTCTGAACAATCAAACATGTGGCACATGTGTCGTGCGTGATATTAACTTCTCACCCTCTCTAAAATCTCACCCTCTAATGGGACCCTTTTTGGGATCGCTCTCGGAGGATTATATCAGGGTAGAGCGAGAAACTTTTCTCTCTCTTTCTTTTCTCCCTGGGCCGCGACTGGCCAGATGATTCAGGCGGAATAAAAAGAATAGCGTATTTTTAGCAAATCCGACTTATATTTCTGGTCATCGCGGTCAAGTTTCTCACTAGTACTTACATTGCTAGGCTAATTATACGATGCGGTTTGGAGAGTTCCTCTTTGCCGAGGCGCCTCTTCATTAGTAACAGGACACCACGTGTTCGGCCATGTGCGTGTCGCCAAGATCGTAATTAACTATTTTAAGTTCACGAATCCACGGTTGTTCTCTCGGGCAATTTTTGAGTGAGTAACAAAAAATTCATGTCTCTTCGCCAATAATGCAATGTAGATCTTTCCATTATCGACAATTTTTCGCCGCACTCTTGTGAATCGACCTGAAATGAAGCGCAAAAGTGCTGTATTTTGTAATTTTTACTTGTGTAAATCCTGGCGACGTCTACGCTCGCGGAAGCGCCTGCAACCTATCTGACAGATCGCAATAATACATAATCGATCATCATAGATTAATATAGATTAATTTTTATGTCACTGACGGTACTGACCAATTCGTGGAACTTTTTACTTCTTGACGCAAGTCAACGCAGGATCAATAATCATGCAGTCAAGTACAAGAGCGAGATTTTAACCGTACCGAATAATTCCGCGGTCGTCGTGAAAGGATCACCGTGATGTTGCTCTTCGTGCCGTGACGCAAGTGTGGCACCTAACCGGGGGTATTTCCTTTTTTCGCCTGTAACGGGGTTTCCTTATTGCTGACGCATCCTTTTGTTACGCACGCACGTTTTACGGGGATTCCGGTGAGATATGCGTAAAAAACCAACGTACTCTAATTCTCGAAACAATCTGTATCATGTCGCTTGTTAACTAAAAATAGAACGACCGTTTCAAAAGCAAACAATTATACTATTCGACCAAAGAGATATAATCCTTTTACGAAGGTATCGTAAAGTCTTTGTAAAATGATGCTCTAATTTTTCGCAAGCGCTTTAAACGTCTCCCGAATATCGAGCATATTTTTAATTCTTCTTCTTTGTCTCCAACCGTTGTTTAAGTTTCGCATCTCAAGTTCGAGCGGTCTCGTTACTTTTGAAAATTCTGGAAGAAAAAAACCCTTGTGAGAGAGACACACTCACGTTTTCATCAGAGACTTTGTCTCACTGTCCCGATTTCACAAGTACCTGAATCATCCTCATTACCATGTAACATAATGACGTATATTTGCTGACGTAGACATGGGGATATCCTCGCGGCACTCCTGCTCTTTCCGGACAACATTCACCTTACAGACAGGATCTTATCTCTCACTCTAGCTTATGCAACCCATTGACGAAGTTTCTGTTCCAGAAATAGAAACATGTACGATTCGGAAACGTTGACATGTAGTGCACGAGCATATACGGCGCGCATATTCGCAGTTCAATGAACTTATACTACCGTGGAGCAATTAGTTTTGTACTTTTTTTCTATTTTTTGTGGTGGTCAAGGGGAATGATTCACACCGTCCCTTTGCGATTGGACACGGTGAGTCTCTCTCTTTCTCTCTCTCTCCCTTAGTTGATAAATGATTAATAAGGAATAAAAGTGTATCGATTCATCCTGCGAAACCTGTCCCTGTGAGTCATTCGCTGATGATTCAACCGGACGAAATGCTGGATTGTCAAAACCGATGAGAACCTCGACGACTTACTCTCACCTCGTCCGCGAAGAATTTCAATCAGTTTCTTTAATATGGATAACACCACGTATTCCGTCCTGTCCGTTTCATCATTCATTTTTACGCCAAAATCATAAGATTTCGTAATTAGAAGCGCGCGACGAGAAAACGTGTGGTTAACATGGTGGTTTTTCAAACTATACAGAAAATCTCCGAGTTCCCGATCATCCTACCAAAACGGCACGTTAAAAACATATGTGATTTCGCAATTCCTCGTAATATTTCTTTCATTTAATATCTCTTGCGACAATGATTTATATTCACGTTTACTATTTTCTATCGGTCCTGCGGAACGCACTTGTAACACAGGAGTGAATCAGTTGAATGATTAAAAGTATAATTATGTAAAGCTATAATTACTGTGTATGTTCCCTTGTATCTGTTTATCTGTCGCCTGTTAGAAGACATGCGGGACCTATGGCTTCTGCGAAAACAAAAAGGAGCAATTAGAATGCGCACTCCGGAACCAGACGCTGCAACCAGACGCGACGTAGACGTTGATGCATCACATACAGTGGGTCGCATCACATTACGTTAGATGGTAATAACGATAATATCCATCTCCGGTAATTCCCATTCGTAGAAGTGCTTGTGATTAGTAAGTATCCTGCGGAACGAGATTTCATCTCCGAGTTGCGTACGCAAACTACTAGATGAACAGAACTTCTTTATTATATACCGCATTAGAAACGGGAATGAAATCTAAAATTATTCTCTTCTATGGAAAACAAAATCTTGGGCTTCTTTTCTCCTGGAATTTTCACTTACCACGCTAATCAAACGTACAAATCTGTTACGCGCAGCACAGGTAAGACATCCCGAGATGCAGATATCAATGTTTCGGGACGTCAAGCTCTTCGGCTGACCGGCGATTTAAAAGGCGAGATCTTCAATTTGTTTCACCGTGAATTTCGTCGGACTCTTGAAGCAGGTGGCCAAAGGGAATTGACGAGAAAGAGAAAGGAAGAAAACATTTGATGGACGAAGGAAGCGAAGCGAGAAGGAGAGGAGTCACGCGACGTAACATCGCGCTCTCGCTGCTCCTAATAATTATAGTTATCTCGTCGAGCTTCTCGGAACGGTTAGGCGAACCCCTCCTCGAGCATCCTCCTCCTCCTCTTACCGGGAATCCGTAGGGAGACGCCTCGAGCGAAGAGAAATCGAAGAGCGGGCGGGAACGAGAAAGAAGAAATCGGAGGGGAAAGAATGAGGATGAAAGAACAGCCTGGATGAAACTTACGTATATACGCAGGACGAAAGAATTCTGATCGCAGAAGTCGACGACGCTCATAGCGAGCCTCTTCGGCGCGGACTCGGGGAAAAAGACTGCGGAAGACATTGAGCGTGACTGGATTTTGGAGGGATCAGACCTTTAAAGTTTATCGAAAGAAACTTGTGTGAATGTGAATTGGAACTTGAAAAATCCTTTTACTTTAATTCGTGTTCAACCAAGTCATCGTTGGATTCAGTGTGTTGCTGAAGAGAAAGTCACAGTGATTTAAAGACCTGTGCCGGCTTCTTTCTTCAAGATGAAGATTTTCATGTCGCTTGTAATCTGCGTCCAGTTTGCATCGGTCGTCCTTGGCAGGCATCACAGGTGAGATGATGCAATCGATTGATTTATAAAATGCTTATATCTCTTTCGGTTTTTTTTTAAGAGATAATCATCTGTCGGATTCTCTTTCCTTATCCTCTTGTTTTTTACTCATTATTTCCTCTTTTATATCTCGTTACTTTTCTTTTTCCTTGATAATCACGTCCGTATTCGCTCTTCCAGAGACAGTGGTTTTTTGAACCATGTGCAGCTGGTGCATCAGTTCCGATGTTCCTTGCCTCAACCGAGGGCCGTTCCGGTAGAAGATCTTCTCACTATAGGTCCTGGACCGGACGAAATCTTCTATCCCGCGTCGACAGTTCTAACGCGTTGCGCGGGCTCGGGATGTTGTCCGGATTCTAGGCAAGTCTGCGCTCCGATCGAGACTAGAAATGTCAGCCTCGTGTTCATGGTTAAGCACCGCATCGATCAGCACCGGGACCGTCATCACGAAATTATTCACGCCCTAGAGCACACTAAGTGCGCCTGTATAGACGAGATCTTAGCCGCGAAGAATGCTACGTTCTGAAAGTGGATAACAGTCCTACGAACGAAAAATTCCTAACCTGAAGTCAGATTAAGTCAGGATATATTAAGAATTTACCAAGACCGGGAACGAAGGCTTTGTTTCTGTGATATTTTCGTTGTTTTGTACTCCGCTTTTTTTTCTTTTTTTTTTTTAATAAACTCGTAATACAACAAACTCTCGCTTTCGTACTGAATGAAACGCGTTAACGCGTTGAGAAATAGTAAAGCACTCTTGTTATGAATAGTTTACAAAACTTTGTAATATTTCTACACATTAATTATTTTAGTATTTTTAAGTACTTTGTGTTCATTGACTTATCGACACTATAAATAAATAAATAATTAAATAAATGATTCCTGCTGAGAGAGGCTTGAAATACCGAAATCTGGCCATCCTTTCTCATTCTTTGATGTTAAAGTACCGTCTGGCAGCGAGAAGATCGCGTTTGATGCTTTCGTTATTTGGCTCCAATTTCAAGGCAGCTTCCAGCTCGGGGATTCCATGCTGCGGCGCGGATAATTTGCACAGAGCAGCACCTCGGCGAGCGTGACATCTCGCTCGCGACACTCTGTTACTCTCGCACTTTGGCTCCATCAATTCCAACACCTACCGATAAGAGGAAAGCTCTTCCTTCCACTCCTACACTCTCTCGCAAACTGAAGAAACTGAAGAAACTTTCATTACCGTGGAACAATCGTCGATGCATCTGTAGTAGTTTCCAAGGGCGTAGTGAGCAGCAGATCTGTTCACGTAGAGCGCCGTCATCTTATTGCTGATCTTAATCCCGTGCGTGTACGCGTTAATAGCTGCCAAGTAGTTCCCCGTCTTGAAGAACTCGCTGTGATATACAAAAATTAATCGAATCAGACAATGCGTGACGGAGAGTATTTTGCTCTCAACGTACTCGCCCTTATCCTTCAACCACTGGGGATCTTGTTCCTCAGGACGGAGGTCTTCCACGACGAATCCTGTCTTCCTTCTAGCTTCCGCTTGCTTGGAGAGCCACTATAAAATAAATTACATATAAAACATATAGGATATATTTTATGCCGAAAGAGGAAAAATGATCAATTAACAATAACCTCGTTTAAATTAATTCTCATTAAAAGGAAATCAACTTATAATATTCTTATTGAGAAAAATTTAACTTTTTTTACAGTTCTTGCTCTTCTGTAGATATTTCTCTGCCATATAGTTTATAGTTGCAAATATGTTAACATACTTCCTGTTCTTCAATATGCGAGCTCTCTCTGGCAGGAGTAGGAAAGGCCCTTTCAGAAAAAGTCACATTAATAGTTCCGCTTTTTCTGGGAAGCGGAATTATTTTGGAAGGTTCGTTGAATATCTGGTTCGTCTTGGAATATCGATCTCGCAACACCCTGTCGATCACATCTTGAGGTGGTCTCTGTTTCTTCGTCTCCGCGTGGAATTTCTGCACAGACTTCTGGTCCATCTCTTCAACTAAAGGCCTTGTTGGGGATTTGTGAGCCGTCTCGTGATCCGATTCGGAATCTTCAGAATTGGCAGAGCTCCCGTCAAAATTAAAACTTTCGCTCGTAGTTGACTCGTTCACTTCTACAATATCCGCTTTCTTTTGATTCGAAACTCTTTCTGCTTTCAGATTCGTTTCATCAACTGATTCTCCTATTTGTCCTTCACCAACAGATAATCCTTTAGCAATTGATTTTACTTTTAGATCCTGTTCAGCGATTACTTCTTTTCTCATGCTTTCTTCAACAATCGGCTTTTTCTCCAATTCTCCTATGACGACAGGTTCACGTCGCTGCTTTTCCACCACATTTATTGCTTCTTTTGCTTCTGCTCTTTCGTTTACTTCCACAAACCGTACGGTACCGGAGTCATTTTTGAACCACTGAAGTGGTGGCCTTATGGGAAAAGAAATTACTCAATCAAGTGCAATAATATAATATAATCAAACTGATATATTTCAGAAAAAAACGTTTAGTTCTTCTACAAGATTCTCCAAAATATATTTTTCGATTGTACTCTGATGTAACTTTTGTATATCTTTATAAAATGTCAGTTTACCTGTATTCTTTTCTATTTTTTTGCACCTTGCCGGATATGTTCTGAAGAATCGGTATTTCATGATCACGTCGCCAATCTTCGAACTCCTGCATCGCAGTTTTTCGATGAGCATCTCTTAAAAATTCTATCTTGTTTAACGTCCGAGTGTCCAAATTAATCTGTGTTTTAACGGCTTCTTTTTGAAGATATTGACGTTTCTCTGCATGCCAAGAGCGGAAGAAAATTGTATTAAGAAAGAAAGCAGCAATTAGACAAATGGAGAACACTTTTCTTTTAAAGAATAGAAATCTTGACGGAGATTTATAATTATATCTCTCGAAATTTTTAGAATCAAAAATGTGAAAAAACATTTTCATGTCGAATAAATTATTTCTTTACACGTAAAGAGTTTTACTTACAAATTATTCATCGCAACAATTTTACCTCTCTTAAATTTCGCACGATTCTCCGCAAGGTCTTGCGCTTTTTCTAAAATTTGCCTTCTAAAATCAAGTTTTTGCTCTTTACTAAGGTTTTCTATTTCGAGACGTGGCCAGTCCTGGCCCACGTTTGCTTTTTGCAAAGAAAAAGTAGCTCCGTTATCCGTAAAAACGCATTCACTCTCTTGTTCGCGCACGTTCCCCCATAAAAATAACTCCAAGATAAAGGGAGGGGAGTTAATCTGCAATGAAAATTAGTTAGACGAGGGAAAATTGTTTACTTGAAGTTTTCGATTTGGAAACGAAAAGGAAACAAGGAGTGATTCTCGAATTTACCCGAGCTAGAAAATTTGTCTTGAAAACAGGACCAACCTTAACATAATTGTCCGTAGCAAACAAATCCACGTTCTTAGGTGGGGCTTTCAGAGGCACGTGAATTATTATCTTCCTTTCTGTCTGACGCCATTGGTGATTCTTGACGATTATCGTCGGCATGATTTTTACCTCGAAATTTTATAAATAATCCAGCCGATTCTCGATTCGCAACTTCTTTTCTTGTTCGCTTTATAACACTATATTGATCAAACAAGAGTATCTAAGCAACTCCACGAGGCGACTTTTATCACAGCTAGAGACACTACCAACATGCGTTAAATGCTAATAAGGGCCGAAAATGACGAAAAAATCCAGTTTGACATATTGTACGAATTACTTTTAATTAAAACGTTCAAGAGTATTTGTTGACAATACTTTTCGTAGACATATTAAAAAGCTGCCGTTTCGCATGTAACACCATCGTTATCATCGTCACCATCGTCTTCGACGATGATTATCATCATCGCCATCATCTTCGTATCGCTCCTTCGTTACTCTAATCATCTTCCCATTTATGAGCAACAATCTCAAATCAATGGGGACATATACACGACTCAAAATCATACACGATCTAACGGAAACTAACGGGAAAAAACGTGCGACTGCAATTCTCGAAAGAAAAAAAAAAAAGAGAAAAGGAACGTTATCAATATGTTTCCAGAGTAATGTAAACTCAACGTACGTTACGTTCGTCATTGGCGATTAAGCAAGTCGTGTACATTGCTAATGTCAAATCTTAAGAAGCACCCTTCTTCTCCTACGATCCTGCTTCACCATAGAGAAACGACAATTTTTTCATAAACGCTCACCGATAGCTTTCGCTTCGGTGCATGCCGTTTCGCGCAGTTATTTTTATGATACGATTATACCTGCGCAACGACACACATAACCGAAGTGTCGGCGAGCGTATGCCAAAGTAGATGGTGTATACAAGTTGCAATTTTTGAGAAATTTTGCTAATCGCTTTGCAATTAGTTAGATCGTGTATGAGGCGCTCGCTCAAAGTTACGTGGTTAAGTGAAATCTAGTCGGAAATCGGCTACAAAAACTTACGGTAAATCAGTCGGTTTTGCGAAGAGTCCGTCCCTAGAAAACGGAAATTAAACGAGGATCCAGAAGTTGAGGATCTGAAAGGTCGGGCAGGTTATAAAGGACACGAAGATCTGAATCCGGTTGAGGGAACAATGAGGAATCCTAGAAGAATGAAACAGATTGATGATCCGAAGGGGATTACGAATCGATCGATTAAAATACCCGGAGGACATTTGGAAATACGAAAAAGAAAGTCACGAGAGAGAGAGAGAAAGAGAGTTCGGGGATAAGAGTTTCAAGCTGAAGTATCTAAATCGAAAAGAATGAAAGTCCCGAGGGACCTAATTCGGAGATGTCAAAATGCATACTCTGAAAACCGCAGTGGCAAAGGTCCAGAAAAATGGAAGGTTGTAATCACACCAAGGTTAAAAACATCCCTGAAACTCTAAGGAACTCCCCCTCAACTACTCAGATGACTCCGCAGATCCCAGAGTTAAATCGCGCGGAAGTATCGAGAGTGGAGTAATGAAAGCAAGATTTCACTACAGATACAAATCGAAGTGCCGGAGGATCGGAGTGTGTATACCTTTGATATTTCGTCTCAGCAACTATAACGCATTACAATTATCTCGTAAAAGAGAGACAACGCGGACAGCGCGTCGCCGCGGTTCGTTGTGAGTTAATAACAACAAAAACAACAAGTGCGCGTCGCAGTTGCTAAGTAATGGAGGACTTCGATAAGGATCTCACGATCATGAAAATTCAGAATTATGCCTCGTAGAGAGTAGCATTATGACACTAACAGTCGCTATTCTTCGCTCCGCGATCTGACGCACACTCTCGCATACATACATACGCACCCGTGCATACACACACACATACACACACGCACGTACATACGTATTAATCGTACTTCACCAATTACAATCATTAATAGTCGTCGCTATTAATCGTCGCTCAGTACATATGTATTATTTACACAATATGCTCGGAATTCAACATTTCTTTCCCGACCACTCTCGCGGTGAAGCGCTCAAGAAATGTTTAAGACGGAGCATAAGAACTTGAACGCTACTATAAANTGCGAATTCTTTTTTCCTCTTCCTTTTTTTCCCCCCTCTCTCTCTCTCTCTCTTTCTTTCTTCCTTCCTCTAACGAGGCTCTGCGTCAATAGAACATCCATCTAAACGGCCTCTCACTACGCTTACGGAGGATTTCTCTCCGCGCCTGAGTAGTTCTCGGCCATTCGATTTTGTTCTAAGTGTTTGTCAGCGACTTTCGCGATTCACGTGTGGAATGTTCGACACCATGTGTCCCAGAATTTACAACGACTCTACTCATAGACGGCGCGCGATTAGAACGAGGGTAATCGTCCTCGAGCCTCTTTTTTTTCGCGAGCATTCGCGACATTCTGTGGTAAAATATAATCGAGCGAAGGATAATAATAATAATATAAATTTGCCGATGACATTTGTCTTAATGCGACGAGGATTGCCTTGAGCAAATTTGGGGAACAAAATAAATTATAAATTAGAAAGACGTGTCTTCATCACTTAGTTACAAAGTAAGTGACAGCGAAAAGTCGGTGATGCGTACAAAGCGTCCCTGATCAATCGTGATCCGCTCTTCTCAGAGTGTTTGCATCTCGTAGTGATTAATCGCGACAAAAACATCTCTTACAAAGAAGGCTGTTAATATTGCGATCATGATATATCGAGAAAAAGATATAAAATATACCGCAATTATCAACAAGAAACGGTCTCATAATCATAGAATATTAAGAAGGGCGTGCGATAATTGTAAAAAACTTCAACCCTTGAAGATTTATCGGGGGCATAAAAATCCAATATTGATCAGGAATGCGTCCCTTTAATAAGTAATCAATAGTTAATTAATAATTCGTTGACGACGCATTTATATAAAATTGAAGAAGACGATTACGTTCGAACGACTACTTCTGAAAGATCGATATCTTTAGTCGTGAAAAAAGCGTCGTTAAACATGATCGTAAAAATAAATACGGGAACAATGCTTACATGGCTACATATGTATATATATATTTATATATATATATATAACATGTATGTATAGTAATATAAAAGAGCGTGTTCTTAAATGACGTGATGTTTTATTACACATTTTCCGCGCTCTAGGCGACGCGATTAATGCTGAAAGCGACTCGCAACTTTATTTCTCTCATAAGAGAACGTTTGTGTTAAAGCGTTCATTAAAACATAGATCGAGGGCGGTCGCATTTAGAGTTAAGCGCGCACGGCTAGAACGCAGTAATTTAACTAAATTGCTCGGGTTTTTACACACATTCACACGCACACACACGCGCACACACGTTCGCATTTAAATAGTACTAATAACTGAGAGAAAAAATACTTAATAGCGAAAGTTTAGTAAATATGGCGATAACAAATAAATGCTGAGGCGCAACACATGGTCCTCGTTTAAGGAAACGAATTATATTTGAACAGAAATGAAAAATCGCGAAGAAAACGCCAGAATATACTAGGTGTCTCAAAGAGGCAACTGAAATTAAAAATTGTAATGAATAATAATGATAACTTCAGCCATTATACAAATTACCTCGAGTAATTATGATCTTGGTTATTACTAGGAGATCGTAAAAATCAGTGATAAATAAAATGTAATGAAATATTCCTGCTTTTATTGAAACCAATTTAAATTAAAAGGATTATCAGAAGTTAACAATTAATTTCTAAGATGTGTAATAATCCTTTTAATTAAAATTAATTGAAACTAGTTCCTAGTAATAACTTAGATTAAATCATTGTATATTAAAAGTTACTACTATATGTGTGATCATCATTACTAAACTATAAGTTATGGTAAATAATTCATGTAATAATAATTGGATATAAATTATTTTTATCCTAAATTAATACAGTTTGCAATCAATAACTTACTATTACTTAATATTACTATCTAGGAATTATTTGACATAATTACGATTCCAATTATTATTAAAGGAATTATTCGAAATCAACGTGTGAAGCATTATGAAAAATCAATTCTTTTAGAAGACAATAAACGGGGAAAACGACTATACATGTCAAAAAAGTACAATATACAAAGGGTTAAGTCTCAACAAATACATAAAACCCTTTCATTGTCTTGATGAATATGGCACTCGTTTTTTTTTTAAATACATGCAGCTTTTTAGGTGACACCCTGTACAAAATGGACGGCGTCATTTCTAATTCCACATTCATAAAAAATTCTTAATTTTAATCGCTTAATTCTAAAGTTCGCTATTTCACTGTACGAGATAGATAAAAATGACAGAATTATTTCTATTATTTAATTTTAGTGACACATTTATTATATCCTGTAGTTATCTATTCCAGAAGATAACTACAACTATTTTGCAAATTTCCCGAGGAAAGTTTTCAAGTAAAACATTTCTCCAGTGTATATCCCAAGGAAAATAATTTCTGCCTCCAGATTTTGCAAGCAAAAATTTCTAAGAAATTTTGTCTCCACATTCCCAGGAATATCTCGAAAAAGAAACTCTTCCGAAGAATATTCTAAGTAAAAAAATTCATTTCGTCGTATTTCTTCATGGTATTATAGATACCGATCTTAATCAATAATAAAAGAATTTGTCATGATGTGTCTGAACTTTTAATTTTTTTTACAAATCAATATATAAATTCAATTCATATTGATCTGTAATTTTCCGCGGGAAATTAGTTATCCAACTTTTTTCCCCAACAGATGTTCACCTCTTAATAAATTCCAGTGGATTTCCCACTTTTGTCATTCACCTCCTTTGAGACACCCTATATATACCTCGCGCCCACAGGATTCGTAATATTTTACTGAATATCTAGTTAATACCAAACGCGTCCACCTTATTCGCAAGCTATTTCTTCCGCGCAGCTTTTTCTGCTTTTCGTCGCATACGTTCGATTTCTTTGCGCTCTTTGCGCTCGCGATCAGCCTGGGCCCTTAACTCTTTCAGCTTGCGCTTCAGATGGGCCTTAGCTTCACCGTAAATCCCGAGGGCCTTTAGCTCCCTTGATTCCAAGCGCAGTAAGTTGCTCCCGTTGATGCCACTGTCTAAAAATTGTGGGGAATAGCGTTCCAAACCGATTCCTGTCAGCCATTGGCAGACCTGAATACATATTTCTACTTTTAGAAATATAATATCGAAAATAAGAATGTAAAATATGAAAATGTGACTTTTTTTTATAAAGATGAAAGGCGAAATCAAATGATGAAATAATAAATACGTATGATAGCTCGATGAGAAAAGAAAGGTAATAAATGTTACATCAGAATCTAGATTTGCAAAGTAGCTCGTAAAAACAAATTATTCTATCATAAGTCTTCATTTTATTTTTTTTTCTTTGAAAAATCAGTCAAATACTCACTTGCTCTTTGGACCAATCCGTGACCGGCGCGTTCTGCCAGAAGTGGGACTTCTTGTCACCTAAACCAAAGTCGCTCAGTTGAGCGGGCAACCAAACTGCGCTCGAATCTACATTGATAATGCATGCATGATGGAAAGTGCGTGTGGTAGGATCTTATTACGCTATTAGTAATCACTCTATCAGGAATTAATCGCTACCCGAAGTTCTATTGTACATGTTCGTATCTCTTTTTTATTCTATTAATCGCCGTTTCATTATATTTCATCGAGTGTATTGAATGGAAATTGATTTATTATTTAATTTTACTAGAATACCATTTTTCTTCAAGTCGGGAAAATTGTTCGTTTAAAAATACAAGATGAGATTGCTAAACCAAGACAGCAAAATTATACCGAAATAAAGCGTTATTGATTATGCAGGCGAGAGCTGGAGAAGATCGGCAAGAATTTAATTCTGAATTCTTTCTTCACCTGAATCCTTTAGAAACACAATCCAAACTCTTTGATTTTAATTACTGATTGAGCGATCGAAAGGTTAGTGCTGAGATTACATTAGTAACACATAGAACGTCTCAAGTAGGTACCTGCAATGCTACCAGCTTTCGAAGGACTAGGATCAACGGCTGGAGGACTCACGGAACCGCCGGAGGACAGGCTCGAAGGAGAACTTCCTGGATGGTGCCAGGGGGCTCCTCCACTGCCGATTAAATTTGACGGAGGGATCGATACTTTCTTCACTGAAAGCACAAGTTTAGCTACACTGGAGTGATTCCAAATTGCTTCAGTCGATGGAATTAATATTGCTATAATTTAATTAATTCCCAATTTTGCTCAATTTTCACGATTCCATTATTTTCATTCGATTTTAAATACTTTCATATACCTCTTTGATTAGCCTCGTTAACAGCTTGTCGTATCTCCTCTACGAGATGATGCGTGACCATGGTCGGATCATTGTTATGGGGATTATTGAGATCACTGAAATCGCCGGAGCTCTCTCTCGAGGAGTCATTTCCTCCAAGTCGCTTCTCTCTCTCGGCTAAAACCTGCTTCAGCTGTTCCGCCAATGACGCGGGAGGTCCGGTTAAAGCTATGTAGAAGAGAATATTGATTTTCATTATCATTTCATCATTCATTATCACATACACACAATATTATATACCTGTACTTTATTATCTTACTATTATACTTTCCCTGCCAATAAATTTGCATCTATATACGTAGTTGATACACATAGAATGCGCAGAGAAATCAATGTCACATGACCAAAAGAAAGAGCTGCTCGGATTCAATATGAAATTCATTCTCCCATTACTTAATATCTCTCAACATTTTTTATAGTTACTTATCAGAACCACGCTTGTTTGCAAAATATCTTTTTTTATCGATTTTCTATATTCTAAATTCCACGATCGATAAACCGTATGCGTGAAAACCAAAAAAAAAAAAAAACACGATAACATACTCTTTTGTGATTGGGGCCAGCTCTGCTCGGTCATCGCTCTGACTTGCGAGCTGATGGTGCTGTGCTGTCGAATCGCCGTGGGATGTATGGGGTCCATGTGCTTCCCCTTGAGCGAGCTGATGGATGAAGTGCTAGAGTAGGAACTCAGGTTGGACTGCTTAGACGTTAAGTCGTTGGGCGACCTGCTGCTGTTATCCTGCGAAGTAAGCTTCGAAGAGGAATCGTCATCTGTGTTGTCGCCCGACTCGTCCAATCCGTAATCCTTAAATCGGAATACTCCTTAATCGTTGATATACACACATACTTGCACATGACAAGATACAAATACCAAATTTTACAATATGGAAATATTTATTCATCATTTTGTTCATCGACTTTCTTTACTCTTATTATTAACAACAATTAGAAAAAAAAACGTACCGAACTGCTGTTGCTGAGACCTCCGGATCGCTTGGGTAGCTGACGATTGGCCAAGCCGCCCCTGCTAGCAAGCTCCGCCTTACTCTTGCCTGCAGAATTGTCCAGCAGACGATGGGCCGGCACCGCACGATCCAGTTCCTCTTTCACCGGTAACGGCAGAGGCAGTTTCCTCTCCACCGTTGCGGTCTTGTCACCGTCGTCCGGGCTACTGAGATCAGAGGTCTCCGTGTCGGAGAGTTGACAGCTGGTCGACGAAGGTGGCGGTGGTAGTTGTCTGCGGGAGAGCTGCGGCGTCACTATCCTGGCAGTGGTGTTGTCGTAGGGCAACCGTACAGGCAAACCAAACCGCCTCTGAGTCTCCGTCAGCTCCACCTCCAATGTGATTACCTGGAATGATTTTTTTCACTCGTGATTATTATTATCACGAGAAAGCTCAGAGACCTGCTTTTCACCTCGACATCGCAATTAAAACCAATTTATGTCCGAATGTATTTTGCTAAGATCGAATTATGCGAATGAGTCGATATACGTACTCTGTCCTTAAGACTTTTCACCAATGCATTGTACTCCGTATCCTTCTCCTGCAACAATTGCTGATAGAACTCGTCCCTGGCCGCGATATCCGCCCGTAGCTCTCTGGCAGCCCTCCTGGCCCTGGCATACTTCTGCTGCAGAGCGGCGTTTTGCCCCGTCGCCTGGGACAACATTTCCCTGGTTGCCGACAAATCTTGGCGAGCGGTACCCAAAGCTCTTTCCGACTCGTGAAGACGTAAGCCCGACTCCCGTAATTTGGCTGCATACTCTTCGCTGCCCGCTCCGCTGTTTTCCAATTCAACCAGCTGTCGGGAACGTGAAGTGAGAATTGTAAAGTAATATAGAACGACGAATTACAATTAGAAAATTACGTTGGTTACAATATATATTACAAAGATTAACTTATAACTATAAAATTGTACATAAACTCGAGTTGTAGAAATATAATTAGTATCCTACACATAAATTGAGATTCGTTGGTTAAAAAAGTGCAAAGAAAAAACTAATATTACTCAAACGACAGGAATCCAATTTTATCTCATCCCTATACTATACTCTTTATTTCTAATTTTAATTCTATGTACATTCGTTCTACGGTGATAAATATGTACATCAATATACATATATGTAGTTATAAATTGGGAATGTTACACATTGTACGTAGAGGGAAGGATATCATGCAAGAAACATTTGCAGAGATTATATGATAAGCATAGACAAGAGAGCATAAATAAAGATGACAAGCGGAAATTGATGAAATTATCTCGCAAATCTCCTTCAAGAATATATCTTGTACGTTAATTCTCCGTTTTGTGTTAGTTCCGATTAAAATGTCAGTTAACTCGATTCTATAAATTATTTAATTGGTATTCGAATGACTGTTGCAATATTACGTTACCTTCGCTTTGAGATTTTCAACTTCCTCGTCCGCTATTGCAAGTTTATACTGACTCTGCAAGCAACCAATGACACACATAGCGCATAAGCAAAACAAAAATGAAGAAATATCTACAAAATGTACACTGCGTGTGATTGTAATAAATCTTGTATATGTACGTTACACGCACGACACGATCGCATGCACGTACGCACAACTAACTGCGCGTGCGTGTGCTGACCTCTGTGACTTACACATACATAAAAAAAAAAAAAAAAAATAACACATTGTTCTTGAACAAACATGATCACAGCACACAAACAATGTACAATGGACAAATATAGACGAAACAAACATACGGTGAATTAAAAAAGAAATAAAAAAAAAAGTGTTAAAAGCAATATTTGCAGACGAGAAAACTCGTGGGGTTCCGCTGATACACCACATACGAAGAGATATGAGAATGCACACGATACCTCCTGCAGGAGCAATCTCAAACTGTCGACGTCGTTCTGCGTAGTGGTAGAGTGCTGGGGCAGGGACGAGCTTAGTATCGGAGATCGGCTGCGACTAGAAGGTGACAGGTAGTTTTCAATGGGACTGTGGGGTGGCTCTCCCTCCGAGCAAGAGGACAGGACCGGTGAACCCGGGATCCCGCTCATCCCGCTGCCGATCGAGATATCCTCGCTCCCTCGTTGGCCGTCGGGGGAGGCATCGGAGAAGTTCAGTTTCCTGTTCATAGGTACATAATGTCTTCTTAAATATAGAAGTAATGACAATAATGCGTTGATCGCAGAAATTACGTTTTAAATCATATATAACGCCGAAACGTGGTTCCCTCAGTACTCCAAGATGCCTCAGGCACTCGTTGGAGTGGCCGGAAAGTGTCGTCACAGCAGATTTGCGAGCAAGGATATTCCATCATTGGGAACGCCGACAGCGTTTTAATCGTACAAACTTATTACTCACTTAGCGGCGTTCGCCTGCTCCCGTTCCCGGTCCGCCTGAAGACTCTGCTTGATCAGCATCGCCACTTCCGAGTTCTTGGGGTCCTTCTCTCTGCCGATGACGAATCGCACCAGTCCGGAAGTGTTCCTCAACACGCTGGCGGCGTACGCTTGCGTCACGCCGACTAAGCTCTTGCCGTCCACCTCGACGATCTGGTCATTCACCTGGATACGACCTTCACGCGCTGCCGCACCCTTCTCAGTGATGGTCTTCACGAAGATGCCTAGCTTCTCCAAGCCTGCGTCTGCGCCAACGCCCATCCCGATTATGCTAAGGCCCAATCCCTCAGGTCCTTTCATTAACTCCACGGGGAAGACCTGAGTTGAACAATTTTTTCTTCTTCAATTAGTATTCCAGCACAATATTTCTACTTAACGCACGGATGTTGTGAACTCAGGGAATGGCTTAGTTGTCGAAAATAATGAGAAAAATGAGTCTCATTCTTGAAAAAGTAAAGAAATAGTGAGTCAGCTTTAAAAAAGTGAGACTTTTCTAAATAATTTATACGTTAAAAATTAAACAATTTATCAATTATACCATTTCTCCAAAAGATTAAAAGCACAGACTTTATAGTAAAAGCCGATAAAAATAAAAATTTGATTTTTGGAGGACAAAAAAGTTACATGATAGAATCTAAAACTTATTGTACGCTTAATCTTAGGCACATATTTAGATACTCATAAAGTATATTATTCAAGATTACCTCCATCTTCTCGACACGTTTTTCCAACTCGTACTCTGCGCTCGCTGCCACAGGATCTACGTCTTCGTTGCGGCGGTCGTATTCGTTTACGGAGTGCGTGGAGTAAACGCGCATAGGGCCGGTGTCGAAAGATACCTTGGACGTTTTCTTGACAGGCACGGTGGACGGGTAATCCTCGTCGTCGTCGTCAGACTCCGGGATCCCCGCAACTTCCATCCAAAAGTGGCCGTCTTCGAAATAATGCACGCCATTCTCCACGAGAACCTGTTTAATCGTGAGTTCCAAATACAACGTTAACGATCGAACTCGATATCAGTAATTCATTTCTCTGTTAATAAACGAGTATAACGTCTACACTCTCGACGAAAGACTACTAATCCAGATAAAACGGAAATGTGAAATTGTAAAGTTTTTTCTCCTCTACAAATCTAGACTAAATCCTCTGACTTGATCGTGTCTATACTTTTATCGTAATCGAGAAGTTAGCAAGATATAATACTGTATTATATATTACAATTTTTCCCGGAGTCGGAATGTAATCGTCTTGATGCTCGGTTTCGGTGTCGTCATTAGTCTCGTGGGTATCGTTCAAGCTGCTTACTGAACCTAGCAATCCGCTCTCGCTCCCTGTTACTGATCCCACTTGACTCTCCGTCAACGAGTCTATTGTCAGGTCACTGCGGGATCTATGAGTTAGACTGAAATAAAAATTTAATTGTGACGGATGTGTGATAAATGGATAGGAATTGATTGCCCGAGTTTAAAGATCCTAGTGTTAATTCCAACCCCAAAGAACCTCAATTGCCCAAAAAATCGACAAGGAACCATGAATCGCATATTCGTGTAATCGAAGAGCTAGAAAAATGTATATTGACTGTATCATTAAAGATACGATTGAGATCATTAAATAGATGGATCTCTCGATGCTTATGAACTATCTTATCAATCCATAATCAATCAATATGAATATTGTGTGAGGAATATACTTAAGATCGTTAACGAAGGAAGAATGAAACAGGCGAGGACACGCAAAAAAGGGACACGCAACAAAAAGATGATGGAAAATAAACTCGTTCACCTATAATCGTGAGTGGCGCTATTGATAAGACTGGAATCAGGAGCAGACAGGACATCGGACAGCCAGTCGGGCGTGTTGTCCTGGTCGTCTCTATCCCTGTCCTGTCCTTCCTTATCCTTGTCATTAGAAATCCCGTCACCTACTGCATCATCTGCACCGGTGGGAGACAACAGCCTCGCTATCTCCTGCGCTTCTTCGTCCGATAGCAGCGCCGAACCTTGTCTAATTTATGTTTCGAATCATTCACTTGACATTGCGAGTCGAATTAACGTGATCGTTGATAATGAATCAATTTTGTTATTAAGTGGCAGAAGCAGTTATGTCGACTCAACGTTTTCACGTGTAAAATATATCCTTAAATCTCTCACGTTAATATCCGACTTAAGAAATGCGTCCAACCGACATAAAAGTTTGTGAGCACTGTGTAACGTCAAATTAAAACTATCATTTGAAAAATGTGTCACCTAATTTATTAGTTACACGTAGAAAAATATTCAATTAAAAATAAACTTTCGTAAAATATGAACTTTCACCAACTCAATATTAAATTATTCATTTTTACCTTTATTTAATATATACACGTAATAAATTATTTGTTAATTGGATAAAGTCTACATTAACATGCCAATATAATGTAACATAAGAAATGCGAAATATGACTTATTTGCTTCTGTTATCCACTCGCACGATCGCTAATGTTGTAAATGTATTCACCTGATCTTCTTCTCCAGAATGCTGCGTGGACCAAGGAAATCGGCAGATTCGCATTCCGACAAACACAAACGTATTAGAATCGAAACGAAAGGAACTAAGGTTATCGATATTAAGCTTGAAATAAAAAGAGCTACGAGTGCTCACATGCTGCCAAGCTCTGCAGCGAAAGAAATACATCCGTGCCATCAGGTATCGACACGCTATGAAAAATGCGGATCTATGTTGTCTAAGCATAAAAGTTCCTGTCTATACATATCCTAAAAACAAAGAGAGAGAGAGAGAGAGAGAGAGAAAGAAAGAGAGTTTCAGAAACTCCAGCACTATTCTCAAGACATTTCTTACTCGTATAAATATCAACGAAGCCAAATGTTCCAAGAGTATGCTCCCTTGCGTTAAAAAAAAGAAAAAAAAAGGACAGGTTGTCCCAAATTAACCCTTTGCACTCCAGCCTAGTAATGCATAGAGGCTATTAGTTCCAAGTACATACCTATGATGTAGAAGAAAAATAGAGTCGTTTCAATAAAACAAAATTTTTATTTCTTAGCTATTTTATAACAAAACATATTCTAACTTATATTATAAAAGAAAAACATAAATTTTAGGACTTAAAATTTTTTAAAGTGCCGAGGCAGCAAAACAACCATGTCGCCGCTACGGCGACAGCGGAGTGCAAAGGGTTAATATCGGCTTCCCGTGGTGTGCAAGTAGAACGCGTGAAACTTGTAAAAAGGAAAAAAGAATTCTCATCGTGTCTCTCTCTTCTATCAGATGTGCGATATTCCGAAACTAACACAACGTTACGTGACTGAATTCCTCTTCCTATCGGTCTACTCACCGAGAGCTCAACAGATTCTCAGCCTCGTCCGGAGTCATGGTGTCCGGTGTCACAGGAGTAATATGATTGACGCCGGCCTTCGAGGGGGTCTCCGGGGGAACGGAATTACTCAGCGCCTCCGTCGGCGCGCACTCCGTCGAATTAACAACGGTCTTCGTGTCGCTCGAATCACTGTCCTCGATCAGACTGTTTTCCGAAGCGGAGTAGTCGTTGGATCTCCTACCGGAGTGCCTCTGCGTGAGCGCATTGGCCGCCGGCAGCGGGGATGACGGCTGGTTGTAGTTCTCCGACAGCCTGAGCTTCGCTAGTTCGGCCTTCTGCTTCTCCTGCTCCCACGTGGTCTGCTCGACGTGTTCCTGAGGAGCTACTGCTGCTTTCTTGCTCATTAGCACACTGTTCACCGCGGCAATGCACTCCTTCCTGCTGCCGCTGACCTCAGACTTGGACACCTCCGTCGCGTACTTCTCCTCGTCCGTGTTCTCCTTCGCGATGAGCCCTAAACCAGCCGCCGCCTCTTGGTCGTCACGTTTCGTCACGCCGTGACTCGTCCTCTCGTCCATCTTGCTCTCCGCCTCGGCAAAGCTGGAACGCTTGCCGGACACCTCCTCCCGGTTCTTCGCGATCTTCTCCCTAACGCTGATCTTGATCTGGTCGTTCTTCGCATTCGACACCGTCTTCTGGCACACCCCGTCGCCGGTGGGTTTCGCTTCCGACACCGCCTCCGTAGGTACGGAGTTTATCGTCTCCACCACAGGGTTGCTGCTGTGATTCTTTGCCGGCTCCGTGCTCGGCAATTTTATCTGAGCATTGCATTCGGCATTGTTCGACGGGACAGCTTCTTCACTCTGCGCTCTTTTCGCATACGGCGACGGCACGGGGATGTCCTTGTGCTCCAGTGGAGGGTATTCCTGGTCGGAACTGATGACGGAGGGCGGACGTGGGCCCAGACCGGCAGCCTGAAGATCGAGGCGCACATGAGAACGCCGAATGACCGTGGTTGTATCCGACTCGTTGAACTTGAACTGATCCTTCTCCGAGAGACTCTCCATCTCGGACGTGCAGCTCTGGTACGTAGCTGGCTTCTCTTGATCCTCCGTCTCCAAATCATAGCTGTTGCGACCTGGATTTGGAAAATACGCTTGTGAAAATGTCAAGGGAAAGAAGATTGAAATTGACTTTTAAATTGAATCTGATCAATAAAGTTAATAATAAAGAGTGATGAAAATCCTACAGAAATTCTGACAGAAAGCTTACAAATCTGTTAGTAACTTTAATGAATAAAATGCTATTTTACACATGTCTTGTTATATTAATTAATAAAACTTTTATAACGTTAATAATGGAGCGTATGTAATATGCGGTGCAAGTAACGATAATAAATTAAATAAAAAAATAAAAAAATTCGCCCCTCTATAATTAAAAATGCAAAAGGTGCAAAGGTGATACTACGTTTCCTGAAACCTATATATTTCGTGTAATAGCAATAAAATTGTTGCGTTTCTGAATAATAGAAACGATATAAATAGTATGTTCAAGAAATTTTTAAAAGGAAATTTATATTTATGCTTTTTTTCTCTCAATATTTAACTTTCTTAATTTAATCACTCGAAAGATACACTGAATATATCTCAGAAATACCTCCACAATCGATGCAAAGTAACCGCAGGCACATAATTTTAAGTCTTCTTGGAGTACGCAGAGCTCCAACAAATGCACGAATTTCGATTGAACAAAATATAACGCAGCGTTTCATGTGTACATATAAACACTATTATTGCTCCTTTACTCCTAGATTCTATCACAAAATGATGCACTTGCAAGATATAAACATTAAAGTATAAACATTAGTTGGAGTAATGAGACTCTGGACTCTGTTATTTAATTTATTCGTTACTTTTTGTCACTTGGTTGCGAATGTGTATTAAATTTTTTGAGTTTCATTTGGTTACACTTTTCACAGTAAACATTTAAACTACACATTAATTAATGATATTTGAAAGTAATGACGCTATAACACTATAACATTTCTACTTTGGCTCTCACTGGCTCATAACACATTTGTATGACTGAACATCAATCGAGTCTTTAATTGATTATTCTAAATTTTTGTATAACTGTATAATAAATTATTCACTTCTATTTTATTTAAATTTTTGACTTGTAATTCCTTTAGTTTTCATTAATTTACTAACTTACAATGCAAAAAGATACATTTAGATTGAAAAAACTCTCCCAAACTATACATTCTTTCCTCAAGGAACTGTTTGAATCCATTGAAAAAATCTTGTTTACTTATATCACATTTTCTCCGTACATATTAGTGTTTACAAACTTCGCGATATTTTTGTTATCTTGATTTTAGTGTCACTGAGGAACCAGTCACTGCGACAATTGAAAATATGTTCGGAGCACAACGTCGGTTAATTTCGAAATTCCGAAAACCCGTGAAAAGTTTCAGAGACACTTTTGCAAAGTAAACGTGGCGAGGCACGAGCGTTTTGGCTGCTGAACAAGCCACACAGTGATTTCTATAAATAATATTGTGGCACACACTGGTAGGAGGAAGAGCTGGTGAGAAGGAGAAAAGGGGAGAGGGGGGAGATCGCGTCTGGTACTTTTACTTTTTGGCACTTTGGCACACTGCCATGCCAGTCCACGACGGCGGAAGTCACCTGGCACCGCTGATTCTTTGCAAAAAATGTAAGAATTTGTTCCTAATTCACTTATATCGCACATCGACAAACGTTTCTTCTTATTTCCGGATTTCAGAGGAATTATTTTGAAAACGGAATCATATTCAAAAGCAAAATGGAGGTCTCGGGGTAACTTTCACTAATTGAAACAGCGAAGCAACTTTCACTAATTGAGATGGCCGTCTTTAGCTTCGGTACACTTTTTCCATCGAGAAAATTTCGCAACTCTCTGTCCGAGAAACTCAAATCGGGAACTATTTGGAGGGGGAAAAAAAACAGGAGACCGGCTGGTGAGTGAGTGAGTGAGTGAGTGAGTGAGTGAGTGAGTGAGTGAGTAAGAGAGAGAGAGAGAGAGACGACGAAAACGACTTTCGTCGCACAGAGACCCAGAAACTCACCTGTCTGATGCTTCTCCGACATCTCCTTCTCCGCCTTCTCCTCCTTGCTATCTTTGGAGGGCGAACTAGGCGAGCTCATGCTGGACGAGGCGCTGTCGGTGCCTGCGGAGGAGGGCAAGCCTAGTTCGGATTCTGGTGAGCGTGTCAGCTCAGTCCTCTTGTCGTCGCTCGTCGTCTCTTTCCTCTTCGCATTCGCGCTAGGCCTGGCCCAGTCCGGTCTGGGATCCGGTCTCGTTACTACCTCGCCGCGCGCCATTTCCGCTTCCAGCGCCTCCCTCGATGAGGACTTCAGGTCCCTCATGTCCACTGCCCTCTTCAGGATCTCGTCGTTCTTCGCCAGCCACTCGTTCCGCCACTCAGACGTTTTCGCCGGCGAGTGAATCGGACTCGGAGGGCAGTTCAGGTACTCCGGTGCTTCCAACAGGTCGCTCTCCCGCCTCGTCAGCTGAGCACTGTCCACCGAAGTGCTGCTACGAATCGGACTAGAAAGCTCGCATTGGAGCACCAACGACGTTTTCGTCTGTTCCGGGAGGTCGTTGTATTCCTTCGTGACCGTAATTTTGGTCCCTGCGACAACCTCCGTCGTGGCCACTGGACTCCTCGAGATCTCCTTCGAGCAGTCCACGACTTCCTTTGCCTCCGTCGACCTGGGGACTGTGGTCTTGGTCGTTTCCTCCACGGTTGCCTTCTCCTTGGGAATATCCGCTGCCTTCGCATTCTTGCACGTCGGGGTTGCTTCCGCAGTCGTTGGGGACACCTTCGGAGCATCCTTCGGGCTCTCGGACGACCTTGAGGCCAGCACTTCCGCCGCTATCGAGTTCTTCAAGTTCTGCGTGGCGGTGGTCTTGGAAGCGTCTTTCGGGCTCGACTTGGAAGTGCCCTTCTGCACCACAGCGTACTCCGGCATACCGGCGTCCTGAATCTTGTCGGAGCCGTCGTCTTGGCACTCCTTCGGATCCTCCTGCGGCTTCTTCGGCTTCTGCACGACGGCGTATTCCGGGATCGTCGGCGAGACGTCGTCAAACTTCTCGATCGTCGCGTACTCAGGGCTCTCCGGTAGGTCCGACGGGCTGAGGGCGGCGATGCTGGCCGGTCGCTCTCTCCTGCCAGCCGCCGACGAATTCCTGACAGGTGGCAGAGGCGGCGGGGGAGACCGGGCGGAGCAGAAACTCGCCGACCTGGCCGGGCTGACGGTGTCATTGACCGCGCTGGTCGAGCCTTGGCACAATGCGTCGACGGACGACTGATGCTGTGGGCTCGCGTTCTGCGAGTTGAGAGACGTCTGCACCAGCGAGCGATTCGGGTCGGAGTTGTAGCGGCTCGGTCTGGTCTTGGAGAAGTGGCTGGTCCAGTTGCGCTGCTTCTCGATTAGCTCCTTCGAATTCGGCCGGCGCTCCGGTTTCTCCGGTCGTTCCGGACGGTCGTTCTCCTTGCCCAACATTCGCTCGACCTTGCCGCCGCCCACTAAGCCAGCCTGCACCGCGGCACGTCGCTGGTCCGGCATGTTGCAGTGGCCGTTCTCGAAGTGCCGTTCCGCGTTCAGGGCCGGCACGCTGGCGCTCCACGTACTGAGGTGCTCGCGACTGCCCGGCGGGGACGGCGAGCGCGGACGTGGTGATCTCGCGGGAGAGGTGCAGCCGGAACCCGAGTTCGCCGAGCTAGAGCGAGATCGGAGACCGTGCAAGTTGTTCGGCTTCGTGACTCGTTCCACGCTGTGGATTACGAGAGCGTGTGATTCGGCTTTTGCAAGTGTAATCGAGTCGAAAATCTCGGACAACGAGGTTCTTCGAACGAATGTAACAGAGTTTTAGATAATTGCGCGATGACCGATTGATTCGAAGCGAAATTTCGAAATAATAAATTGGAAATAGCTAATTGGAATGTTATTTACAAGAATTTATGATGATCGAAGCATTAATATAAGCGACAAGCTTTCTCTTACGGTCGGTTCGGCTTGTTCTCTTCGCCAAGCTTCTCGAAGAGAGCACGCGCATTGTTGAAGCGCGCCACATGGCTTTCCGTCCTGACTACCGTCACCTGCGTCGGAGACTCCTTCAGCGGAACAGTAGGTTCCTTAAAACCGTCCGATAGGATATTATTCGTTCTGTGGCTCAGATCAAGTTGCGGCTTGGACTGGAAAATGTTCGCTATCGCTGACACCTTGGAGCCACCCACTCGTTTCTTCTCTTCTACCGTTGCCATGTCTAGCAAGAGCTTGTACGAAGAAAGACAAAAACATATTTTACGTGTTTCCAATTGTTTTTTGTAACAATCTATGATACTCAATCTCATTTTAAAATAAAGTACTTGTTTCCTAAAAAGTGATGATTTTAGATAAAATCATGAAAGATAAAAAATATTTAGATTTAGATGAAAAAAATTATATTTATATTTAAATTGTAAGATATGAAAAATATGTGAGAAATGAAAAATTGGACGCGCTTGATGAAAATTTACCTGTGACTGAAAAAAAGTATGTGACAGTTATGTATAGATGCTGATTATTCAGACGTTTCAGCCCATTGTCATTTGTATACATTTAACGCACTTCATTGCAGCAATCTGTAAAGAAAAAGGATGAATCGTTAAAATACCTATGTACGAATTAAAAATTAAAGACCAAAAAGTTAGAGTATGTAAATATAGGTACAGTAATTTAATATTTTAGGCTTCTCCGCGCTGTAGAGAAATGTTTGATCTGGTTTCCAGGAAAATTTTTTTTTAAGTCCTTCCTCTTCTCAAGGAGGTAAACTATTATTATTGTTCACGAAACGTCGGAAACAAATCTATAAAAGATGCAACACTAATCCGGAAACCAGATTAAACAAATATATATATACACAACAATAATCTTATTTAGTCATATCTTTTTCCGTTTAAAATCATAACTCAATTTTCAAGTGCATCATATAATTTAAAAAATTCCCCAATATATAAAAATAACAAATTGAAAATGTTTAAAATTACAATAAAATTACAATTGGTATCCACATCTAAAATCTTTTAGAATTTTATGCTTTCGCACTATACTAAGAACATACATTTTCCATCACTATTACCTATAGCCATCTCACATTAGCACAGTCAATTGGATTTCCTGACCTTTACAGAATTTGAATACTCTCCTGCTTAAAGAACTAATGCTGTACACAATTTTTTTCTTCCCAATTTTACTAACTCCGTCTCTATTAACTTATTAAACAAATTAAAATAGAAAGGAAATATACAAAAGCGTTAAAAATTTTTTTTTACTTATTAAGATATTAAACAATAAATTGTAAAAAATGGCAATAAATAATTAAATTACAATAACAATAAATATCATCATCTTATAATAAATATAAGATATATGATATAATTATATCATTAAGATAATAAACTTTTAAATAACTCAAGTACATAATTTAAAAAGTAAATGTATAACAAGGTATGAAATAAATATAAGTAAAAAGTAATATAAATGGAAAAAAAATATATATATATGAATAAGATATTACACTGTTATATGAAATCAATAAATTTATACTGAACTATTTATAATATACTTATTTTAATGAAAATTTGAGAATTATCTTCCTACTTCATTTAAATTTTTACTTTCTAATATTTTATTATGTATATTGTGTAAATATTATTGTTTACATTTTGGGAAAATGTTGAATGGGAGCAAAGTTGAATGACAGGCATGAGATATAATATAATAGGTGAGTCTCCCTTGTCTGGGCTTCAACCCTCCTCCCATAGCACACCATGTTGCTTCAATCAATACTTGAGTGCTGTTTCTGTGGTAGAGATATATGAAAAGAGATGCAATTTTGCCACTACTACTGCAATAGTGGTTACATGATTGCTTATGTGATAGTAGGCACATTAACTCGTGTTTGTGCTGAATCAAATGGTGTTTACTACAAGGTTCATTCACAGTGCAGTTATCTAGATACACATGCTGGGTATTTTTGGAGATATCTAGAGATACTTGGGACAGAGTTGTAACTAGAGATATATTTATATCTAAATGTAAAAAGTTTTTGTCTGTACATTTGCAAATGATTTGAGAAACTCAATTATTTGTTATTCTTTTTCGAGATACTGACAGTGAAAAAACAATAATGATGCAATCTTAATATTTCATTATTATTTAATAATGCAATAATATGTATTCTACTTGTTGTCAGTAGACATCAAGTTCAACACTTGCGAGTTACATCATATTGTATCTCAAGATTTAATTGAATTGTTCCAAGTATAATCATCATATGCAACTGAACAAAATCAATGAAATATAGTCTTGATAATCATCAAGACTATAATTTCATTAAATAAGACAGCCTCCTAATCGCTTACGACACACAAACTACATATTTACGAGCCATGTTTTATGTTTCCTCTTAACGATAACCAAGTAAAGATATTAGTTTGACAATACAACAAAATGCAACTTAATAGTTACTCGAACGTAATCTTTACTAATCAGTTTCCTCAATTCTATAACGTCATTAAACAACTTCCCAAGCACCAATGAACATACAACTTAATGCTTGGAAACTATGTTAAACAATTTCTCTGCGGTCTTAATGAAAATATCCGCAACGATACGACAAAATGTGCATCGGCAACATCAGTCGAGTACGACCTACGGATTCGTCAATATCACAATTTCACTCGAACAAAGTAACTCCTCCAAGAGTATGATCCAACGTCAACTTCGATACTTGCTAACTACGTTATACGATCTTAACGTTTACCCCGTGAAATCGGCAAGAGAGACGGCATGAAAATCAAAGAAACGGGACTGATCGAATGTAATCTGCAAAATTTACCAGTCCCACAGCATCATTAAACAAAACACCTTCCCAATCGCCATTACACCCCATGAGCTACCCACGGAAGCGCCGTTTTAACGAACTCGCCGGGGCTTTCACGAGAAAGCCAAGCTAATCGGTGTCGTCTGACAAGTACGAGCTCGTCCGCCGCGGCGCACTTCCTTTCACATCAGAATTACTTTCGGACTGACCCGGAAGACGATGTCACCATGTGCGCGCAAGCATCCCTCGGTCGGGCGAGCCGCAGACTTTCGCCGCGCTCGGACACGCTCGGCACCGTTCGGCCGTGCTCGGTGACGTTCGGCGCGGCTTCGGCAGTTTACGATTCGCGTCGCGTTCTCACGGTGTGACGGCCGCGCGACGCGATGACCAAGTTCGTCACACCTGTGCTGTTGTTAATGCACGATCGCCCTCACCATCGTCGGCGAATTGGCGATCTCGCTGATCTCGATCCGCACCGCCTATCGATCGACGCTTCGCAATTCGTCCTGCCGCATCGCGATCCGCCGACGGCCACTGCCCGACTATGTCGACGACCGTGCGGAATGAACCAAGATGGCCGGCCGCAATGTTCCTTTTCAATGCGTCGACACGACGATTCCGGGACTCTTGGATCCTCAGGCCTGTATTGGATGACATTTCGAATTGAAAGCTGACCAATCGCGACGAGGAGAGCCAAGAGCGAGGTTGCCCGATTGCTCGAGCGTTAATCTCCAATGAGCTTCGTGGATTTTTACATTAAGCGTCAAAGGTGACTCATCTAAGTGAAGCAATTATTTGTGTTCTCAGAAAATTTATCCTTTAACGATTCTCGGAAGATCAATTTTCCTGCAGCAACTCCGGAAATTTGCGGAATGATCCCGTTATGAATGATATATTTCGGATATCCGAATTTGATAATACAAAACAGTGTTATATTTTTCCTAGTCCACATTATCGAACAAATTTGTTTTATTTTTTTTTACATTTACATGAAGAAGAAAAGAACGAGGTGGTCTGTGAAGAAACTAATCCAGATAAACTACGGTATAATGGGACATCTTTAAAAGTATGAGCGCGATTAACTTATCGCGATTCGATGATAAGATGAACTCCGCTCTTTGGCGTGAGCACAATTGCCGATTCGTTGAAAACAAGCGGCACCGGGGTTTGAGAGTGCAGCTTGAACTTGAATTTCGACAAGAGACTTATAATTCCGACTTTGGTTTGCACATAACCGAAGCGTGTACCTGAAAATGAATAGCGATTAATCGACGAATTGACAGCAGGTCACAGATTATTTCAATAAAATATTCAACGACTCGCATGAAAGCGAACTGTACAATTATATAAATGACAACTGATTAATCGAATATCTTTCAAAATCCCTATATACAATTGTCTATGCGTAAAACTGATATCCTATGTTTAAATCGAACGTCATAAATTCTAAAATTTGTGTAATCCTAGAAACTGAAGAAATTAACATATCGATTTATTCTCACCGATACAGACTCGTGGCCCTTCCCCGAACGGCAAATATGCGTAAGGATGCCTCGTCGCCACTTGATCCACGTTGAAGCGTTCAGGATCAAATTTCTCCGGGTCCGGATAGATCGACGGATCCCGCTGCACCCCGAGCACCGGTATAGTAATTTGAGTTCCCTCCGGTATTTGAATGTTTGTCGTCGGGAGGAGTATCTCCTTAGTGCAAATACGATTTAAGATGGGCACGGGCGGATATTTTCGCAGGGTCTCTGCGCGAAAACGAAGAAATACGAAGAGATAATTTTACAAGATTTAATTGGTTATTGTAGCGCGATGTTCACGTCCGTCATTTTCTCGCACAAATTTTTGCGATATATTAAGAGAGAGAGAGAGAGAGAAAATGTCAAACCACTTGCCTTGAACCACTTTGTGAAGATATGTCATTTCATTCACAGCCTCGTAGGTCAATTCTCCATGCTTTTTCAAGGTCTCGTCAATCTCACGGCGAACTTTATCCTGTATATTTTGATTCAGAGCTAACTCGTACAAACTGTATGTCGCAGTTGTCGACGATGTCTCGAATCCGGCTAAGAAAAAGACAAAGGCTTGCGCCGCCGCCTCCAGCATGGTAAGTTTATTCATATTAGCCGCTGTCATATAAAATATTAGAATCGTATAGTGATCTCATGATGTCAAAATGATGCTAGAAAATCCAAAATACATTTATTCGATTCACGTTAACTACTAATGCGTAATACACAAAACTTGGCGTACATAAGATGTTCTGTGATAACGAGAGATGGTGGAAACAAATGTGTAAAATATGTATATTTACAGGATTGATCGGCGATATCTTTATCGTCATCCGGTTCAACGTAGCCTTTCTCCATAAGTTGTATGAGCAGATTCATGAAATCGTGCCTGACGATGTTATGAGTTTGCCTATACTCCACGTTATCTTGAAATAATTTCGTGAAGAACTTGCTGACACCACGATCCGTACTGGGAAGGGAGAATAAATCCATAATTTGTGGCACGAACACCATCAAGGCGTTCCAAAAGGCCTTCACTTCGAAGATTTTTTTCCCCCATCGTCGAAACTCATTGTTAGGCTCCACCAGGCAGTTGGATTTTATTCCAAATGCCGTTGACATAATTATGTCTGTCGAATATCTACCGTTATATAATGAAATCACTCTAATAAATTCCATTATAGATCCGCAATAAATTGCATAAGGACACGTAAGTAAACGTTCATTCGTGAACATAAAGGTTAATTAAATTAAATTCTAAATAATTACAAGTGCGATAAGAAAATGATCTTTTTGTAGAAAGAAGGGCCAGCTAGAAAAATTTTTCTTTTTTTTTCTTTCGTATTATTCGAGAATCCTTTGGAATAAAATGATATCGCTTTGGGACAACCCAGTACAATTTTCAAGATTATAATTTTCAAAAAAGATGAACTAACTTTACTTCTCGTAATAAAAGCTAACCTCGCTAACATATCTTTGATCTCGATGACATTTTCCGTGTGAACTTTACTCTCCAAACTCTTCACGAACTCTTCACCGCATTCCTTCAGAACCACGAACATTTGTTTGATTTTTCCTGAAGTGAAAGTGGGCGTCAATTTGACGCGTAAATTGCGCCATTTCTTCCCGGGCAACAGAAATAAATGGCCGGACAGCGGATCGGTTTTCTCGTTGCAAAACATCCCACGATCGTGAAAACTCCCGAATTTTTTCGTCAGCACTATTCGAATGAGATCGAGATCGGCTATCACCAGGTTTGGCTTGAAAAATATGTACATTCCGAAGATACGACGATCCTTGTATTTCATATAGGCATTTTGAAACAGTTCGCCTGTTCACAAAATTTCAAGTTTAATTTTAGTAGCAGAAAAAAAAACGCAGTAGAATTTATATAGAAACAATTGTAGTTTTCAAAAAAAAAAGTTAAATTATTATTTCGTTAGATATATAAAAAGGGAGGACGATTTTAATCATATTCTTGTACTATTAAAAAATATCATTAATATAATGCAATAACACTTGCCTATTGTCATTTTTCCAATTACAAGATCGGTCACATTACCAGTTGGTATAACGGGCTCGACATAAAATATACCCCTTTTACGCCAGAAATTGAACAGCACATACTTATAATAAATATACACTAAGGTGAGAGCTACAATAAAAGTCCCGATTGTTGCCCCGATTAACATCGCGAACAGAATATTTTTGTCTGTAATATAACGATAAAAGATTACCTCATAAAGTTTTATCGTTAAGTTAGGTGCATGTAGATTTTTTATAATTTTTTAGATCTCCTATACTTTTAACGTTGTATTGTGAATAAATAAGACGTTTAATTTAAACGTTTAATTTAAACGTTTAATTTAAACACGATGTATAAATAGCCATTTTAAAGTAAATTGATAAGAGATACCTTTGTTATAGAAGAAAATTTCTTTATTCGTTGTTAAATGTAGAACTAATTATGTTTATCACTAATTATGTGTAATAACATCAAAATCGGAGAACTATATAAAGTTACTGTTTATCACACATTGGACGTGCGCGCGTGCAAATGTCTTTCGATACTGTAGAACGTTACGGTGGCGAACAGTTTACTTATATATGGACCTAATACACTTAGTGACTTTAACATTTGAGAAAATATATCAGGTATACAGACTTATCATTTGTGACTCGTTGTACATTGAACGTTGTACATTGAATCAGAAGCTGTGCGTAGTTTCATTTTTTTTATGTAACATAATAAATGATTTTATGCTGACTGGTCATTTTCTACGTTCTTGTTATTGCTGGTTATCATTGAGTGATTGCAGTAGGAGGAGGCAAAGTCATAGATAAAAAGAGAATTGTTATGTAATTATTTTGATACGTAGTTATTCGCACGTTACGTAATTATCCACACGCTATTTTATTACAGATCTTATATATAATTTTGGCTGGTCGAATTAAAAAATGCATGACACGTGGAAAGAACGACTGAAATAACAATTATCACAAAATTTAAATAAAGCGGATGTTTTTCACGTTTCGACCTGTAATTAAGGGATGTCATGCATGAAAACATTGCCTGAAAACATTTTCTCTCTAAAACGCCTGTATCATATTTTCGAATCCAATAATTTTTCGCTCTGAAAACTCAACTGAAGGACGAAGTTTGAAATTGAGCGGTCGTCATTTTTCGTTTAACTCGAAATATCTTAACGAAAATTAACGACAACATTAATATAGCTAATGTGGTTAAAAGCTAGGGACTTCAAACTTTAAAGTGTTCTTTGAACGATTGCAATAGCATTATCATTATTGCGAAAGTTACAGCCTGTTGAATTTCGCCTATGTTTCATTACAATGAAAAGTACGTCTCACCAGTCCTTAAGTTATACTACTTGAGAAATAAAAAGTACTTCCGGTTCCATAATTTAGTCATATCACGACCTCATTTTTTTTTTCTTTTTATTGCAAGTAAAGGGTGTACAAAAAGGAGTACAAGGTCTAGGAGCTTAGCCTATCCGACCCATGAGCGCTATAATATTACAGTTTGTCTGTGTGGATTACATAATTTTGGGGTCGATGAATAAACAAATTTTATTAGTATTCTTATGAATTAAATGTTTAAGTGTATGATTGGTGGGGATTGTGTACGTCAGGGAGGAGATGGTGTAGTAAACGATAAAACGGGAGAAAAAATAAGGTGGAAGGAAGGTACGATTGCGCATCCGCTGTCGCTTACTTTAGCGCATGTGTTTGTCGAGAGTCACCTAAGAAGGAAAGGAGAAAAGGATAGTTCCGTATGGAGTAACTTGTGGGGGTTTTGGTGACTCGTGAGTTGCGAGTTGAACAATCTTCGCCAGGTACAAAATAAAAGGAAAAATGCATATGAAAAAGAAGAGAGTAAGAGAATAACTTGAAGAGCGGGGGGAGCGCATACTTAGATTATAATATAAATCGCACGCGAACTTATGTGTCTTGGTTACGAATGTAGGTGGAGTGGATATAGCAGAGTGTAGGTGGTTTATAGTCTTAAGATGTTTCTGCAATTGAACACACAGGAAAGGGTTATATGAATATGTTAATTCCGTTTATAAACCGGCCTAAGAGAGTATAGCTTTTCATATCTTTGGTCGCTAGAAGGGTATCACGACCTCAGTTTCTCATTAAATATAGTGGCGACTCGTAGCGGAGATTCTGGAACTAAATTACAGAAATAACGGGTTTACGGAATTATTAGACCCGTTATTTCTGTAATTTAATACCAGTTAATTTTCGTCAATATATTTCCAGTTAAATGAAAAATGGCGACCGCTCAATTTCGTCTTTCACTTGAGTTTTCAGAACGAAAAATTATTTGACTCGAAAATACGATACAGGCGTTTTAAAGAAGAAACTTGAAACTTTTCACGTATTTGTTAACGAATGTCGGATGCACTTTTTGAATCAGTGCAGCCAGTTCAACTAAATAGAGCGGACCAAAAGTGCATCCATCAGGTGGGAGATCAGAACGTTCCCCTACTTCGCAGTGATGTAACCTCTCAATGATACTTTGTTTATCAACAATAATTTCCAACAAAAATTAAACGAGTTGTGTGAAAGTTAAATGTTTTAAATATTATTGGGATTAAAACAATGGATGAATATCCGTCCATAAACGTTCGTCTGGCGACAAATAGAGTGGATTTTAATTTAATAACTAACGAAGGCATCGAGACGCGGCTATACACGCCCGGTGAAGAGATATCCAATCAGCCGGATTTTCTGAGGTAGATAAATCTTTATTGTACGTGAGACACAATTGTAATAACCAGATGTATGATTTTGTTAGAGGTCACGGAACCTACGTAGATGAAGATAACACGTTGCGTGCCGCGGTAGGTGGAGTGCTGGAGAAAGTGAACAAGCTCATATCAGTCAGACCCCTAAAAGCACGTTATCAAGGCGAGATCGGTGATGTCGTGGTGGGACGAATAACGGAGGTACAACAAAAACGTTGGAAGGTTGACACGAATTCCAAGCTTGACTCGGTACTACTATTATCCAGTGTTAATCTTCCAGGCGGTGAATTGGTAAGAAATATGAACTTGAAATTTCTTTTCTACTCATCAACTGTTTACACTGAAAACTCTATAGTATATATAACGTGAACTGTAGATTTTCAATACTGATGGTGAATATCGAAAGGCAGCGAACTTTTTATTTACATATCCTTTCTATTCTTTTTATTCACTTAATTGTTCATTCAAGGTAACGTTAAGTAAAGTATATTGTGACATTCTGCAGAGAAGAAGATCAGCTGAGGATGAGCAGACGATGCGTAGGTATTTGCAAGAAGGAGACCTGGTTTGTGCGGAAGTACAGTCGATCTTCGCCGATAGCTCGCTCTCGCTGCATACTCGTGTACTGAAGTACGGCAAATTATCGCAAGGTATAATGCTGAAGGTGCCACCGGTGCTGATACAGCGCAAGAAAACGCACTTCCACAATCTGGAGAACGGTGCCAATTTGATACTCGGGAACAACGGTTACGTGTGGATCGGCGCAAACACTCAGAACGTCGACAGGTCGGAGGGTGGATTTACGGAGGACCTTTCGCGCATTCCGCAGGAAAATCGCGAGGTGTGCGCGCGATTGCGCAACTGCGTGCTGATTCTGGCACAATGCAACATGCTGCTGTCCGATACGTCGGTGACGTACGCATACGAGGAGTCGATGAAGTACACAGTGAGCGAATTGCTGGAACCAGAAGCGATGGTCGACGTTTCGTTGTTGACGCATCAGAGGCTCGCGCAGCAATAATTCGGCTGGACATCCGGAAAATTACTATGCGACTCGTGCGATGTCGCACTCCATTGATTCAGCAGCCAATAAGATCCAAGATTGGATCGGGCGAGTTTACACCGATCGATCGGAACTCGACGTCGTTCTTTCCGTTTACTGTAATTTTGTAAGAGTTTACGGCAAATAAAGAGGGAATTTTGGTGAGGTGGTGCTTTCTTGATAACAAACCGATGTAAGTTTGAAGGATGACGCGAGGATGTATAGAGTATTATATCGTATCGACGGGAGAACAAGAATAATGTATGTATAAAATACTGCAGTATTTTATAGTTAGNGTGTGTATCAATATATATACATATATATATATATATATATATATATATATATATATTCGGCAGAACGGTCCAGGTATAAGCGAAGTTATCATACACGTCGCTGATATGGGTATTGATTAAACGAATGGCTCTTAGAAACGCGTCGTAGTCGACAGAGCAACAGAGACATGGACGCATGTTTTAACGCCTTCGACAAGGACGGCGACGGATTTCTGTCAATCTCGGAATTTGAACTTATTTGCCGCTCGCTATTTCGCAACGACCGCGGTAAGATCTACGGCCTCGAGGAGGAACAGTTGCGGGAGGTGTATTCGATTTTCGATCTCAAGGGCGATGGCATGATCGATAGGGAAGAATTTGAGGTATGCCGAGAGGATGCTTAAGATGCTGTCGAATTGTATCGGTCGTTCATCTTCGAAGATCGTCTTAGAATGAGGAGAAATTTTTTTTTAAGAATGCGTCTAGCATGCGTTATTTTTTTTCTTCTTTTCTTTTTTCTCGCAAATAGCTCCTCTGCAGAAACGTTTTGAAAAGTAACATCTGCAAGATGATCGCTTAATCTAAGCGCCTTGTCTCTGTAATTATTAATCTCGATTTGTTAATCTATATAAAAATAAAGCAATCAATTAACGACCATAATATCCATTTGTGTGGGAAAATGTTTACCGTCTTATACAATGATTCTGTACGTTTGATGTCTCTTTGCTGTCGTAGGTATGTTGGAACCGATGGATTAAAACATGCACCCGGCCGAAAAGCGTCTTCTTAATAGTGGACGTGCAAAACGACTTTATAACGGGTTCTCTGAACATCAAGCACTGCGCTGCGCAACACGACGGCTCGGAAGTGATCGAGCCGATCAATCGGCTGCTAGAAACCGTGCCGTTCGACGTTGTATTTTATTCTCTGGACTGGCATCCCGTGGATCACGTGTCTTTCATCGACAACTTACATCTCAGGTAATCAGCATGCGTTGTCAGGATGCTCAATTTATTTTTACGGCCTTTTATTTTCTAAGATGTGGTCAGTATAAAACTCTTAAAATTCGTACATTCTTGAAGTCCTCACAAAAACGAGAAGTAAGCTCGAGCTTTTTTACAAACCGAGGCCGTCGTCGAGACGACGTTCAAATGAAAGATACCGCAGCCGAAGGTTTCGTATCCACAGCAGCTGGAGGAAGAAGAAGAGGAGAGAGAGCCGAAAATTAATCGCGAGGAATATTATTTGCAGAGAAGTGGATGCCAGCAGCGGTATCGCGAAGGAAGCGGCGCGGGTGTACGACACGGTGACGTTCCATGGGCCGCCGTTGCTGAAGCAACGCCTGTGGCCGCGCCACTGCGTGCAGGACTCGTGGGGCGCTGAGCTGCACAAGGACCTGAAGATCGTCGAGGACGCGATCAAGATCTACAAGGGCACGAATCCGGAGGTGGATTCGTACTCGGTCTTCTGGGACAACAAGAAGCTGACGGAGACGACGTTGTCGTCGCAGCTGCAGCAGAAGGGCGCGACCGACATCTACATCTGCGGCTTGGCGTACGACGTGTGCGTGGGAGCGACCGCGGTGGACGCCCTCACCAGCGGCTATCGCACGATACTGATCGACGATTGCAGCCGCGGCGTCGACCTCGTCGACATCGAGAAGACCAAGGCCACTGTGATAGCCAGTAACGGTGTAATAGTGAACTCCAGCCAGGTGAAGGCAATGGTGGAAGGGAGGGATCGCCGACCGGAGCTGGGTTACAAGCTCGCGTTAGAGATCAAGCATAAATTGAGCCTCGATGAGGAATAATGTAGCAGTAGGTTTCTGGTAGTCTATATTTAGGTGCTTTGTATTAGACGAATGTATTAGCGTAAAAGAATTTCGCTTTACAGAACCTGTTATAGGCATAAAATAGCAAATTTCCCGGGCAACAGAATGTCTAAAATCAAGATACGTCTTCAATACGTAACGTCTCGATTTTAGATTCTCTGTTACCTGGGTCTTGTCAATTGATATGGAAATGTAAAGAAAAAAAAGTTAAGAAAACTAATAGATGTAGTATAAATATGTAAAAATAAATAAGAATGAATGTATCCTCTTTGAACAAGGGTTCGAAATAAGCCTAAGAATGACTGTTAAAGTAGGGATTAATTTGTTAAGGCTCCTGGATGCTCACTTTGGCTGTCCTTCTTTAACGACGTCAGAAGCGAGGAAAATCATGCCAATTTATGTGACGATAATATATGTGGAAATAAAAGAATATACGCACAAAACAACACTTGTGACCGATTCATTTGTAACGTGCAATTTACGTTTTTTAACCTGTCTTTTCTCATGATTTCTGTTGCATTAATTTCACGGCTATTTATTAACCCTTTGCACTCGAGGGCGGAGCGGAGCCCTCGAGTTTGAAGACAAATTTTAAATGGTTCCGCTCCGGAGCTCTCGAGTGCAAAGGGTTAATTATTCAGGTTAAAGGAAAGGACGTTTTTACAAGTGCTGAATCGACCACGAGTGTTATATCGAGCGTATATTTTTTTATTTCCACATATTACCGTCACATAAATTGACATGTTTTCTTCGCTTTTGACATCATCAGAGGACAGCCAAAGTGAGTAACCAGAAGTCAGGTCTACAACAGAGTTTCAAGCCTTAAGCCTTAAGAAATTGACCAATCACAGTCGAATATGAGGAAAATAATCGACTATGATTGGCCAATTTCTGAACGCTTAGAGTTTAAATTCTCATTGTAGACCCCACTTTAGGGCAACCGCGACTGTCTACTGCAGCCAAAAATGTATTTTGTAACTAGTAGCTGCTGTACTTCGCGACGGGATATTGTAGAAAAAGTCCATAGTCCAATAACAAATTTATGCAAATCATCTTTTGATCGGCACTGTGTCGCCCTCATCGCAATGCACGGTATTCTCAGGGACTAAAGTATCAAATAGCTTTTCAAGAGATCACTGGAGTTTCTATGAGTGTTTCGTATATATAAGACTACTTGTGAAATATGTCGATGCTGTTGATCAAGAGCTGATAGATAAAGCCAATTTAAACCGAATGTTATCAGTTTGCTTTCATTATCGAGTCAATAGCCAATGATACATGTATTCGAGTATCAGAATAGCATCGTAAAAAGTTGCTGAGTCAACCGGAGGGAACATTCAACATAAATCAGGTTTGTCTCCGTCGTTTGGAAAACGACAAAAACATTTTATAAACGACAGCGAAATTATAAGCTTGTTATTGTCTTCATAGGTATATTGGAAAAATTTAAATTTAGAGCGAGCTATAAGGATCGATCGAGAAGATAATATGGCAGAAAAAGATATCAAAGATAAAACTACCAATGCTGCTCCTCCCAAATTTTTTACACGGGCAGAAGTGGCAGAACACGTCGGATCTACAAATACATGGATTATAATCCACAACAAAGTCTACAACGTCACGTCTTTCCTGAATGAGGTTGCAGTTTTTTAAATCTTAGATGTAATCGAGATTAGTACATATTATTTCCGTTTGATTTGACCAAAGTGATTTAATTTAACTAAAATGATGAAAATAGTTCAATTTGAAATTTAAATGTAACAAGAATTAGTTTAGTTTTTTGCAAAATTTACAACAGTTAATGATGAATTTGTATGAACTAACCAGCATATAGAATATGGTAGGCTAGACTTTACACAAAGAAAAGTAACTTCCGAAAGTATCCTAGCAATGATATATATCAACTGATAGTGAGAGATGTATTTTTTTCAGCGTGCAGCCCTGTATGCATGCTGCTCGTTGCTTGCTGTCTTTAGAAATCAGTTGTTACTTATTGTTCTTAGGGCATCTTCAAAAGTAAGCCATTTTTCTTTAGAATCCAGCCTGCTATTTTCTGTATGGTTATTAGCTTATACAGATTAATTAATTCCTCACTAACTATTGTGGGTTTTACAAAATGGTATGTGACTTCCCTGCTCAGTTTCACTTATTCTACTTGTGCAGCACATCTCAAAAAAATTTTCAGACACACACACGCACGCGCGCGCACATACACACACACACACACACACATACAAAATTTCTATTAGAATAAATATCTTACAGCTATTATGAAATAGTTACATTGAAATGAATATATGCAGTATACTAATTGCTCTTATTAACACATAGCATCCTGGTGGTGAAGAAGTACTTTTAGAACAAAACGGACAAGATGCAACCGAGGCTTTTGAAGATATTGGACATTCGACTGATGCAAGACAATTGATGGAAACATTCAAAATTGGAGAATTAGTGGAAGTATGTAGAAATCAAATTTTGCAGATTTTTATCTTGTATTTCTCTGTATATTTTTTTATCATTGATTTGAACATATTCCAGGAGGAAAAAGTAAAAGATGCAAAAAAGAAGTCTATATATTGGTCTAACGACAACCCTGATGAAGAGAATTTCAGGTATGAACTCTAATCTTTAACCGAACAATTTTTATTTATAACTTGATTCACTATATAACTTAACATTACATTCCGGTATATTATAAATTAGTGCATTTTATTCCTATATAGAACAATGCATTCATTTATGATATAACGTGATAACGCGTTCGTGAAATTTCTCTTCCATATTTTCTTAAAGTTAATCTGATGAATTTTTCATCCTCCATTTGATTGATTAACGTTAATTCGTGGTAGTAACGTACTTTGCGATACTTGTGAAATAACGCAAAGACTTTTGTCTTCTGTTCTACGAATGATCGTTGGTAAATAGATCGATTCTACATCATGATGTAACGATTGACAATTGCAGTGGTTCTTGGCGCTCCTGGTTAATCCCAATTGCGCTCGGAGTGCTGGCCACCCTCGTCTATCGCTACTTCATCAGTACACATTAAAAAGAATTCCAACCGAGGTCCAATTGGTTCCCTCTTCTTCACGTTACTTGTTAATATGTATACCGACCATCGAACAGCTGTACAATAGATCGGTCCAAATGTATATCATACAATATTGTAATTGTTTCTTATGAAACGGATAGCGCTTGCTGGCCTAGCATTTAAAAACCGAAAGGAAAAGCCGACGATATATGTATGTATTATATCAATGAATACAGTGAAAACGCGCATTTATATATTTGTATGTATACGTTTGACAGTGCATATGTACGTCGCACAACGCATGGACATGTATGCACATGTCACATATTACGCAGACATCGTGAAGTATATTGTGTTGAGGAAAAAAATAAACTAATTTAATTCCATAGAAAGAGAGAGAAGGGCTTTTTCGAGGAAAATTGAAACCTCGTCTTTAGTCTCCGAGCGAATGAAAAGCGTGTCGATCGTGAGAGCGAAAATTCAATAGCGTAAACTCGGCCAAACTGTGTTGAAACTTTGCGCAACGATCTACTTATTGTACATCTTTCCGGTAGTTAATTTAGTGAAAATGGGAGTGTTGGTCGCACCTATATACAGGATGTCTGAAACGTTTCTTGGTATCGGTGATATAGTGTAACTATATACAGTTACTAGGAAATTGAGGAGTCGGTTTGCTTCTGCGCATGTTGTGTTGGCTATATTTCTGAGAATATGGCGGACTATCATGGCGATACGTTCGCGATCGTAAACAACCGAGAACTGTTAGAAAAGTTGAGTGAGTGACAATCATTTTTATTTACTTAGGTGTCTTCTGATTCTATATTAAGTGAATAAATCGCTACTTTTTATCTATCATGCGTTTTATACGCGAGGAGCTACCACGTAATCTTGATATTCTTCAAATTAAGCGCCCTCCTTCAACGTGACCGGCTGTGATCGATCGCAGCTCCATCGAAGGAGTCGACAACTACTTTCGCAATTGTACGTAGTTAAACTGTGTCCGTAGTGTGCAGGTAGAACGGGTGAAATTGAACAGAGCGAAGTTATATACTATTTTGTAAGATTTATGTAATAGTTAATTAATTAATCTGTTTTAGCTAATGAAAGCGCACGGGAATCGGTAGGCCAGACTCTGTAAAAAAAAATGGCTTACTTCCGAAGATTTAACAGCGATGGGTATCAACGAAAAGAAGCGTGTTTCTTTTCGGCGCGTAATTCTGCGCGTCACTTGCTATTCGCTGCGTTATATTCTGCCTATAGAAATCAGTTGATGTTCATCGTGTCCCACGTGCGCTCGTTAGTTCATACAGATTAATTAATTCCCCGTTTAACCATTGGGAATTTTGCAAAATGGCACACGGCTGCTCCATAAAAACTTTCCGTTTAGTTGCATTAGTTAAATATTGAAATGTGAATTATCCGATATCGTAGAACTAAAAGTTTCATATTTCTCCCGTCCAATCGCAGTGTTCGAGATAACTCGTATTTTTACGGTATCAAATCGTTTGCAAAAAATTGCCGGTAAAATATTCGAACGACTGTCTCTCTACACACGTGTTGTATCCGTAGCAATAGGGTCAAAGGACGTCTATAGGGTATCATCAACCAATGATAATGTGCTATTGTCCTGTGAGTTCTCGTAGTACGCAGGAGGTTCGGTGATAAACGACGAGACGAACCTGAGTCGTCTTTGACGACAGTGGCGACGACGACGGCGGTTGTGGCGGCGCGCGTCATCGGTATCGAGCGAGTTCCCAAGCGCCGACGTCGGTTCTCTTCCTCGTTCTACGCTTCCCCTCTTTCTCCCCGACACCCTCGTTATTCTAAAGCTGCTAACGAACATACCGCCCAGTAAAGCGCGAGAGCCGGTGGAGAGTGTGTCGTAGGAGCGTAGAAGTAACTTCAACAGGCGAGATAGGTGTGTTGGTACATCGGAAGGAAATCAAGAAAATCGGAGGAAGAGATAGATACTCCCTGGGAGATCTTCTGACAGAGATATAAAGACGGTGGCTGGAGGAAAAATCGAGCCTTACAGCACGAGACACCGTGAAGAGAACGAGGTAGGAGAGAATTAACTCCTAGATAGAGGAGGAGGAGGATAGAACGCAAAGGACGAACGCACGCTAAAAGCACGACGTCTAAAAGGCAGAGAGAGGATAGCAGTGGCCGGAATTGAAAGGGTAGAGGTCGGACTTAGGGTGGAAGAGGAGGAAGAAGCGCGAGAGGACAGCAGAATAAAGGACACGCGGAGGACGACAGTGGTTACACTGAAAAGTCGGCGTAGTGTCATGAGAGGCGGTCTCACGGTCCGCCCTTCTTATCGGTCCCTCTCAGAGTCATGCATGTCGCGCCCCTCAAACGAGGTGAGTACACCGTCGAATCGCCGAAGCTTCGACTTTCCGCGTGCGGATGAAAGGGCCCGATCGGTGCATACGATGCTTTTTTAACCAATCGGAACGCCATCCTCAGAATGCACGCGTTGAAAAGCCTCCACCTAATCGAATTTAAGCTCGAATATTCGCGCCGTTGAAAATAACGATTTGATCACTCTGTGTGTGTGTGTGTGTGAATTTAGATTAACGGTTACGCGCGTCGTCGTCTCGCCGGTCCACGATACGCCTACGTTTGTTTGCTGCCCGATGGAATCTACCGGCGCATTTTTTTTTCTCGCGGTCGTCGCGCTAGAATCGGCTACGCCGCGAGAGAAGGGATTCCTGGGCAAAGAAATTTAAAAGAACTTAGATAGAAACACCTGATCATGATCAAAGAATCTCCCTCGTTTCGACAGCAACATACAGTTTATTTTTATCTTAAAAAAAAATGAGGACATTTGTGCGTTATTATTTTCTAAATGAAAATTGATGTTAAATCATCGAATTTTCTTTCGTCGATTAAAAGTAACGATGGACAACGAAAATATCTTACTAAGAATATCCTATCGAGATGATACACCACTGTTGTCCAATATTGACAGCAATGACATTAAATTGCTTTCAAGATATTCTCAGAAAAAGATTATACACTGAGGATATTCTGCGAAGTTTGACTTATTAGTGTTATATAAAAAGGGGGGAGAGAGATAATATGCAAATAAGAATATCTGCGTTCTCCTGTAAACTTGCGAAGGAAAAAAATATTCAGTTAAGACATTTAAAGATATTACTATTTAAAGATACTTATGTTTTACCGATACTACTATCCAAATTGAAGAATTCTCACTTATAAGTTGCGTTCGGGGATCCCAATTGTGGTGTGTTTTCATGATTTCGGCGGGAAAATAATGGTTTCCTTTTCGTCGGATAGTTCGGCGGCACACAGTGTATGTGCGTCTCTCGGAGGATTTCCGAACGATGCACACGAATGCACACTGAACCACACTGAGTATTTCCGAAACGGTTGGTGATGCGCGCACACAGTGTGCATTCCCGAACGCAACTATATTTATATCATCAATAATCGGGTATCTGCGATCTTTTCTGTCTGCAATTACTCCAACATTAGGAAGCGCGCACACATTAGGGGTATTCTCATTAATTATGAAGCATGAGGAGTAGTTGAAGGTCGGTGAGGGAACTACGTGGAAGTTATAAAACGGCTCTTCGGCCGTAATCGATGAAAAAAACGATGCTCGATCTGCTTCCGCGTGCAAAACGTTTCTCTCTCTTCCGCAAAAAAATGAAAAATATTTCGCTTCTTTCGTTCTATCATCCGTTTTTGTTTCTTATAAAAAAAGAAAAAAAAGAAAAGCAACGCAAAAGCAAAAAAGAAATCTTGTAAAATATGAGAGGAGGAAAACCCAGTTAAGTACTAACTAAAATAACGTTACTCTCGATAATTTGCTAATTATAATCATTTTGTCGCGTTGGACCTCCTCTCATTGTTAATGGGAAGCAAGTTTTATCAGATATGGATATCCAAAGGGTGTGAGATTGACAATTACCGTGAGACAGAATCATGCCGCGGAAAACGGCACGTTGCGTAATTTCACGTTTGAGTTCTGCGCTTAGCTTAGAGAACGAGGAAAAAGTCGGGATCAAGTATAATCAAGCCGGCAATCGATTGAGTATCATTATCTAGTGATCGAATTACCGAAAAATCATAGTGATTATTATCAAGTAATCATTAATTATAGAAATATAGCGCTGTGAAAATACAGTCGGACTAAAAAAAAACGTTGCGAACACAAGCTTCGAGTATATAACATCGCACACGTCCGATAATGATCTTGGTATCAGTCACTCACTTTCTCACGATTATTGTCACACGTAATTGTTGCAAATGCTCAGAGCGTGATAAAATCGGTCTGCCGAACGTCTGCTGCGAGTCGTGAGGTCCGTTAATTCGCGATTAATCGATCAATAAAGCGATCACGAAGCGTCTGTCGAAGCCCTCTTTTCTCTCTCACTCATCGATTTGAGATTCATCGGTCAATCTGTGTTAATTCTTTAGTGACCCGTTTCTAATTTTGGAGAGTGTATCAACTCTAGTAATGCGTGGCACTACTCTACATCCATTGTGATAAAAACCTCTTTGATCTTCTTTTTCGACAAGAAGAAGCATTTATTATCATATTGCGTTTGCCAACTTAGCATGAATCCATTAATAAAACTCGCGGTGTGTGCATTAATTTGCGTGTAAAGAATGATTGGCGTAAACGTCACGTCATGAAAGTTTTTTTATTATTGTTATTGTCGTTTATATTTCTTCCTTTTCCTCTGTTCTCTCTTACTCACTCTTCTCTCTTATTTTCGCACACACAGACCCTTTTTTTTTGTCAATCAGAGTTCGTTGAGGAATCCGCCTATCTATATCGCATGTATCTATTCGCGGCCATTTCGGCATGCTGCATGTCCATTTTGGAATGTTAAAAATAAGCAGCTCGTGCACGTGGATTGGCGATAATCAAATCAATCGATCATTTCCGAGTAATTGTGAGAAGAGATCAATATAAACTAAACAGTCTTAATTATAGGTCATTTTCTAGTTAGAATAATTTTCGTTTTCGTTAACGTTAATTTATCAATCGGACGTTAATTATTAGTATCAATATCAGGCAACAAATATTATAGTTTTAAAGCAAAATTTAAGACTTTAAATTGACTTCAAATTTTAGAAAAAAAAATTAGCATTATCGCAACGTTGCATATTGCAATGCTATTTTAGTAATGTTGCAGCGATATTTCAGAACATTGTTAAAATAGCGTGATATAATAGCGCGTGATCGGCTCGTATATTAAGCGGAGTCTACAATGAGAATTTAAGTTCTAAGCCTGAAGAAATTGACCAATTACAGTCGATTGTTCTCCTCACATTCGACTGTGATTGGTCAATTTCTTAAGGCTTAGAGCTTAAATTCTCATTATAGACTCCGCTTTATGGAACTTACGTTCAAACCAATATATATACAAAGATTCCCCAGCATGCTCACCCTTTTTCCTACAGCAGCAAATGAAGCCGGGAGTTGGCAGTTTGAGGTAGAATGAGAAAGCTATTTTGTTTCTCTTGCTGTCTCACTCTTAACTTTTATGACAGCATGAGTCTATACATACATATATATATATATATAAACGGACCGAACTAATTTGTACTCGCAATATATATAGTACAAATTAGTTTGGTCCCTTTTTTTGTAGTCAAAAATGGATTTATTTCAGAACAAAATAAATGATCAGATTAATCAAAGTATTGTCCATCGTTGGCTACTACTTTTTCCCACCTCTCAGGCAATTTTCGAATTCCATCTCGAAAAAATGTCTCCTTTTTTGATGCGATCCAAGTTAGGAGCCAATTTTCGATTTCTGCGAAAGAAGTGAACCGGTGACCTACCAAATCGTGCTGCGTCCGTCGGAACAACCAGTAATCAGAAGGAGCAATGTCCGGCGAATACGGCGGGTGCGGTAAAATATCCCACTTGAACGTTTCCAAATAATTTTTACGACTTTTGCGACGTGAGGCCGAGCGTTATCATGCAGACGAATAACTTTGTCATGTCTTTGCTCGTATTCCGGTCGTTTTTATCGTAATGCACGGCTCAAACGAATCTATACCGATGACCAATCAAACTCTTTTTGCGTTTGACTCGGATCTTCATCAAGTAATGCCTCCAATTCTTTGTCTTCGAATTTTTTTGGCTGTCCAGAGTGAGGCTTGTCTTCAACGCTGAAATCACCATTCTTGAAACGTCGAAACCATTCCCTACATGATTTATCAGTTGGAGCATTGTCACTATAAACTTCTACAAGCATTCGATGCGCTTCAGCTGTACTTTTCTTCCAATTAAAGCAGAAAACTAAAACCTCCCGCAAATGCTGCTTAGTTAACAGAAAATTTGACATATTCAACACCCCTCCCAATATATATATATATATATCATATTGACCTAACTTTTTCATTGTAAATAATGAAAAACAAGAGAGAAATAAATTGATCAACATTATGAATTTCTATAAATACACCACATTCTCACTCAGTTTTCATAGTGTTCCCGCAACACCACGAATTTTTTAATAGCATTATCGTATCCGTGAGTCAAAATCTACCAAAAACACTATTCTTTTTACTTATATCTTTTTAGGCAAAAATCTGCCCTTTTTTTAACATCCTCCTTTCAGTTTTTAAGAGAAATTTGCCTGAGAGAGACAATACACACTTAAGATATGTACGTCTCACGGCCGTTTTGAAAGGTTTGAGTTCCTCGGTACGTGGCAGACGGACTGTCCCGAATAAATTATGATAATCGTAATTTGACATCAGTTAACTCGGAAGGTCGTTAAATTAGCACGTATACCAAGATGTTACACGTAATACGCAATTGCTCGTAAGTTTGTTTACCGTGTAAACGAACGAACAGAATTTCAAAGCAGAAACGTTTCCGCGTTCACAGCCAAGTCGATTGTTCTGCAAATGGACGAATCTCTTAAAAGGCGATTACTCACAGCTTCTTGATTTAGTTAATGTGAAGTTGTTACGTACGTTCAGAAAAGGTGCCCGCAATCTGTAAATTCGTTTCTGGCGACGAATTTCATTAAATCTGGCTATACGTCAAGGTTGTTCGGTGAAAAAATCCGGAGCGAAGTAAAGATGCGTGGTTAGTAAAAGAGAAATCCCTAATTTCCACAGAAGGATTTAAAATCGAGGCAGCAGATATGTAAGCATACGAATAGTTCTTTTCGTGTAAATTCTTTTCATTTTTAACATATTTTTTAGTAGCGCAAGAGAGATTATCAGTAGAGTTTACTTGGTGAAGGAACGTAGCGCATTTTGTTAAGGAATATGTAGTAAATTTCAATTACAAGCTTTCAATTGTAGACATTTCTAGTTCAAAATTTTCGATTAAATCTCAAATATTTTTTCAAGATTTGAA